AGAAAAACATTCACAAATGAATGGTTTTTTCACTTCTGAAAACTGTGAATTGTGTCGCTTAGAGCCTTTTGCCGTGCCGTCACCATCGATACACGAGCGAAGAAGCTTATGGTTTTACAAAGATGTTTATTTATTTTTTTTTCTTTAATCTGTGTGCAACTTTTCTACCAAAAGACTTACTCGGATTTTCACGTGTAGCGCCTTTTTTGAAACGGAATCGGTGCGGTGAGATATTTGTAAAGAGGTCGTTTTCCGAGTTTTTTTTTGAAGAATTTTCTCATCAAATTCGAAAAACCGGGAAAACGTACGAAATACGTTGCTAAAATATTACGATTCGTCGCTGGTAGCAATACGCGTGATAACACGTGTTTTATTGGTACGCGATTGCCGGATCCGCCTACGCCCGCGCCACACACTGCGCCCTGTGCCCATGTTGTCGTTTACCCGCGCGCCGTTCGGACGGCGGCGGTGGACCGGCCGAAACTGGAACGGTCACGGGACTCGTACAAGCATTGCAAGTGTGCTACCCGTCCGGTACGTCCGATACGTACGTACGGGCGAGTGCGCGCGCCGTGATACGCGCGCGGGAACCGGTTTCCCGCCGGAGACTTTCGGCCCCGGCCAGCCCGGTGTGTGCGTTTGCACGGCGCGCGCGGTTAAAAGAAATCGGAAGAAAGCGAAAACTGCGGCCCGACCGAAACTTGAATGTTGCCGTCCGCGGCCGTTAGATCGCCGGCGAAAAGTCATTCGCTGCCGATCACGAGACGCCGAACACCGCGCGGTTCCGACGCGCCGTCGTTACGAAAAACGGATGCCCGCGCATAACATAACACACCCGCCCGCCTGTACGCTACCTGTGCGCGTTGTTTTCGGGCCGCGACGGAATCCGGACTACCGAACTCGTTCAATTATCTCAACGTTTATTTCTCCAAATTGAATTTATTTATTTCGATTTGTTTTTTTTTTTTTTTTTTTCGATTTTGATTTCTCCGTCATAAAGATTTCGATCGTTTTTTTTTTCTTCGTACATGTAAACGCGGAACAATAAAAATATTATTGTATTACGTTACGCAACGACGGTACTGAACGTCTGCCAGTTTTACTATTTACTATATAAGAAATCGCAAAAGAAACCCGAAAACGATGTTTTTCAGGACCTGCCGTCTGCGGTATCATCATAAATATTTTTAAATCGTTTATTGCGAATGTACGATTAATGAAAATCGTCATTATTTTTCCGACCAAATATTTCATAATATTGCGCCGTACTATTACTTCCCTTTATTAATATGCAGTGACGAAGTGTGGTTTTTACGTCGGGTATTCGGCAGACAAATTATTACGATCGATATAAACGTGCACGTAAAGCATAGCCAATGGCTGGTTTTTGAATCTGTCACTTGTTCAAAATATCTTCGTACGGTAACGTCAAATATCACGTTATTGGGTTAAAAAATCGAAAAATTATAATAACGTTTTTTTTTTTTTTTCTTAACTGTAATTAGGCATGAATTAAAATAAAAAAAACTTCGGACTACTTCGTCATCATACTTCGTTATCAGTTTCTTTCTTCATTCGTCCATCGCTTATTATAACTTATTAACATTTGACCATACATTTGATTTTTGAACTTTTTATACTATACTCGCATCTATTCAAATGCACCTAACTGCAGCAATGCGACTAGTCGACTATACATATAACAATCGTTTCCACTTTCAACTAAACCCAGCTTACAGGAAGTAAACGAACCATAACCAGATACCTATCTACGTAATAATTGTGTTTGCATTGTATTTTATAATATATATGTAATACACATTAGATGTATACAGTAAACGGATATTAGATAATAAAAACTAGATTTTTGCCTAGGTAGATTTAGATTCACGTTTATCCAGTCTTCTATAGAATACCTTTATTTTGTAACCGGAATACCTAGTCGAATAAATGATTTTAAAAGTATTCCAAATACGTATTCGAAAAAGTTTAAAAAATATGTATTTATAAATATTTTAGAAAGTTCGAATATTTTTTCCCAGCTAATTTACGTCAGTTTCAGAATAGCTGTCCTAAAATTAACGTTTTAATTTATTAAATAAACTAATTGTTAATTAATATAACTAGGTAATCAAGTATTACAGGTCAATTCTTAAACCTCGATTAAACATAAAAACTAAATACCAAGTGCGTTATGCGGTCATAAAAAAATACGATTTAAGATTTAGATTATCAATTTAAAATTACGGTTTCAGGAGAAATTAAATTTTATAGTGAATGAAAAATTTAAAAAAAATATTCATAACGCGTATTCGAATACAAAAAAAAAAAAAAAAAAAAAAATGATTAAAATACTTTTATTTAAATACGTTTGTTCGAATACTTTACAAGACTGCGTTTAGCGTACTCGTATGGTATAATAGCGTTATTAAATTGATAGTACAAAAACCAATATTGCGATTAAATTATGAGCTATTGTAATGAAAGGTCCCGATCTCAAGAGTCCCCCGCACACACAATACGATTTGTTGTCAGGCCGATCACGCGAAAGGTCGTCGAACATCACCGAAAACAACTATACGCCCACGGGATGCGCCGAACCGCAAACGCGACGGCCCGGACTATGTTTGAAGACGAGTCTGACGACAAATCCTTCGTAACGCGCGCGTGTGTGTGGGGAGGGGGGGGGCCTTTGATTGTTACTTTGTAAGTCGCGACTCACGAGTCAATGAAATCAAGCTTTGTGAAATAAAAATAGGTACCAGCCGCTGTCCAATTAGTTTAAAATGTATGCGCGACTTTAAATGTCACATTAAAATATAACAAGGAACCTGCACACCCATGTGACCTGTATAACGATTTATACCAACATTTGCAATAAAAATATATTTGTTTGTGATCACTACGCAGTAGTATAGGTATAGTTTTTTTTTTTTTACCGCCGTAACTTCCAATCCCACTCGTCCCGTTGTAACGCGTTTGCAATAATTGTATTATTGTGTCGTTGGGTATTTTACCAACATATTTACGAACGATAATTTTACGGTCCGGTGAGTTGCAGAAAACCCACGGCGTGCGGCCCGTCATGTGCAGTGATTCAGCCACTGGGGCACCGGGTATTGAATTTAAACTACTGGGCGTAGGGTATATGGTTCGCGGTTCGAAATGATTTTCGAATTGCCGTCAATTAATTAACAGTTAAAGACAAAATGACAATTGACAGACGACGGTATGTACCAGCTGACACCGGGGAAAAATGTACACGTTACTCTAATTGCGTATAGTAGAAATTAATTCCGTCTAATTTTTATATCAAATTACTTTATGAAATTAATTAATTATAAAATGAACAAATTATAATGTTATAAACATACTCGTACTTCTGGTAGGGGTCATCATTCTTTTTACATGTGTTGTGGGAAAAATATTTTATTATTTTTTTTTTTTTTTTGCAACACTTTATAACAATACAAGTGTTTTTTTGAAGAAAAAAAACGTTAACTGATCGTTTACTGAAATATTAAATAATTAAAAAAAGCGAACAAACGTTTTCTCCAAAACAAACAAGAATACAAGGTAATAACTATGCGGCCATGTTACCAAAATTAGAATTGGGCGAGCGGGAGCAGTGGCGGCTTTATGAAGGGGGAAGGAACGATAAATTAACCTTTTTAAAATTTTATTTTTATTTTTACCCGAGTAAAATAACGGGAAAGTAACGATTGAAAAAATATTTCTGCTAAAAAAAGTTGTATATAGAAATGGAAAAAACTCCATCGTCATATTATAACCGATACATCCCTAGTTTCGCTCAAAATCTAAACGATTCTCAATATACATATGTTTATTATAATTTGCAATGTATATAATAGTGATAGGTAAGTATTAAATTGCGTTAAAGTACATCGGTAAGTAATATTGTTGAATTGTTGTAGGCTGCTCGTTTAGTGAGATAGGTAAACCTATACATCCAGCCTCCGACGTGAGTTAATAATTGCGATTCGCGAATAAAAAAAAAAAAAAAAAAAAAAATACCTAAAATAGTTCAACGTGCAGTTGTGCGGGTCAATTCAGATTAGGTCGAAAAAACGTATCTCAATAAAATGAATCACTGTCCGTTGGACGCCATCAGCGATAACTGCGTTGTACATTTGAAATAGGTCGTGCCTAGATTTTAATACACGCATAAAGGCATCGGCCGCGCTTATAATCGTTTCGAGTGATTTATTTATATTTTTCAAAATGACCTAGGTAATTTACCCACGAGTTGGTCGCGAATGCAAGTCCAATGTTTATTAATTATTTCTGTGTATTGGACGAGCCCTAGCAACAATATCGGCTTTTATATCGGTCTAAAGGTCGGCGCCGACATCTCGGATCATTTTAAATGTCCATAATAACAATGCGATCTCTCAGATCCGTAAAGATCTGACACGTAACTCGAGTACTATTTTTGCTTGCGTGCAATTGCAGTGGGCGATTTGTGAAAACGTTCCTACTCCACTACTGCCATCTATCGTTGAAACAATAAAACCCAGTGTGAGAATGCGTCACGGAGTTAAACACAGAAATCTATATTGCACTTGTAACGATACAGTACAGACGTCTGTGAAGTTAAGATTCCGTTCGACCACCAGCGCGTCGCTCTGTGGAATGCGTAGGAGACGAGTACCGCCGATATTGATAAAACATACGTATCCACACGATGTCCGCATATCGACAGACGGATAGACCCTATAAATAATCGACAAGTGGCCTATCTCTCCTTTTCCGTACTCCTTCCGTGGACGCGTTACGGCAATATCGTAGATTTTCCCGGATGAATAAACAAACAATCAACATTATCCCGCGGGTTCCCGAGGTTTTCGCGTTATCCGTGATATCCAACGGTTACATTATCACCATACGAACTATGATATCTGCGTGTGCGTGTAACGGGCCGACTACTCGATACCAAATATTCTTATCAACTTGATCGGGAACAAATGAAACGTTGTTAACATTCCATCGACATTGATTGTGGGGTACCCATGTAGTAGACCATTTTATAGTGGATCTTTTATCACAGATAAAAGATGTTTAGAGCCGTCTAATATGTAAATAGATGTTTCATTGATCCAATTACGTGTTTAATAACACGTCGCACTACGACGTTAACCGTGCACACGTTGCGTACGTATTTTGACGTGAAACTCGTCGTGCATCACAATGCCATTCCGAGTCGGAACGATGGGCGACGTCGCAATACGTTATGCGTTAATATTTTTTTAAGGATTACAAACGGCCGTGCACTCTATAGTTGTACTGTTATAAACCCGCCGGAGAATAATTTGAAATGGAACGTAAATCGATATAGGTACTTAATGTTTACACAGGCCGTGAATTGATTGACCTTTCTCACGCATTTACCTGGTTAGTTCAAACATTTACACAATATTTGTTTTTAATTTAATTTAATTTTTTTTTTTTTTCCCATATAAGTGTTCGGTGTTCAAATTCGATATTTCTATTGTTGGCAAAATATTTTTTTATCTGGGTACCTACAATTTTTTTTTCTATTTTCCAGCCCACATTAGCCGTACATTGACCATGTATTTGGACCCAGATGATCTAGTGACATCAAGTTTAATTGCATTTCTTATTGCAATTATAGTGTTCGTTTTCAGTATTAAGGTGTTTAGATTATTATTCCCTGATGGCAATGTAGCTGACAAGGGAGTATCATCTCATGTATGGATTGAAAAGCCAGCATACATAATTAGTGTAAGTATCCAATAGTTCGTTAATAGGTACTTAATTTATTATGAAATCACGGAATATTGTTATTCACCTATAGGATCCGAATGCCTGTATTTTATGTGAAACGTTGACGCACGGATCTAAAGTACGCTACTGCGATCATTGTGGGATTTTCGTTGACTTGGGTTGCATAAAAAAAGCCAATAAATTAATATGTTGTAAAATTTTGAGTACCAACAGATCACCAAAATTGTTCACACACCACTGGAACAAATGTAACTATGGAGTAGATGCAGTTTAATACCTACAAATATGAAAGTGTTAGGAAAAATTGTTGCTCTTTTTATTTCTTAAATTATACCGAAATCTGGTTGAAATATGTGACGAAATCGCCTTATTAATGTCATAAAATATTTAATTTTTTTTGTATTTATACGTACTACTATAATTAGTGATTTTTAAAACGTAGATAAGTTTACATATATATTTACAATTTCAAACATTTCTAAGACTTAAATATTTAATTTTTTAGAATTGATTGTCTAAATAGTAAGAAAATCCACTGACCACTACCCAGTGGGGTAAATTACAATAATACAATTTTATAAGTTAATAACTTTTTTACAAATTTATGCCAACAAACGGAACGTCTCTTAATACTGTTTATATACCTAAATATACCTTCCAACAATTACCAGTTATAGTCTTACGAGATAAAATCTAATCTTTTATGAAATTTATTAGGGTAATTTGGTCATGTTTTTCAAACTCAACACTTATGTATTGAGTTTTTTTAAAAATGAGCATTGGTTGATACTAAACTGTGTATATTTGTATAATTCCCTAATTAGTTGATTAATATTGTAACATTCTTTATTATAGCTCTATTAGTTGACATTGTATGTTGTGTTTGTTTGTCGGATGATGATACTGATAACATTCTCGGAAACTTTTTTCAATGCATATGGTGCCAGCGGTTTTCCCACGAAAATTGTGTAACTAAATTTGAAAAGGTACTAAATTATTTTTTAAATTCTTCTAATTTTAGTAGACAAACTTCAAGTCTAATTTGTACCCTAAATTTTATTTATCAAAACAAAAATTAAAATAATGTTATATGATTTGAATTAATTGTGAATTGAGAACATAAAGTTTATGAGACAGAATTGTTTTTTTTTTTTCTAAGTAGATACACTATTCATTTTATTGGTGATCTTAAAAGGTTCTTGGTTTCAAAAGATTCTAATTTTCTACCTGCCATTAAACTTTACAGCAATTTTAATATGTAAACAAACCTACTAAGTAATACACGTATTTAACATTTTTTTAGTATAACAGGTGACATGTATATTATATTCAAACACATTGGACCACAATTACAATTTAAGAGGAATAGGTTTTTGAAATTTAAAACAATGTATTCTATGAACAATTATTAAAAAATGTAATTAATTTTGAAGAATGAAATATTTATACGAAAATGATTATAATTAATAATAATACATCATTTTACATTTACTGCAATTGATTAATATCATTTTTATTTTTCTAGCAATGTGATTTTGGAATATACTCTAAATACATCATACCACCATTCTGTGTTAAAACAAATAACAGGTTCAAACATATTTCTAAGCAGAGTATTGATAAAGTTATTCACCCCGGTTGGGAAAATTGGACACCATTAATTATATTTGGTAAGCAATTAAATAATACACATAGATATAATTTTGACCATTTCCAAACATACATTTTTTTTATCTTAGCAAACAAAAAGTCCGGTAATAATGATGGGGCTTTAATAATATCACATTTCCGACGTCTTCTAAATCCTATACAAGTATATGATATCATTGACTGTCCTCCGGAAAAATCTTTGGTTTGGCTTAAAAAATCACAGTTAGAATGTGTTTATGTTTTGGTTGCTGGTGGTGATGGCACAGTAGCTGGTGTACTAAACGGTATCCATAAATTAAACCTTAAAGTAGGTATTAAAATTATACTTTATTCTAAAATAATAATAATATTGTAATTATTATTTTCAGATTGATCCCGCAGTGGGTATTATACCACTTGGAACTGGCAATGACTTGTCTAGGATTTTGGGATGGGGAACTTCCTATACTAATACCGATTGTTCCGCCATTGTGGATTCTTTGGAGAATGTTTCAATCATAAAATTAGACAGGTTAAGTTTTAATATAAAACATATTTATTTTTACGGAGAGATTTATAATTGTTTTTTAACTTTTATCTGTTAATTTTTTTATTATAGGTGGAAAGTAAATATTTTCTCAAATGTATTGAAGAAAATAAAAATAGTGAATACTATCACAATGTACAATTATTTAGGTATTGGTTTAGATGCTCAGATAACATTAAACTTTCATCGTACAAGAAAATCACCATTGTACCTATTTAACAGTACATTATTCAACAAGATAATATATGTTGGATGTGGTACACAACAAGTTTTAGAACATCAGTGTAAAGGTTTGCCTGATATGATTGAGTTGTATATGGATGATGCAAAAATAACATTACCAGATATTGAATCTATTGTTGTTGTTAATATTGAATCTTGGGGTGCTGGTGTAAATTTGTGGCAATTAGCAGCGAATGATGGTAATGACTTTGGTTCACAGTTTATTGATGATGGATTGTTAGAAGTACTTGGTATAAGGTCTTCCATGCATATAGCTCAATTAAAAATGGGTATAGCAGAACCCATTAGAATTGGCCAAGCATCTAAAATTAGAGTACGTTATTCAAGTTTGGTTATATACAATTGAAATGTTATATTTGCCAAGTTACGATTTTAATTTCCTAAATTTTAGGTGAAATTATTACAAAAGTTACCAGTTCAGATTGACGGCGAACCCTGGCTTCAGCCCAGGGGCGAGATTGTGCTTCAAAGATCTAATCAAGCTACTGTTTTGAAGTTATCAACTATAATTTGATTTAGTAAATATGTTACTTAAAACAATATGTAGATATTACCGTCCATTGATTAAATTAAGTTTTAAATTGCAAACTGTAGGTTTAAACAATTTTACCACAAGCGATTAATTATTTGTTCTATTTAACTAATTTGCTTAGTGAAAAATAACGTAAAATCATAAAATGGCATAGAATCTCAATAATATTAATTAGCATAAATAAAATAATAATTTTATTATATTGTTTTATTTATACATTTTCAAAGAAAATCCTTTTTATACAATATAGATATTTTAAAGCTATTCTATTAATTAAAAAATGGTTATTGATAATTGGTAATTGATAACTACTTCCTCAATTCTTATTTGCTATTGATAAAGTAGTTTATATTATTATTGTTGCTGTTGGTTTTTCTTAAATTTAATGTTATATAATTTATTAGCTTTTAATTTCAGTATTCAGTTTGTCAAATGATAACTACAAAGCTAATTCATATAAATTACTTTCATCTCTTCGAAATAATATTATATGTATAGGAACCTATAGATTTATAAATCTAACACAGAGTTAAATTAATTGAATTTTGACTAATTTTTGGTAATAACTAATAGTTCTTAAAAAAAAAAACAAAAAACACTTATAACTTTCTCTTACAAGACTGAATAATTAATCCTAATAAATTAAAGTGCAATACATAAATATGACAAAAAATTAAGTACATACTATTAAAAAAAAAAAACCTAATAATTTATGTATTATACCTATACTGGCCAATATGCATGTTTTAACTTTATTTGTACCATATGAATATTTTTTCAACCAAATATTCATCAATCTGATTACCTAGATACGAAACCTAAATAAAATACTTCGACAAATTATTATAAGGCTTATTGATTTTGATACACTTGTTATGTTAATATTGCGTTGCCATATTTTATCACAAACATTTTTTATAGTACATGTTATTAAAAATATTTATTTGAATGACTTTACTGCAGGGTTGATAAATATTACAAAGGTATTTTAAGATATTAAGGATTCAATAGATATTTGTATTAGTTAATGTATTTAACTTATTCAAAATAAAACAACCCTGCTATATTAAAAGTACCTTTAAAATATTTAACCATATTTATTGAATCAATACATTTTACTCCGGTATTAAAAAAAAAAAAAAACAGGGTTTCTATTAAAAAGTAACGTTGCAAATATAAAAAAAACTCCTAATATAGTTAGTTTCATAATATTAATTTAATCTGTTTGGTTGCATAAATTTAAATGTTATTTTATAATTTATATATTTTATTGTACTTTATATATAGCTATTTATAATTTTAAATTTTGAGTGTAGTGTGAAATATATTGATTTTACTGTTTTTTCTATCTGTTAACAAATATTTCCTTACCAGACGACTCGTCCTGGTAGTTAATTTGTCTAGTTTTTATAAAAACATTTTTTATTTCATTGTACGATATATAATCTATAACATATTTATTGTGTCAAAACCAAAAATTTACAATTTATACATGATTCATAAATATTCATGAATATTTATTACTACAAAATATTTCTGAATTGAAAAACCAATGAAGTTAATTTTAAATGAACAATTATTGTCTATTATCTACCATTTTGTATATATTTGTTAAAAACTAGTTAATATTTAAATAATATTATGTTTTAATAAACACTTACTACCTATTATAGATTAAAAATATAAATTTATGTAATGAACCACTATATTATTATATTCTTCTTAATCATTCCAGTAATAGAAAATTAAGATTCAAAATATTAAGAAAATAAGATAATTTGAAAACTTGTCTTTTATGTAAATTATACAATTGTATTCTGTTGTGTTATTATTATATAAGTATTTAGTAAAAATTTAATTGTTTTATTATTTTTAAGTACCTACTATTAGAGATTTTTATTTTTAGTTGTTAAACCATTTATTTGTAAGTTACTGGGTGCCTAACCTAATATAATTTATGTTAAAAATACAACATATTATATTATGTTTTGTCAGTATATTTTTTTTTTATTATTATCAAATTAACAAAATATAAAATACAAAAAATTAATATAATATAACAAACAATTAGCCACTTGTTTCAGCTGAGCTTGCGATGGGACAGGGAGTTATTAATATATTTATAAATTACTTAAAATACAGATAAGTAACTAGCATTTCATTTATACATTTACCCAATTTCTTAAAAAATACGAACGTATTGTTGATGCAAGTCTTAATATTAGTATTTCCATTTAAAATATTTATTTTTACATTAATTGGCAAAGAGTTAAATATTACAGAACCCAAATAATTTATGAAGTTTTGACCGAAAAATGTATTTGTATAGATCACATTATGACACATTATTATTTGTTTCTCTATCGTGAGATTAACATCCTCTTTGCAAAATAAAAACTAGACTTTTAATAATAAACAAATATTATGGCGAGTTTTTTTTTTTTTCAGAACAATTCAATTGGTGGCACATTAAACTGTTTATAATTGGAATAGGTGAGTGTGTACTTTTAACATAGATAAATTATATTATTTTGTTGAACCTTTATTAGATCAATAACAGTTTTAGATGCATCACCCAAATAGTTTAAGCTATATTGTATTATAAATTGGTGTAAATAAACTAAAGACATGACTATCCTTCAAGTATGAAGTAAAACTATGTATTTGAATTTATGAAGTTTAAAAATTAGTTATAGAATACAATTTAACTATTAAATTGTTGGTATGTAGATTCCACCCAAGATTGTAATCAAATATTTTATTCTTTTGATTGGTGATATTAACTTTCAGGCAATACAGTTTACGTTATGCGGTCTTATAGTTTGATGAGTTAGTACATTTATGTCTGATAATTTCTTTATAGTAATTGTTTATTAATTTCTGTATTACATTTTAATAAACCTTTATTGACAATATAATAACTGTAAACTGTATAAAAACCGTATAATGAATAACGGGCAATAATGATTCGGCAAACATTTTTCGTAAAAATTTAAATTATCATTTAATAGTCCCAGAGTTTAATTTTAATGTTAATCCATTATCAGTTAACTTATACAAGTAAGATATATCCTCAATTTGATATAAGGATTTGTTTGAAGTGATCCTCATTGTACCTGTGGCTGTGTTTGAAAACCCTGTAACTAATGGTGCTAATGCCACTCTGATATCAGCCAAATGCGATGCTATACACGCGAGTCTCTTGGCCAACTCGTCTGATTTATGTTTCCAGCATCCGAACACAAGTGTCAAACGTTCTTGACATTTAGCAAATGTCAAGAAACCAACAATATCCTCTAGTTTCTCAGCCAATAGTAACACAGTGCTAATGTCGTCTACAATCATATACACAGGACCGGTAGGGTGTCGCTCCATTAGCTTTTGAGCGCAGGCGACGAGACCACTTGCTGATGTCTCGGACTCGACGAATGTAAACCTTTTCTTATTAGACATGGACAACAGATTGTAATGGAATTTCATGCCCACATTTTGATAGTGTCCGTAGGTGTCGCGGATACCTACCATACATACTGGACTGTCGGTCTTGTTGAATATATACCACATGTAAAACGACAAGATCACGTCACTTTTGGCGGTGTCCGTTTCCTCGATGCACACCAACCGACGGTCAGGCAAGTCGGGCTTGAGGACCAACTTCAGTTGTTCCAAAACGTCTACATTGGTCATAACGGCGATTCAAAAAAAGTATGAGAGTATAAATCACAGCTACAAAGGCTGAGAACAATTTTATTTAAAATGATAAATAGGTACGGAAACATCACAACTTACAGGCGTCTAGAGAGAGAACAACAGATAACAGTCAATTCTTTATCAATAAATATGATAAGAAAATCACAAGATGATTAATATTTCAAAATATTTTGTTTGGGTCCACAGACGTTGATGCGGTGTGACATTGAAATGTATAAGTAACCCGAATAGGTACGTTAATAGATACTCTTGCTGTATACTGCGCCATTGCGGTGTATCAAAACCAGTGTCTCGTACAACTTGCATGGAAAAAAATGAAATGGTTTAATTTTTTTTCCATAATAAAATAAAACCTTAATTGAAAACGTAAAAGTATTCAAATTTTAAATTGTAGTAGGTACATAAAATAAAAATACAATTTATATTATTTCAGGGAAATTACAGGTGTGAGGCGGTGCCTCACTGCCAAAACCGCCACCGACTAGTTTACTTAACCGGATTTTACTGGCCAGACTAAACTTCCCCGACCCGTCGTTCGCCGACCGGGCTGAAATTTGAAACAATCATCCGTAGTTACACCGTCGACCTTATCTCCAACAATCACAATAATTTATTAAACGTTGATACATTGTAATATATAATTATAAATCAATAGAGGTAACTGAGAAAAAAATAGAAGAGTTATATGTATTACAGAATACTTACTTTAGGTGCCTATAGATTTGGGGCTGTCATTTATTTGAGACTAAAAATCGGGGCATTCAATTTTAGAGAGGTTCGTGCGTCCTCCCACCGGAAATATTTTTGATTATTTCGATTATTTTAGTGTGTTTATCAATCAATTTAGATTTTTTTTATTTATTTAGACACTAATATTTATTAGTACATTATAAAACAAAATCATCAGTGCCTTCCGCCCGAATTTGTTTCCTGGCTACGGTACTAGTGGGCCGGTATACCCTCCCTAACTATCGAATTAATTTTTCTGCGGATTGTATCTAATTTATACCCGCACAATTCTTTGTGTACGGTATCCATGTCCGAGGAAACAAAAACTTTCGCTTAACAAACTAAAACAGACGAATGAATCAACATAATAAACATATAAATCATACTTTCGTCGTGTTGTGTCACAGCTATGATCAACACTTGTTTTTATTTTATCGATTAGATTAGGTACGACGACTAGAGATAGGGTGAGCGTCAAATTATCTGGTGGAAAGAGAGTTTATAAATATAACAAATAAATTGTATGGTTTTTTGTAAAACTTTACATTTTAAAGACACTGGAGATAATTTAGAAAACCGGTATTATTTAACGTCCCGGCCGGTGTAACCGGATAATCTTACTCGGGGGTGAGGAGGACGGTAAGACAATACTAGACAAATCTTATCTCCCCGCCACTTACGGTAATTATACATTTAAAATCCTATTAGACTTCCTAACATTATTGAGATAAAGTAAATTAATATTTATAGACATAAAAAATGCCTTTTGCCAAGCTTTAATTAAATTGTGGATCACCGCGAATTATCTAATATAACGCAGGTACCTAGACATAGAGCTAGTTCACATGGCAGGCGTTAGACGCGCATTGACGCGGATACCACTGTTCACACGGTTACCGATTTTACGCGTTAAGCGCGCGTTTATACCCTAGTCAGTCGAGTGTTGCTTTCTGTCGAAGATGGACGTTACAGATACAATTTGTTTATGGATGCTATATCGAAGAAGACAGCGTAATAGACAAAAAGAACGACATTTTTGGGTTCATCCTATTTTACAAAAAATAGACGTACCTCAAGCTTGCAAACATTACACTTTATCCGAGTCTCGGGACGTGTGAACCTAAATTTTTCAACTACTTTAGGATGTCAATTGAATCTTTCGATAACTTATCGGAGCTAATAAAGGAAGAAAAAAGGAAAAACTTTTCGAAAAAACAACCGAAATTGTTTGACAACAAGAACCAGTCGCTTCAAAACGCGCGTTGCAACTGAACACGTCAATACAAATCTGTATTATTTTTAGACGGGTTACCGGCGTTATTGCGACGTTGAACGCGCGTCGTCCGCCAACGTGCGTTATCATATGTACAGTTAATAGTCAATTGTAAACGCGCGTCTAACGCCTGTCATGTAAACTAGCTCATAGTCTAACCCATGTGATATTGTTTTTTTATTTTTTCGTTTTTGTCCCTTTTTATTTACATGTGGCCCACTGTGTCATGGTATTAATATCTGTTATAACTTAATTATTTACACCGGTCGTGCACGTTTTAGCTTTCTAGTTCCTATACCGTCATAATCATGTCAATTATGTTTGTCAGTCTTTTAATTTCAAATGTATTATTACCGTAAAGAAGGGGGGGGAGTAAGATTTGTCTAGTATAATCATACCCCTCCCCCTCCCCTTTCGGTAACATTATCCGGGGGTATGGTTGTCCTAGCACATCGGGACTTAGTGAATGACGAGGATGGCGCGCTTAAAACCGGTAGTGCCCCGATTAAAACGAGACGAATGAAGAAGAGTTTTCTAGAAATTTTGATATGCATAACATTAATATCAGATTTACCGTTTATGAGTTATAACAGTTTAAAGCTTGAACTGGAGGAGTAGGAAAGGGTTATGGATAGGCAATTTATTACTTAAACGATTTCATAATGATTAGAAAAAACAGAAATCGAATTCACTTAAAAATTTTACGCATTCTGACGTGATAATAGTTAGGGACGGTCAACAGCACGTACCCCAGTCGCGCCGCCTATTATGTCTATGGATATAGATACCTACTGGGAGTACAATAGTTTAAAATAAGGGTTTCGGTTTCGGTTTAGGATCTACTTACTTGAGATTCCCTGCACGGCTGCGTAGCTGCATTGAATGAGACGAATATTCAGAAAACTGTAAAACCTCAGAGAGGTAGTCTACAAAGTGTTATTGTATCCGTACATTTATTGTGATTTGTATTCTAATTACAAATATATTTGCTTTCCATACACAGAATCGCTTTAATTACTTTCAGAAATTTGTTTCTGTATCGCATGAACGTAACAAATTTTAGAGATAAAATTCATGCAGCATGCCGATAATAATATCCATTGGGAGATTTCTACTTATCGACCTGCCGTCTGTAAATAGGATTTATAACAGATATAGTAAATAATACTATTGATTGATTATAAATCAATTCATAATAAACTATCCATAATCAATGCTAATACCTACAAAATTGTAGACTAGGTATCGATACTCGCGATGATATTAGATTATAATGAATAAAAACTACACTTATCAATCATTATCACTGTAGTACTATAATTTGTACCTTTGAGCGCACGCCTGCATTATTAAATTTAAATAAATAAAATATGATTTCTGTGTGAAGTTTTTTTTTTAACTAATAATTCAGATATACCTATAGATAGGTACCTAATCAAATGGATACAAATCTCAAATTGAAATCTATTTAATTAAATTATTATAATTGAGTGGCAATATCACTTCCATTTCAATGTATTATCATTGATAGGGACGTGTTGATTAAATATCTACATAATTAAATAGCTATAGTAAAAGGCTCACGTTCTCAAAATACAAAATTTCAACATTTGTACGGGTACCTTCTTACTACATACCTATCTATATAATTCATAGAGCACAGTGGCATAGTAGTTAATAATTGTATGTACCTACTTGCTAGTTGTTAAATGACTATGTTTAAAAATATTCTGTGTAATTGAATTATAGTTTATAGTTTAAACAAAAACGAAATGTTTAAAAAAAGAATATTCATTCAAGAACTGTCTCGTGAAATCGGGATACATACAGTTCGGATAAAAACCAAACACCTCACTTATCTTGAACAACTAAAACCAATTACCACAGCATTGAAATTATTCGGAGTAATGCCATTTACTGAACATAAAAGTGGTGAGCAAATTACAATAAATAAAAGTTGGACATAATACTGTAATAATAGAATATTTAATATAAAAACTACAAATTATTATTTATTATCTACTAATATTATATTAATATTACTATTATTATTATTACCTATTGTATATTTGTACATAATTATAACAATTACAAATTATCAAAGACAAATAGGCGGTACTTACTTTTAAATAAATGATAATAATAATAATAATAATAATATTAGTAAATCGACTGTAGTATCCAGCTAATTTAATGTACTATGATAAAATTATTATTATAGTTATTCGTTATTTATAAAAAATATGTAATAATAATAGTTAATTCACCTTAACTGTTTTCGTGAATAATGAATTACACTTATTTTGATAGGATCAGTGTTTACGTTGTTTTCATGGATAATGTTATACAGTTTTTCAATTTTTGTTTGCCTAATTTGTCTATTATTTTATAAATTCTACATGGATTATAAATATTATTGCGAATCTTCGGACAAAGACATCTTTAACTTCCTCACTAGACTTAGTGGAACGTCACTTGCACTTGTTATCTTTTCTATTCCATTTTTTTGGTCTGATATGAAAAGTATATCTGAATACTGGAATCGATGGACTATTTTTCAGGTTTGTAATATGAATAAAAATTGGAAATAGCAAATTATAAACGGTGTTGTGTACAAATAAATTTGAAAATATCCAAATAATCAGCGGCGACTTTTTATCTAGAAAAGTTGTTTGGTTGAGTGACTTAATAATTATAATAGGTACCTATCCTACCTTTCATATTTTATAATAAATATATTAACTATGTACCAATCAAGAGGATTAACATTTAGATCTAGAGAAAACACAACACTGTTTGTACATTTATTTTATATTGTGTACCTATATAATTTAGCTATATTAATATATAAAATACTATATGTATTCTGTGTAGGTATAAACTATAAAATATATTCATTGGCGTGTATTGGATTTATTTTCTTTTGGGGAGGGGCGCCTTGATAATATTCTTCCACAGACATCATCACATATTGATTATAAACTAACGATAGGTTCAACGCCCCCTCCCCTATACATTCATCAGAGTTGGAAGAGGGCACTGAATTTCCTGAATACGCCATTGAATTTTTTATCTCTTTACACGTGTTTACAATAATTACTGGACATTTTGTTTTTTTAGCAAAAATTTGAATCGTGTATGCATAAACCCATACAGTTCAATATAACCAAATTAGTGTGGGTCGTGACAATAGTACCCACCGCCATAATGACACTTAATATTGGAACGAGCGGATTATTTGTCAAAGTGTGGAAAATATCGAATTCTATTATGTTCATAATCATATTCGGCATTATAAATTTATCTACCGGATATTTTTATATCAACTGCCATATATTCCGAAATATGAGCAAAGAAATAAACCAGCGTATTATGGTTAGGACCTTTATGTAACAATCATTTTATTATATTATATTATTTTATAACAAATTATTTTGGTGATTTTTAAGAAATCCCGAAACTGTGTGTGTTTTTTTTTTTTTTTTAATTCACAGAATTAATATAATAGTAGGAATCTATTCAACAATAATATTTTAGATGTTTATCGAGGAATGCATATTTTATAATAATTTATTATATTTAAGTGTTTAAATATTGAATAGGAATTGATCGTAACCAAAGGAACCACAACCAGGTTTAGGGAGCACGTAGAACTTTGGTGTTACATGTCTGATCTGATAACAAATTTCGGCACAGTCCACGCCGGAATGTTTTGCTCTGTAGCACTTGTCATGTACGTATCCAGTACTATTACTTTGTTCTTATTCTTCATGATTCTATTAAGCACAGAGAAACAATTGATCACTGCAGTATTCTTACCGGTTGTCTACACTAATTCAATACTAATGGTATACAGCGAAGCTGCGTATATAGCCATCTCGGAGGTAATATTATTCGATTGACAAATACCTACATAATTTTATTTTCTGTTTTATTAAAATTCCAAATTGTGGTAAATATCTCTTCAGATAGGACCGAAATTGCAGTGGAAAATTCTTAACTCCTGTGTACACGGCCTTGTGAAACAGACTCAACGAGAAGTAAGTTGTAATTTATAATTAAATTTTTTCGCCCTCGCGTCCAAGTAAATTTATCATAATTAGTGTTCAATTTACAAATTTTGATTTTTAAATAGATCTGAAACTGTTGATGAATGTGTTATTAGTGTAGTAGGACAGTTGAAAAGATAGAATACATAGTTATTTAATTTATATCTGTATGGAACAATAAATTAGCCCTAACCAAATACGATTCTGCGCATAATAGCTTAGACTTCAATATATAAGGATAATTAGAGGAACATTATTGGAACAATTGTTCTAGAATAATGTTACGAGTGTCTTTAGATACTGAACATAATGACTAACGAGGGAATATATTGATTTTTTTCTATCTGTAAATCACTTTTTCACAAGAAATATTGTACCAATTTTAAAGTTTACCATATTTCTGAAGGAAAATTGAATTTGGTTGGTGAATTGGGAGCCTATTTTTCAATTTTTCTTGTAGTTAATTTTGAAAAATAAAAAAATATACTACAATAACGGTTTCATTATTTTTTATTTGCTATCTATTTTAAAAATTACGGTGTTTTGAAACATATACAATTAAATTTCTTTCCAAGTCGCTTTTCGTTAGTAATAGTTTGTTATTATGTATCTACTCTATATACCTTACCTTCTCAAATTTTCTCTTACAACAGTGGTATATCCATTAGCAGCTTGTAACAGCTGTTTTGTTTTTTATTCTGTAGCTGTGAAAAAATTTTCTACCAGAAATCGTACTTTAATTTTCAACTGTAGCATCTTTTTCAAAAGCAAATTTTATCTTGAAGATGTATTAAAGGAATGATTTGCCTTGCTGTTTTCTAATAATTGGAGAACATTTTTATAGTTTGTGTGTGTTATTTCTTGTTATACAAATATATTGTTTATTACGTCAGGTGTAAAAAAAATGAGAGGGAAAAACTTCTTAGATAACGAAAATTAAATTATCATTGATTCGTAATAGTGCGTACAAAGATATAAAGGTATAAATGTAATTAAATGTATTAAAATAAATATTCATATCCAAGCCAGAAAAAATAATTTAAAATAAATGCAATATATTTATTATAATACAGTCATCGAGATAGGTAAGCAATTTTGTTTATATATCGTGATGTATATAGGTAAATCATCGATTGATAACATATTTTAACGAGTCATTAACATAAATAGAGCCGAAATCGGATAATTAACTAATGGGCCGTGATTTTGTGTTTTTTGACAAATTTCCCAATTAACTGTGTTGGCGGATCTGCCGATGTATGATGAAGTGTTAGATTAAGCACCTACAGTAAATTATACAATTATTCATTCCAGGTACAAGATTTTTTAGAATTAATCCAGATTTATACTACTATTAATTTTGGTGGTTTTTGTGATGTCAACAGACAATTTTTTATTAACGTAAGTATAGATATTATGCTCTGGCTAATTATATACCGTTATATAACAATTAAATTCCATATATCTCTATTTTTATGGTTTATTTATTTTTATTATGGTCCAACGTTTATTTATAATGATATTGAGTAAAATTGATTTTGATTTTTTCCCCGTCATTACAGAGTTGTTTTACCCTTGCTGTGCTGTTTTACGAATTTTACCCTTATTGTACAAACCGTAAACAAACGTAAACACTTATCTATAAGCGTTTAATTTTTAACCCTCTCCTTTCAACTCAGATTTGAAAAATAAAATATCAATCCGTTTTATTATTCAAACGAATTAAATAAAATACCATAATGTTTTTATTTTTCAGTCTTTCTTCGCCGTGGTTTTTAACTTGGTCGTTGTATTTCAATCTCAAATAATTCCAAATCAATATACGACATAATGGTTGAAGATTACTTGTTGAAATTTAAACATACGAGTAACGAGTATATTAATTTATTGTATAATGCATATTTATTTGCTTTATTATCCATTGATTTATTTGAATACTGTAGTAATAATAGTTGAATAAAGGAAAAAAAAATGACAATCGGTTGGGAATTATTATACATTGTGTTACAAGGAAATATATTTTCCAATATTATTGATACCTAACAGGAATCATAGGCATCTTTACGGGGTAGCGAGGGGTAGACACCTACCTCACCATTTTTAATGGAGTAGCGAAATAACAGCTACGCCATCTTACGAGTGGGTTGTAGCAAAATAGAACTGTACGAGTCTTATATTTTTTATTCGGAATATGATCACGACAAATATATCTTATATGATAATTGATAGATACAATTTTAATAGTGTTATCGGCTACATTTTATGTATAAAGCCGGTTTCGTATCACGCGAACATTCCTCGAAATTCATCGCGTTTGAGATAATATTCAACATTTAATCTATTTTTAGCGAAACTAAATGTTTGTTTTTTACAAGAAACGGTTTATCGTCGACAACGATCGGGGACACACAGTGGGGTGTTTATACGAAAAGGCTGGCCGAAAATACCCATTTTATGAGCTTATTTGAAATTAATCTAAAAACAATTTCTGGTTATAATTTTATAGTTTTAGATTCTGATCGGAACGAAGAGGCTTATGGTTTTACAAAGACGTTTATTTATTTTTTTTTTTTTATCTGTGCGCAACTTTTCTACCAGAAGATTTGTTCCGATTTTTAAGTGTAGCATTTTTTCTGAAAGGAAATCAGTGTGGAGAGTTACATAATTTTTCGATTTTCTCAGGAGTTTTCTTGTCAAATTCGAAAAGTTGGGATAAAACATGGGAATACCAGTAAAAACGTAGGAAAACTGGGAGAATCGAAACAACATTAAATATAACATTATTATGGTTGCTTACAGGCATACATTAAATTACTTGTAACAGTGGCTGCACCCTATCCCTACTATCCTCGGACAGCTTTTTGTCTATGATATATTTCGTCAACGTCGAAAATTAAAGTTTCTGAAGAATAATTTGATATATATATATATATTTTTTTATCTTTGTTAATGAACTTGTTTGAGGACTCTTATTTTTATCTATATTTATGTTTTATAATATATCTTTACACAACACACGGTTACATCTTGTAAACGTATAAGTTATAACTGCGGGTACAATTAACACACGGAACCATAAACATGTATGCAATCTCCCCCACTAACCAATAGCTGTTTGCTTTCTACTCGGCGAAAGAGGGAAAAACTATTGATGGCGATTGTTGGCCGCAACGCGCGCGTATTGCTCGTCCTGCAGTGGTGACACGGTGCTCGCCCCGAGACGATTGGCTGTGCGCGGAACACGAACGACGGCCGGAGACGGTAACATGACAACACGGTGAATCGGTGCATGTACGATCGCTGTTAACGTACGGTATGGTAGAATAATATTTTTGGGCAAATTGCAACAAAAATGTATTTTACCCCGCGTTTAATGTAAACGCGCGAAATTTCGGTACCGAGTGCCAAAAAAGTCATTTCTTTGAGTTTCGAAGTATTTTCACACTGCGCGTACCTGGGTAGTGTGTATATAGACTTCGATCACCCGAAGCGCGCAGACTCCACGCGAAGACGCGGTAAGTGCACTGCCTACCTTTAATTTTTTTTTTAAATACATAGTCATTCGTCGATTTCGAATACATTTCATAAACTGACTTCTAAATTGCGTGTACCTGAACGTAGAACACGAAATCATTCGGTGTCGTATTTACTACTTAGCGTACCAATGTGATAATTTCAGTTTTTCACAAAAACGTTACGTCTCGAACACATTTTTTCATCCGTTCGATTCACGATTATTTCCGTGCACATCAACGCGTTCTCATTTCTGCAAAGGTCCTTTGAGCCTTCGAGCCCCGTGTCATCTATGATAGTTTTAGGAACACAGTACACACAAAAGTTACTGACATTTGTATCACGCACCATTGAACTTCCGTCGGGTTTCATCGGTCAATTCCAATTTGTTTTGTTCATAATATTCACATTAACGCATATTTCAACGTATCATAACCAACTTCAACGCTTATGTCAGATATGCGTCTATGAAATGTGCCCGAACGGGTACTTACCATTTCCTCTCAAATGGTGATTGGTTAGGTTATATTCTCTACCTAACATAATCTAACCTCAAGTCTGTGTGACCGACCGAAAAGGCGTACGTTTTCGTCGGACGCTATCTTCTTAGAGGCCATGGTATTTTATGTAGATGAATTACGTACAGACGAACGTAGTGCAGTAGGTTTAATTTTAGAACACAATTTTTATTTTATTATATTTTTTCTGTATGATTTTACAAAAAAAAAAAAAAAAATGTATATTGTTGTCAACGATTTTGATTTTTTTTTTTTCGTGTAAAGTGATATCCGTGATGATAATTCGACACGTTATTTCACCACTAGTCACGGTGGTGTTATTTCGTAACCCGGGACATGAAAAAAAAAAAAAAAAAAAAAAAAAAATAGGAAGGTAGAATAATTTAGTTATTTTTTTCATTTATTAAATTGCATTAATAATAATAATAATTTATCAACGAAAAATCCGTCTTTATACCTGTACACAACGATACATCATTGGTGACGTCTGGACGGAATTCAGTTTGGTAATCATGTGTTGATAAATTACCATCGAAAATTGTATTCATTTTTCATATATTTTTCTCATATTTGGTAATCTAACCTCGGAGAAAAAACGAAGAAAATGATTCACAATTCGCCAGCCACAATGAAAGTTTTTTTTTTAAAACTTGTTTTCATTGCATAATTTTATAATAACCGTATGCGCTTTATAATATAACATTTATTATATCAGTTTACGTAATAAATTAAAATAGTTATTGATTCTGGTTTTTAAATTTTTTAAATGTTAAAAACGTTCTCCGATAAATCCCCTCTCCTTGGCTGAGGTTGATTTTAACTAGTGGGACTAGGTTTATTCACCACGGGCCGTATTAAAAAATATAGAACGTATAATGATCGTACAGGGCAGGGCTCTAGTAATTACGAAAAGAAAAGAAAAAAATCAAAAATATTGAACAGAACAAGATTTATTTCAGGTGGTAGATGTCTGTGTTAGTGGCCCAGAGACCGGAGCCTTTACGATTTCAAGGGTTTCGGTTCTTAAAAAAAAAAAAATCTATTAAGCGTTCCGGTCTTGTGATTTTTAAAGTGTCCCGGTCATTTTCGGCACGGCCTTTTAAGGTTCCGGTCCCTTTACACCTTGTATAATTATTATACAATACGCGTCGCAACGTAATTAAATAACGTTACCGGTTTTTGCTATTTCGTTTTCCCGCAGGCCTGTCTATATCCACGTCATCGTGCCCTGCAATGGCCGCGTATTCGTACGCCGAATCGACCACGGCGCTATTGCACCGGGAAGTCGCGGAAATGGAGACCACCACCACGCTGCCCGCGTCGCCCGGACGACTGGTGTCGGTCGATTATCCGTTCGCGGCCAAAAAGATGTCGGCGCCGGCGACCGCATCAACCGCGGCAACGGCGGTCGATTACGCGGTCAAGAACGTTTCGGTGACCCTGTGCCATCCGTCCGCCGGTATACCGTCCGTTGACGAATACTTCACCGGTAAGTCGAATTCGGATATCCGTGATAAAATCGCGCGTGCGGCCAATAGCCGTACACATATATGGGGCTATATATATATATAATAGCCATATATTTATTATATACTATGTACGCGCACACAAAATATATAATACAGGGGCGTATAGAAGGAGGGGGGACGATAGAGGTGATTGCCCCTGGGCATTGTTGAATTTGTTTCGCGTACACCTGTACTCACTTATTTTTATTATTATCAATCGAAAATTTAGAAAAAAAAAAAATGTTACTTTTTTTTTTTTGTGCGGAAATGGTTATCGAAAAAATGTCAAGAGATTGACAAGAGATTGGGGAGATATTGTAGCTATCATCGACACAATATATACCCACGGTCGATTATAATAATTATATTGTGATTGTCTGTACTCCGCAACCATGGCCGGTGTTATTAACACATACTGTGTTCGGGGAATGATACCATAGAGCTGTAATAACCATATCATAACAAAAATTGATAAGCTTTAATGGAATGGCGGCCACGGTAGTGCGAGTACAGTGCTGCAGGTCTGCAGCAGTTTTCTACTTCTATAACTAATAATTTATAACTATGATTAAAGTTCGAATTTCGCGCTCCCGCCCCGCCCCCCTACCCCCCGGAAGAGGAGCTGAATACGCCCCTGATATAATACAGCGAGGCCTATTTGTCGTCATTTTTCGTACTACGGTCCTCGAAATACTAATAAATTTATGACGAAAATGATAGAAAACCATCATCCAAAAATGTTTTTTAAGATATGTCGTTCCGAAAATTAATATCAATTTCACCGCACAGTTTTTAATATTTGCGGGTATTGGAAATCGTTAGATATTGAACTAATACGTAATTTGATAATATGTTTATAGGCTGTTAGCTATCTTTATTATTTTTGTGTTATAAAAGTACAGATTAGATCAAATTGTATAAAATTATAAATTGTATTTACAAATATGTTGGCTCTTGATATCATCGCATTTATATATTATGTGGCTCGCGAACATACTCGTGTTGGCCATCCCTGTAATATAGCTAAATAACTGTATAAACTGCGTAATCAATAAATGTATCTAATAACATACACTATTATTGCAATTTATTATGACCTTTTAATAGTATATTTACGGGAATTTTTTCTGAATCAGCATTCCTCTGCACACGTAGTGATTGTAAACAATAATATTCTACCAGAAATCTTGCTTCGGTCATCGACTTCAGGAATGGTTGAAATACATATTTTTTTTTTTATTATAGTAGTAAATTTTGACAATAATCAGTGAACGCTGGGACGGTCATTTTTTGATTTCACTTGTACTTTTCTTAATAATTGAAGAAGAAATGAGTATTTATTTTACTATAATTGGCATGTATTTCCGTGAATAAAGATTATTATGTCAATACGAGAAAATGTACGTAATAAACGGGTTCTGTTATTTTATATTTTGTTTTTTTTTTTTTTTTTTTTTTATTAAAAATAATCTGGGTATTTTTAAAAGTTGTCAAATATATTCGGCGATGTTTGAGTTATTTATAAACATTTTAAATTGTCGTTTTTTTTTTCTTCTTCGTATAGCTATTATTGTTTCGACTCGGTAAAAATACTCGATAATTTAACAAGGTATTCATCATGGGTTGTACTTAGTGGTTAAACAAATTGTGAAAATTTTAAAGTTTAATATACTTTGTATACGTTGCGTACTTTGAACAATTTTCAGATAGATTGGAAAATACCAATTTAGGTGTTCTGTGTTACGATACGAAAATGTGACGTTAAATTTTGTTTTGTTCCAGTTAATATAGTTCCTATTCTCTACGAATAGCTTGAATTATAGAATTGCAATCAATAAACCGCGATGTCCGCAATAATAAACTATAGAATTATTATATTTTGTAACAATATACAGCAGTGGTCGCCGCTTAATGGACACGCGGTTAATCGACTCGTTCGTCCGTCAGACCCAAACAGACCAAGTCCCGATTTGCGCGCACACGGAAAAATATTCGCTTATTAGACTCACTGCACCGGTTACAAGGGCCGTTTAACAATACGATAAATCGACAAGTAACGAAAATCGAAAAAAAACTCGCTGTTTGACGCGAAGCTTACGGTACCGGTATTTCATCGTCGTCATAGAGATAATAACTGAATTATCTTTTCGCGATAGCGTAATGTACGTACAACAAGTCAATGACGACTCAACAGCCGTTGGTTTTTCAATCTATTCACCTGTGCAACTGGCGTTGTGTAATCCGGCTTGACCCGTGTTACCACGAATAAAATAAACGCAGCGATACGAATGCGGGTGAAAAATTGCACTTTTAACCTTTAGCCCTCAAAAACTAGACAAACTTAACCTGTAAAGCGGTACTCAGCAGTATTTGCGAAGACGGGAAAACTCAATCAACTCTGTTCAGTTTTATACCAAAAATGAATTGGGTAGAATTTTTTATTTAAGTACATAATACACACAATCAATTACAGTATTTCCATTTTATACATTAATTTAGTCTCAATAAATATTTTAAAATTATTTCAATTTGTGCACGTATGGAATTTTTTTTTTTTTTGAGGACCTTTAGCCTTATTCGCTCATTCGGTTAATTGACTCAAATGGTCTGGTCCCAAAGTGAGTCTAATAAACGTCGACCACCGCAATTGTTTAGTGATTAGTAATCGCGGGATGGAATTGCACAATATAATGGACCACAGTAATGAGTATGTTTTTAAAAAAAAAAACCTACGGTTTTCTATTGGCTATAATTTAGCGCGAATATTCGCGAATGATAGGTACCGATGTCCGTCTACGACTATGATGGGCAATGATGCTACGAAAAAATGATTTTTTATCTCGACTTGAATATAATTTCCCCCTCCCCCCTTTTTTTTTTTTTTTTCCTAAAACTTGGCCGCGAGAACGAAATANAAAAAATGATTTTTTATCTCGACTTGAATATAATTTCCCCCCCCCCCCTTTTTTTTTTTTTTTTCCTAAAACTTGGCCGCGAGAACGAAATAAAAAATCACGACGGAAAAAAATGAAATTCGTTGCATAACTAATGCGCGCTTATTATGTAGGCACAGTACACATTATACACATTATTTTATTTGATTTTTTTTTTTTTTCCCCCGCGAACAATATCTCCGGAGTCGCGTGAATTCTCATAGCCCTTGCACGGTCTGCGGTCGTTTGGACACGGAATTACGAACATTTCAAGGTTTTCCACGGCCACGGCAACGTTTTCTTCGCGTATCCTCCAACGGGTATCACACATCACGCCGCGTTTACCCATTGGATCACGGTCGTTTGCACACTCCGACCATCCGACGTACGCCAAACCCGCCCCCCCCCCACACCCGTACGGTTCGTGCGCACACCTTCGCGCCGGCGGAGACGTGTTGCGCGTGGCGAACTCAATGTTATCGCGCGCTACCGTACGCGCGCACCCGCGTCCGGCGTACGTACCGATAACATTTATACGTACGATATCCGTCACTCCGCGGTTCTCATCGGTCGCCGCCGCGTGTACGGTTCTGTTGCGCAACCCGCGACCGCGGCGCGGTGTCATCATCCGAACGCGCGCAATCGGCGCGGCTTAACGACTCCCGAACACCGGCGTGTACACTCGTACGTATCGTTTCACCGTCGGCTTATTATATCACGCGCGCGCGCGCGCTCGTTATCACACTCGCACGCGTCCGCCGCGGAGCCGTACGGGCATGGTCAACGGCACGTACGGTGGCGATTTGCAGCGGACAAACCACTTTCTAGTTTCTCTCGATCGCTCTGTCTCCGTCTCTCTCTCCCACTAGTCAATTCTCACTCCCCCCCCCCTATCAATTTCCGCACGCACGTTATTACACCTATTACCGAATGTATGACAGGTCTCCGTAATATTACGTCACCGAGTATTATAGCCTGCTGCTGCTATACTACTGCAGTCGTCGTCATTGTCTTAGAGTATTATTATTTTTTTTTTTTTTAATTTTGAATTTACATTTCGTATAGAAAGCACCCGGAAAACGAATATATTAAAACGAATGTAACGAATCCGGGTGCTTTAATCTCGTAACTTCTATTGGCATCTCCGTTACGAGAAATTCAATTACGGCAATGCTCGTCGTCTGAACCTGCAATGCCCATCAATTGTTTGCGATTTCCTCGCGTTCTCGTTTTCATCTTTTCGCGAAAAAAAATAGTACCTAACCTTCACCGTGTACTTTACGCTTTTGAATAAATTATAGTCGCCGACCAAAAACTATACGGCCGTGGTTATGGTTCTGTGGGCTGATTTATCGAAAATATATTGTTTCCAAATAGCATTTTCAATAACACAGCTATGCTGTCAAATGGGAATGTGGTAAATATTACACCAAGTATTGACTTCGTTTTATTATACTGATTTTTAAAATTGTTATAAAACAAATTTGTTTAACTATTGAACAACAGGCCATAGATATTTATAATTTACTCCTCGTTGCAGGGAATATAAATCCATCGACGTGTGCCCTTATTAAAATATTTAACGATTTACAAAAGTGTGTGGGTCTAATAAAAATGATACTTTAGATATTTGTTATCGGAAAACTTACAGAATAATATGTACGACGCTCGACGGTACCAAATAATAAACTATTTAAATTTAAATAGGCGTAAATTAAGTTACTTAGACCACAGTCGTCTAAATCTCTTAAATAAGTGCTTGAGGTTTATGAATCTAGAACATTCCCCTTCCGCATACTTCGGACATTACGTTTAAGTGTTGAGTCAATTTATTTGTCCAACACGAGGGATAATCCATATTCCATAATCCATAGGTATTGATACCTACATAACGACGGTGGACACGTTTAATTAAACACATTCGCCCTTTGATGGTTTTAACTTTCAACTATAGAAGTATTGTGGTCATAATCTTAATAACCGCATCTAGAATAATCACTACTATCAATTTATTAATTACCTGCCTATTTGTCCAATAAAATTTCAAAGCTCACTGTTCACAATTTATCGATTTTTAATTGCTGAGACTAACGGTCTGATAAGTAAATAAGTCAGTAATATTGATATAGTGTTATAAATTATATTATCATACTGATACAGACTGATAAACGTAAATATGTAGCTTTTTATAGTCATAATGGAACAAATACATTCGGGTATGGACAGCGTATTGTTGGCGAGTACGATGCACGCGTCCAATTTTATAGAAATCTGATACAAGTTGATTGTAGACATAAATGATAAAATAATGAATAGGCCATTCCTTTTAACAGACCCGACACTTGTACACATTTTTGTTCTAACTCGAGCAACTTGGGGTTTACACCCCAATTATACTAGGTACCTAGTAGCATCTATGGTTTTATAACGTTATTTTGGTTGTAGACACGGACACTGACCTCTATGGATACTCGCTGGAAACGTTAATGCGCACAATAAAAATAGTTTGTCGTAGTTCATAATATAACTACCGCGAAACTCGTAAAACAAAAACGATCACGATTGGCGTATCTGTACATATACCAATTAGCAATCGCTAACTAAAAAGTAACCATAACAGACAGCAGCATTACCCATACGTTTTTGTTTTTGTTTAATGACAACACCAATTATAATATTTATTACTGCGGTTTTTCTGCGCTCATTAACTTATACTGTTTAAATTGGAGCGCGATTGTTTTCGCAAAACAAAGAAACCAGTGCATATTTGGCTCTATTTGTATCGACCTGATCAGGGTCACTACTCGGGACTCGGAAACTTAATTCCATACACGAATTATTCAATATTTTTTTTCTCATTTCACGATTCACTCCACGTATGAAATCCTATTCTACGCGTGTTTCAATAATTTTAATCATCGGTTCGTGCCTCGTAACACAATACACGCTGACATCAACACGCCATCAATTTTTAAATTGAATTATGTAGCGATCGAAAAAATGATTCGGCGCAATCGTAACATTAACGATCTAATCAATCAATTATTCTAATCATTAATTATGGACGGAGCCGCTCGTCTCGCCGCCGTATCGACTCGCCACCGAAGAAATTGGAAAACGCCAGAACATTTTTAAAATTTTTTTTTAAAACCGTTCATTATTATTATTATTATGAGTACCTACTCTAAAAAATGTATTACCTTTTCCTGCGCCTCCGGTCTAAATTTCAAACTGTTATAAACCTGTATGGTTCATAAACAGTAATCCGTACCGATATTAGTGTCACTAGTTTATTACGCATGTCAACATTTTATGTTTAAAATGGGAGAATCCTATTTGAATGTCGGTATAAACTTATCTAAGGTGATTAAAAATAGTATTGACAAATACAATTTAAATTGTTCCATAACGGTTGAAAAAAAAATATAAATCGAATTCACTTAAAATCCTCCGAGAATATTACTGGTTCACGATAAATAGATCATATTTTTACACTCTGTATAATATGATAAAATATTCATGGTGAAATATCAAACGACATGACGACGAGTCGGTCTCGCTGAGTCGGTCACATAGGGGTTACGCGAGTAATGGGGAGGAAAGACCTCTGAATAAAAGAAAAAAAGTCAATCTATCGAGGTAGTGATACAAGGTTGTAGTGAAATAGGTTTTGTCTCATTCAAAAAGTAGTTAAGTGTTAAGCAATAAAAAATAAAAGAGCCGCGTCGACCATGAAAGTAGGAGTGAACTAGTGAAGTGAGGTAAATGGACTTGAGAAAGAGCAGACTTGGCCATAATATCACTATTTTGATTGGCCGACTTTTTTGGATGGCGGTCTAGAACTTGGCCCTTTTTTCACTACAAGGTTTTTGTTGAGGATACGCACTTTTTCTAAACATCTATTTTATTCGAAAGATCGTGATTATAGATATTTTATAAACATACCTCTAATATAATAATATCTTTAATCGTGTAGATATATACATGTACAAAATATCCATAATTTGAATATTTCTTTACAGCTATAAACCTGACCGGAGTGGCGATATTCACATTGGGTGCGGTATGTGTAGCCCTGATCGTCTATCTTTACGTCGACACGCTCAGATATATTATCAAAAACGCGCCACCCATGGTAAAAACACATTCAGCATTCATTCTCAGCGTGTACCCGGTAAGCGGTTGTCGTCATATTAATAGTCTGATATTGGTCGTTCGTGTCACAACAAACGAACCAACGCCAGTTTTTCTCACGTGTTCCGTATTAAATAACTAACAATGTGTGCATTTCGGTCCACCAGGTCGTTGCTGTAGCCACATATTGCGCAATATTGGTGCCCAGAGCCCATCTGCTGGCCGAGGCCATGACTCAGGGTATGTTTATGGCGTCCATGTACCAACTGTTTTGCCTGTTTATGGCCTATTGTGGCGGTGAAGCCAATCTCATCGCCTCTGTTAAACCACAGTCGTTAGACATGCAGGTTCCACCGTGTTGCTGTTGGCCGTGCTGCTGTTTTCTGCCAAAGTTCACACTTACAAAGTACAACGTCTTTTTACCCTCACCTGTACACGACTCACCGAACGCATTTTACGTCCTTTTAACGACTGGCTAACACGTTTATAACAGACTAGATAATTAAGAGAATGCTCAGCTCGTAATATTTTCGCCGTATTTAGAGGAAAACATGAATATTTCAGAGATTGAATAACTCGATAAGCAATCTATTTATTTATTTATTATTTTTTTTTTTTTCAATATACTCGTTCGCGTGCACAAAATAAAATCGGACGAACTTGGTTCGGAAGTTATGGCGGAAAAAACTTAAAAGTTCAGTTTTCTGTAATGTGCGTTTTACACGTAAACGGCTACAAATATACATTTTCAATGTTCGTATTGACGAGTATACAAAAGTGTTGCCGTGGCCCCGTTCTTATTCATCCAGTCGTTCTAGGTTACGCTAAGATTTCGCAGTACCCGTACTCTAGTCGGGAAAAGATTGAACCGCCTTCGCGCGTGATCTGCCGCGCAAGTCCGGTTCAATGATATTCGGCGCCGTTCTGTGACGGAACGTCGTCACTGCTACCGCCGTGCTCGCGGGGAAGCCCACGGGCGCGGTCGGCCGGCGGGATAGTTTAATAACCAGGAGGGACGCGCGAACGGAACGGACTTTCGGCGTCCGAGCGGTCCAGCCTTATTCCGAATAGAGCATACCCACACTGGTTCAATTTAGGTATGGCGCGCACATGCTGTTTATTACTGCCACTGCGCCGTGCCTACCGAATGGTTCTCTGCAATTCGCCGTGCCGTTTCCTTTCTAGCGTCGCCCCGCTGCCTTCGATTTATATGTATACATTTTTTTTTTTTTTTTTCATTCATACAGGAAACACTTGAGGTACTTACGAATATTAGTGTTACAACTGCCCGTCGTCCAAGGTTTCGTGTACATGGTGTTGCTTGTCATGTGGGCAGAAGAAGAGGTATTCGAGTATAGTCATCGTAATACTTAACACTGTTCAAGCACTAGGTGCTTGAAGTACCTGTTATTTTTCAGTACAACATTAACATGTTTGTCTACCAAAAGTACCAGTAATATCGAAACGTATTTCGCTTCCCCTCCCCGTGGCATTATCACTATTCACTAAATATTTGATACGTCATCGTCATAATTTATAGCAATGCTGTATGTATCTACAGAAATTACAATAAATTTTGTATTCCTTTTTAAATTATATCTGTACCCAAGAATGTATTTAAGTCGGGGCTGAAAACTAACGGCAAATGACAATTCCGATTTCGGTTCACGTTTTCACAAAGAAAAAAAAATTATCATTAATATTATAAGTGTTAAAAAAAAAAATGTGTTATATGGTTCAAACGATTTTCTATTTCGAACACTAGTGGAAGAGTAAAAAAATTAACACAGACAGGGAAGGTGAGCCCTTCCACCACATGCATATCGTGGGAAGAAAGACGGGTCTCAGGAAATATAAGTGACAATGGATAGTTACACCATCTATATTTTTACCCCTCCCTCCCCCTTCATATAAAATATAGTTCCAAAGTCTATAAAAAGTACATTCAAAAATAAAATAAAACAAGAACTAATAGTGGGGATGGGAACGGCTACTATTGTAAGTGAGAAGTTGGGAAGGTAGGATACATAAGATTATTTCATTTATATCTGTAAGCAACGATTACTTGACGAAAGACGATTCGGAAATACATAATTTTAAATGTATTTTTTTTTTTTTGCGATTTTCGTTTAAATTTGATTTCAAAACGCTTATTTTAAAAAAAAAAAGTCGTTCGATAATTTTGGAAATTTCACTACACCTAGGCAAGTTCAATATATACAATTAATAAGTTTTAAGTCTACGTGTATTCCTAACTGAATTACATCAAAAAAACTCCCAAAAATTAAAATTCCTTAAAAGCTCAAATGTGGCTCAAAGTGCGAATTTTGTGCGTGATTTTTATTTGATAGGTACTCATGGATGAAATTGTTAGACTAAACAGAAATGCTTGAAATTCAGACAAGAGGTTCATTATAAGTGGTTCTTAATAATAATAATAAAAAAATTGAGTACATTGTAGTAATTCATTTTTATAATTTTTAAAATTAAATTTTGACGAAAATCGTAAATATCACGACCTTTAATTTCGCTCCGAATCGTTTTTAGATGGTTACGGGTATAAATTAAATAACTTAATGTATCCCACCTTCTCAACTACTATATATCGTATATTACACGATATTATTTTATATTACGATGCATACAATTTTCAGAGCTTGTACCAAGTTAACTACATGTACATGCAGCCATTAATCGTGATTTCCATTATTTGTGGAATGTGGGGAATTTCGATGACTATGCGAGTGCTGGGAGAGATACTCCAGGATCACAAAATCCAAGGGAAATTCATAGCGCTCCAGCTGGTGCTTGTGTTGGCCAAGTTACAGGGGCTCGCGTTCAAGACGATGGTGTGGAAGGGATGGTTGCCTTGTAAGCCTCCGATTTCGCCAACCGTTTATGCCAACCGTACGTAAACACTATACAAATTAACAGTTTAATATTCAATCTTGCGCGGAGGCTGTTTAATTTCCCCAACACGTATGCGTACGTCCACGCGGAAAAACTACGCGATCAGCAACTACGCACGGGCACGTGCAACCGACCTCGTACAATATTAGTCGTTTTTTTAGTTATAATACCAGCGCATGCATACCGGTTTGACGTTATTGCGTAACAGCTAAATAGAAACTCCGTCCGTAAATTAACGCAAAACCATTTAACCACAAACCTTTATTTTTGCAGTTATATACAATTTTACCATGCTGTGGGAAATGTTGCTGTTGGCCGCGTTGGCTAGGAAGCTCTACAAGAGACCGTTGCCGGACCAGTGCTTCGGAGATCCACCGAAGATCACGTGTTGCGTGGACTTGCCCAGCAACCAGGAAAACAACAACATCATAAACGGCACGTACAATCAATGCTTTGACATGAACGCATAATTTGTGACTACTAAAAGGGCCATTTAAACTTAGCGATCGATAATTTTTTTCCAAACGTAACACTTTATTAATTGTACCAAAGATTATCGTAAATTATCTCTAGTTATATAATTGTACGACGATTCGGTTTTTTATGTTTTAGTAAAAATATCACTTACATTATATTACGAATTTACACTCTGCGTCGGTAGTTTTGTGACACCGGAAAGTGATATTAGAGGTTGGATGAAAAAGATAAGATCAGGTAGAACAAATCATTGAGGACGGGAAGGGAAGAAGTTGGAAGAGTATAAGCCGGAGAGTGCGCAAAAAAGATGGAATAGAAGAAAAATGGATAGGGAGATGAAGTAGAGGATATATTTGAAACCAAAGTGGGTTTGATTCTGTTATAATATCTTCAGAGCCTAAAAAACATCCACGATTCTGTTTTCCTGTATAACGGAGAAAATGTCGCTTCTCCTTAACATATTATCCAAGAGAGTCACGTTTTAATTTAGCTTAACTGATGTATAACAAAATATCTTTTGTTTATTATTGCATCTATTTATATTTTCTAAACACGAATTTAAATATTTGAATCGGATGCCTAAATGCTCGTATTGTTGTAAATATACGAGCATACGAGCAAATTTTCGTAAATTATAATGTAAGTGTTATTTTTTTAATGAAATATTAAACCATAAACTACAATTGTATAATCATATAGAAAGACTACGGTAGCTACTCCATTAAGTTATTTAAAAATAATTAAGTTCTTCAGGTGCTCTTTTTAAGCTGTAACAAAATTAGTGTTATACGGTACGACCGAACAGATTGTCGCAAATAAATATTCGGTTTTTTTTTTCTCCGTTATATCGTACTATAATTTGAATCAAAGAACATGTCTGAGATGAATGGTCATTTTAAATCATTGACTGCTGTTGTGACGACGACTCGCAGGGTACTCGTACTGCTGCGACAAAACGTGGTCTACGAAAAACTCTACCGAGTAAACGGACTCCATTGAAACTACTCTGTAATCAAAGACGATATTTTTTTTTTATATATATATATATTATTACGAAACATTTTTATACTAAAAATATAAAATACACTATAAAAATTGTTCTTCTTTCCCCTTTCCCGTCCTCCCGTAGTCTCATCTATTTGCGGCCGGTCACCTTGGCCCAACATCTCCACTTGAATAAATCGCTTACATCACGTGTGCACATCGCACACCGCGGCAGTCCTCAGAACCAGCTTTATCTTTTCCTTTCTAAAACAGGAAGGTCCGCAGCAAGAATTCCATCTAGAAATTAGGCAATCTATCTCGGCGGAGACGGCGCGGTACGCTCGAGTGATCCCGAGATCAAAAATCAAGTGACGGTACAATGGTAGATCCAACAATCTAACGTGGTATCTGTAGTGTGTGTAGTGCTAATTAATTTTCTTCGTTCATTAAAAAAAAAAAAACAAAAAAAAATATAAATATAATAATATGATGTTAAATAATGGTTTGGTGCGATATTTAATAACAAATCAAGAACGACATTAAACAGAGAAGTCCCATAGGCGCAATCGGAGTAACAAGTTAGGTGAGGCTGAAGCCGCGACATACATTTTTTTTGATCAGTGCCCCTTAGTGGCTTTCCTTATTCTCTTATTCCCCGTTTGAAAAATATACTTATTGGAGGCCATGTAAAACTGAAAACGAAACAAAAAACAACGTAAAAAAACTAGTCGTTACATTCTGTTTTTGGCTTTTCATTATCACTTGACGTGTACGTAGTATTACGCACCTACTAATCTATACTCGAATTATGGAGTTTAGGCTATTGGCTAGTACATTTTTTCACATTATAATTTACACCTATTTAAATGACCGGGTATAAATACAAATATGTATTTGGAAACGTTTCACAAAATACTAAAATACACATATTTGGAAAGAAAAATATCGAAACGTTAAGACAGAACTGTTAATGCTCTTATGCAATTTTCTATAGATAGTCTTTACAGGCGCTTGATCAAATTATCAAAAAAAAAAAAAAAAAAAAAATGTTCCAACTGAAAAAGCTGAAAGAGTCTGCCCAAGTCATAACTTCAGTGAAAAAGTCAAACTGTAACAAATTATAATTTTGGAAAATGAGAAAGGGTACATGCCTGATAAACTCATTATCAAATCCTTCTCGACAGTATTGTATCATAAATGCTAGTGAAACGTGTATACATACATCACGTTTGAAATATGAAAAATGCAATTTTCGCGTTGATATTTCATATTTATCGTTGTTCTTGTATTGACAATGTCATCAAAACGAATAATTGTAAGCGTATGCTTGTGCTCGTAATTTTCATGAACGTTTCGGTGGCAACGATATTTCACATAAAGAAAAAAAAAATCTTGAAAAACAGAAAAATCTTAATTGTTATCGTATGCAGGCTCCACTCGGCCAAATGGAAAAGCAGGTGTAAAACTCAAATTTCAAAACCACCAATGGTTAATTGAAACCAACGCAATAGTATCCGGATTTGAAGTTGTTAATAGTCAGATTGTCCGTATTCGCGGTGCGTTTGATCATTCGTAATTCATACGATACGGAAAACTGCAGAACCAACACTTTAGGGTTGAATGGAAAAAAAAAATAATAAAAAATTCATACGACGCAATATAAATATTAAATTACTCAATAAACGTCACGGCAAAATAACTGACATAAATTATGATAACAGTCATGGTGTAAATCTGATATAAGGTGTCGAGTGATAACGCAGCCAAAAATGTCGTTTGTCGCGCGAAATCAATTACGTAACGATCCGTGCGTTTCCGTTATGAACCGTTTGTACTGTTCCCGCGGTGAACAGACATTTCCTCATTCTTTATCTTTAGAACGTTTTTTTTTTTACCGTCTACGGGCGTTATCGATCGGACGAGACGCCGAACGTATGTATCGAAACGCAGAACGCTCCGACGTGCGATTTTAGACTGTACCATAACAACAAATCGTCTGTGAACGCGGTGTAAAAATCAAATAAATCATTATTAATGCAATTGTTGCGTTCGATTTCCGGAGGATTTTCGCGCGTAACGCCGCCGTGTTGAATTTTTTCGCGACAAATAGATTACGTGCGAAACGACAATAACGGTAACGCGTGCGAAAAGCGTGCCGTCGTTAACGAGACAATCGAACGGACCGACGTCGAACGGCGAACGCGAACGAATTAACGCATAACGGCGGAGGGTGAGAGGGGGGGGGGACACGAAAAAAAACAACAACAAAACGGTGATAACACCGTGCAATTATCGATAACGCGTTTCCATCGTCCGGCGCACTGGCCGCCGCCCGTCCGGCGCGTCGAAAAGCCGTCCGACCGGCGGTCGAGACTGTTCGGGATTTGATTGACGGGCAACGCCGAAATCCGTCCGGTCGACAGTCAGCGCGCCGTCGACGAACGCACGCCGTTCCGTTTGTCCGGGCTGTTGACAGTTCGTAGTGCTCGTACCCGCTAAAGCGCGTCTGGTTTTTTTTTCTTCGCACTGCGAAACTGGGCGATTCGGTTTTCGAGACGAAAATGTTTAAATTCGACTCGGCGTAAGAGAGTGTAACGGGGGAAACGCGGAAAAACGGTAACGGGCGGCCGGTTGGAAAAACGGCCTACGTAGTGTTGTTAAAATTAACGTCGGTCGTATGCAAGGGAGTACGGTCGCCGGACGGTTTCTTCACTCGCCCCGTTTCTCGCGCGTTATTGTTGTATCAATGCGCTTGTAGCGCATACTGTCGCTATGACCTCGGGGCACAGATTGTAGTTGTTCCTTGTAAAAATATTAACGGCAACGATTAAACAAACAGACGCTACATAATCAAACATATTTTATTCGCAAACAACGGTCGATATTTAATTAAAGAAAATAAATAACTTTAACCTTGTATCATTAAGAAAAAACACCAAAGTGCATTATTATCAATTATCAGTAACATTTTTATTAATATCATTTCTCGTTATGTACTGTTATTCTTAGAAAAATTTAATTTCCGTCGATTTTTCCCATAGCACGCAAAAGATGAAACATCCACTAGTATTGGTAGTTTGGTCGTTAACGCTGTTAGTGTGCAACAACCAAGCAAATTTAAATATTGGTGGGTTCAGGTTGAGTACACAATTAATTATTATTTCATAAAAATTGGTTTTTTTTTTTTTATTACTATAGCTATTATTGGCGGTGGTATTGGTGGAACCTCTTGTGCACATTTTTTAAGAGAAATGTTCAACGATTTGGTGAAAATAGATATTTATGAGGGTAACAAAGTTGGTGGAAGATTGGCCACGGAAATTATGAATGACGGTAATGAATATGAGACCGGCGGATCAGTTATACATCAAAGAAACAAGTATATGTCTGACTTTGTTAACCATTTTGGTGAGTTATCCAACACGCCTATTTGCCAAACTGTTATTTATATTATTTTTTACTAGGTCTTCAAAAACGTAATTCGTTGTTCAAAAATGAAAGACTTGGATTCTATAATGGTAAAGATTTTGATTTTATTGAAAACAATTACTTTATACTGCACCTAATGAATATTTATTGGCGGTATGGATACAGTCTCAAGCATTTAAATGATTTTGTCTATAGTATGCTCGACAAGTTTGACAAGTTAGAATATTAATAATATAATTTTTCAAAACCCGCATAGGTGTTGTATAATTAAATTTCTCTTTTAGAATTTATGAACTACAGGCTAATGGTCAAAGTTTTGATACAACATATGACTTACTAACATCCATGGATCCATCATTTGTGAATTATTTGAACATATCAGTGAAGGATGCATACTTGAAAAATGATTATTCTATATCTCTTGTTACTGAGCTTGTACAAGCTTCTATTAGAGTTAACTATGGACAAAATATTAATGTTCATCAATTTGTTGGTAATAATTGGTTATACTTGCATTACTTTAACTGATATTATTTTTAACCTTACTTAAATTATCTGTACTTTATAAATAATTTTAATTTCCCCACGTTTTTAAAAAAAAAAAGTTTGCAATTGTTTGTAATTTACATCTTATTAGATAAGATTAAATTGAGCGGAAAAAATAAAATAGTATTTGTATTATCCCCTTAGACGTTAAAACTAACAAGACAGATATTATTATTAACTATAATTATTAGCATTGTAATTACATATTATTATTTTATAGAACATTTTAAATTGTTATAGGAACAGTTTCTATGGCCGGAATGGATGGATCATTGTGGTCAGTAAAAGAAGGTAATAAAAGAGTTGCTGAAAAACTTCTTGAAATTTCTAAAGCGCAATTAATAGATGAATATGTTATCCAAATAATGAAAAATGGTGAATCATATACACTGTTGACTAATACTGGAAAAAAATCTACATACGATTATGTAGTTTTCGCTGCACCTCTTGTTTCAAATCAAAGGATACCTATAAATTTTGCTAACATTCCATTAGAATTTGATAAACTTGGGACGTATCATCAAACAGTATGTACATTGGTTTTTGGCAAGATAAAAAAGACACAATTTCCTCCTCTTTCTGATTATCCTTCACCAATTTTAATAATATCAACTAATGAAAAAGTATTTTTCAATTCAATTAGTAATATTGAAGGTGTCAATGAAACTGCTAATTTAAATGTTTGGAAAGTATTTTCTCAGGAACCACTCACTAACAATCAAATACATGCATTATTTGTAAACATTACTGATGTTAAAATTGTGAATTGGTTAGCATATCCTCACTATTATGTCCCAACAGAATCCCGAAGTTTCCACATCGCGGATAGACTTTACCACATTAACGCCATAGAATGGGTTGCAAGTGCCATGGAAATGAGTTGCATAGGTGCAAAAAATGTAGCACTATTAATCAAAAAACATTTTTACAGCAAAGAACAAAGTGAAACAGTTGAAAGGTCTCACATAGAATTATAATAAATTTAAAAAAATAAAATATAATATGTCAACAACAAAAATTATGTATTTAAATAAAACATAAGTGTTAAATATACAATGATTTCAAGTAAAGAAATCTAAAATTAAATACTAATAGTGGCATTTCAATGTACAAATATATTTAATAAAACTCTATTTAATAAGATCTACCGCTGTTGAAATGTACCAAATCCAAGACCCAGTCCTCGATGTGTGTGTGTTGCCATTCGAGCAACTTCATATTGACTTTCCATTGAATTAAACATTTCTTCTTGTTTTTTAATAATGTCTTTCGATTGTCCTTGTTGAGATGGTTGATTATCAACACCTATTTCATATTAATGAATTTAATATAATTTCAAAATGCAAACATTTGTAATTTTATATTGTAACAATAGTATCTACCTATTCCATTATCTTTGATACCCATAAGCCTTTTGAACTTGGCAGTAACTTTGCCATCTTGATCTCCAAATTTTGTGGACTGCCAAATGGTTGCAGTCTTGTTAGTAGTTATCATAGTCGGTTTACATTCTTCAACTTGTTTTACAACATCAATATTTGTTTTATTACCCCATAATAATTTTCGTTTTTGAATCTGTTCAGCATATTTATTTGGGTTTACAGCTACTGGGTTGTAATATGATGGTAACTCTATTCCTGTTTGCACTTTCACTTTTTCTACTTGTGCTTCCATCGATTTCTGTAGTAACTGTTGTGGAGTGACTTGTGTAGTAGATGGTTGGGTAGAACATCCAATAGATGGAACTTTTAATTCAATTCCTAATTTATCCAAAACTAAAAAATAAATAATTATATTATGTTATCATTAATAATTTCAAATTAGTGAAAGATAAATAACCCGTATAAAATCTCCTAAACTTTAAAATAAATTAAATTTGATTGGTTTTTTTTTTTTTTAAATTGTTTCCCTCCTTGTTCTATACGAGTTATTTCATTGTCTATTCATTAAATATTAAATTGAAAAATAAATAAATTACTATGTCGTTTATTATTAGCTTTCTTTTCTAAGAAATAATTATGTAAAGAAACATATTTTTCTTTACTCTTAGATCGACTATGCTTTTTGTGATTCTTTGATTCGTGTCTGGAATAAGGACTTGATTTTCTACTACTGCTATTTCTATAATGAAAAGAAAATACAATAATTATAATATTACATAATTTTAAAAACAATTGAACTAGGTATACAAACCTTTCACTACGACTGCGAGACCGACGTGATCGTTTTTTGCTACGGCTATGGCTACGAGATCTTCGTGAGCGTTTTTTACTACGACTTTGTGATCTATGAGAATGTTTTTTACTGTGCCGATCTCTTGATTTATGTCTATAATAATAAATACACAAAAATATTATCATAAATATAGGTAATATTAGACTAAGCACAGAAAAAAAGTTAATAGTTTTTTCTTCCTTTTCACCTTCATTAACTCTTATTCTTTTTTTCTATACTCCCCATCCATTACCATTTCTTCATTATACTATATAGTCCACATCTTTCTCTGTTTACCTACATTTTCATTTACACTCATCTCACCATTAGATCAGTAAATAAAAATACTCAACAAATTCATCCAGTAACTTTAAATATATTTAATTAACATAGAAGATACTTAGGTAATTTTTTCAAATTTTTCAATTTGATCCACACAAAATTGTAAAAAACTGAAAAAATAGCAAGAAGAAATTTAAATTTGCAACAATTTTTTTTATTCTGAGCTTTAATAGTGGAAGGCTCCCGAAGCACCCCTTTTTACACCTATGTTAACTTACTTTAAATTTTCAACAAGTAAAATTTTTGGTTTGCTTTTGTATAATGAAATGACTAGTTATTTATTAAGAAGCTCACACACTGCTGCGATAGTGGTGGGGCAGTGACTGTTTTATAAAACTCGTGTTTTCTTATGGTAGTCCACACACTACAGCAATAAAACGGCCGTGGTATCATGTTGCGGTTTTTATAAAAAACTGTTGCAGACTGATTTTTACCGCTACTGTTGAAAGTTTTTCACATTTCTTTTTTGAATAGATACTTTCTTCAAAATATAAATGAACTTCACTGTTGCCGCTGCAGCAGAGTGTGAGCACATTTATTTGTTTCCCGATGAAATAGAAAGTTACTTGCTTTTTATATTATTTTTAAAATTCAAATTTATTAAATTAAATTATTAGAATTAATAATACTTTATTCGGTGTAACATTATTTTTTAGATTAATACTAATAGTTAATAATTATGTTTATATTCTTCAATGAACAAATCAAATTTAAAAAAGTTATAAATAAAATGAGAACTAATCATAGTATGCTCCATTGCTGAAGAACTAGAACTAAGGTTTTTACTTGAGCAGTTCGAAGTTTTAATTTTAAAAATTTCTATATTTTTGGAACTATAGATTTTTTTCATTTTTCAATAGCAAATCCTAAATTTTTTAGTTTTGTTTTTAAACTATTTAAGTTTTAATTTAAAAAAATTAAATTTATAAATTTAAAAAGTTTAAATTTTTTACTATCTCATGACTACAAAACAAAAATATGTTGAACATTTCAGCATAATAAAGGTTTTTTTTTAAACTGTCTATGATACTTACTAGGACACTTACAGGAAATCTGAGCACCCTACTTCAATAAAAATTATTTATTTTAATATATTTATTGTTGGTCATTTTTTAAAATTAAAATTAATAAATCTTGAATGCTAACAGAAAAAAAGGCCATCTGGTCTGTAGTGAGTATTATTGATGATAAAAGAATTAAAATTGATATTTACTAGTTGTTACTGTTAGTTTTTTTATTACTCTTAACATATTTATATATAAATCACACTATTTTTAATCAAAACTACCTTTATAGTAAGTAAAGTACAGTAAAAAAAATAATACTTATATTATACCTTCTATGGCGGCTATGACTTATCTTTTCTTCATCAGAACTGTTTGTTTTAGTATCACTATGACTTCCATGTTTTCTGGTATGATGTGATCGCGGGGACGGCGATATGGAAGTAGGAGATGATGCTGAACTAGAAGGTGAAGTTCGATTTTTATGTGTGGGTGATTTGGTTGAGCTGTGATTTGATTCCTGCTGAAAATACAAAACTAAATTAATATTAAATAAATAATATTATGCTATTACATTTTTGCTTTAAACAGATTTGTTATCAGTCAATTATATTTTTAATAATTAAATATATAATAATTATAATTGATAAATGATTATCAGATATGACTTGATAACTAAAATTATGACTAAAAACAAATATAATATACTGTTTAAGTTAAAATTGAAAATAAAAAATAAAAAAGATGGTCAATAGAAGTGTTTTCAATTAATAATTATCACCTAACAGTTAATGATAAATAAAAAATATACCTTCTTAAGGCCACAGCTCACAGAGAATGACATCTAGCGGGAAAGGGTTTACCTGATTGTATTTCATTATTACTCACCAATGTGAATGCACAGTATTGATAATCAGCCGCATTCAAATTTCCTCTTCAAGCGGCGCAAAGAATCAGTGGCAAGAGACTCTCCCACAGTCGATTGACTACTCGTGGACTATTTTATATATAATTTCAGAACAATGTCGTGTTAATATTGGTTTTAACCGGAATTTACTTTTTTTAGAATTGCATTAGGTACATTAGCTTACTTTTTTTTTTTGTTATAATAGCCTACTTCAAAATGTATTTTACCCACCTTCAGTCTTGGTCATATGAATTTAACCAGGACGACTTGTGTTATGATACTGAATGGCTGGTTTCTTTAATAAAATCTTCAGAATGAAAACAAAAATATCAATAAGGGTTTAATGGAATTAAAATGTACGAAATTAAGAGGTACCTATGTACTAAAAATCTTTTAATTATTTTGGTTATTATTATAAGAAAATAACAATTTCAAAATGCATTGCTGTTAAAATTTAACATAAAATAAATAAGTAGGTTTGTATTGGATATTACCTAGTATTAGCAATTTAACATGAAACTATTTACTGTTATCTTTAAACAGTAGATCCATGAAATTAAATGAAAATTTGAAACATTAAGTCACTCAATTCTTTTAAATTTCAACAGTAAGTTACCCTACTTGGTAAAAATAATAATAAATAAAAATAAAAATAACACATAGTTACGAGATATGTGTAATACGAATTACTTATTAAAATAAGAAAATAAAATTAATATTATTTGACATTCGTATTTAAAATTAATATAAATATTTATGTGTGTGTATATATGTATATATATATATATAAAAAAGGAATAAATAATTAGGAACTTTATTTAAAATAGTTAAGGCTATAAAATAATGCATTTTAATAACTATATGGTAGGTAATTATTTTTTTTAATACATCTATATCCAGAAATAATCTATTAAAATTTAAATTTGTGTCATGGATTTATACTTAATATCTAAGAAAAGATATTCTTTACAATATTATTATGATTCATATTTTTACCTATAGAAATGAGACCTAACCCAACCTGCCTAAATATCTTAATAGGTACTTAAAAATTATCTTAAATTTTCATAACTAACATTAACCATAATAGATTAATGTTGGGCATATCCATACCTCACTCATATCCATGGTAACTTGTTCATAATTTGCATCGGCTTCCATTCCATTTGTTGGAGTGAGTTTAGTCTAAAAATATTTAATTTATATACCATAAAAAATCATATACTTTAGGATAAAAAATAAATGTACCTATGTAAGTGTTTGTTAGCTTTTGGGTACATCAATTAAAAAAAAAAAATGTCAAATACTTCAATAAGTTTCAAATAAAGACATAAATCAGCTGATTACATAATGATAACATTACCACGTAGTTGCCTACAATTTGTCATTCCAGTCCCAATAAGTTAAAATAAACAATTGTACTAAGAACAAATAGTACTACCTACCAATAGTACTACAAATGTATAGTATTCATATAATTATTTGTATAGATTTTCTTTTACAGTATTTGCTATTATAATAGGTGGTCGTAGAGCATTCATATTATAATTAAAAACACTCATAAACAGTTCGAAACAAAAAAAAAATTTTAGAAAAAAAAATGTACTTACAGAGACTTCTCTTTTGGGGCTTGAACTGTTATCATCATCACTAGCATAATTGCACAGACTTTCCATGTTGTTGGTTTTCTGGCGTATTTGCTGTCAGGTCGTTTTAGTGACCAACAAACGGCGAGTCGTATATCAAGGCAATAAAAATTTAATTAGTCCTCTAAAAATGTGTTCAAACCATCGAGACGTGAACAAATAAAAAAAGCCGTACAAGAAATTGAAAATTTTAACTATAAATCAAACACAATTATAATTTCATAAATAATTACGAATATGTAATAAATACAAAACGTCAAAAACTATTGATGGCATTTAAAGCGAACTCTTAAATCTTAATTAATTAGTTTTGTAGTTTTTATTCTAACACTGACGACTTTAATTCCAACAAACACCACCGACAAAATGGCGTCGTCCTCTATAGACCCCGCCCATTAGTGAACACTTTACACATGTTTTCTCCGTGACTACATATTTCTGGTCACACTGTTTAACACAGATTAGGTCACAATCACGATTTCCGAACAAATTGATCATTGATATTACCAGTTTACTACAATATATAACATATTCCCACATGGTCTTCCCAAGGTAAAGTTTATCCATAAAAAAATATACAAAACCGGATAAATTGTTTATTATTTTAATTCATTAATTTACCTCTTCAAAAATATGACCGAAAACATGGACGTGAGTGCAACTCAAGATTCAAATGTAAAAGTTCCGTACTCTACAAGAATCAAATTCCTTAACGAAATAGCAAAACCTTTGGCGTCCAAATCTCTAACCAAAAAAATATATAAACTTGTCAAAAAAGGTAATTACCTTATAACTAAAAATTGTACAACTTATAAACTTAAAATTCCATTTTCATAATTTTAATTTAAAAATAACCCATTGGTCAGTTTTAGATTCAAAGTTATTACCATTTAGAATGAAATTTGACAATCTTAATATTATTAAGTCAGCACTCTGAATAATCTACACATATCTGTCCATATATTAGCTTAACTATTGTAGATGATAATGCAGTTAACTTCTTACCAGTTATAGTATCTATGTTTAAGCTAAATTGTTGATACACATTTACTCAAAATTCTATACATTAAAATATATTTAAATTTAAATATTCCATGACAATAATTCTTACTGTCATTTATTACTGTTTTAAAGATTACTCCGTGTGAAATATGAATACAAGGTGTTGATAACAGTATTTCATTTCTTTAGATTTGAAAAAATAATAGTCAGATAAAATAATTATAAATTAAATGACAACTATATAGATTTATAAAATATTTTTTAATCTAATTTAAGTTAACTTAAACCCGATTTTTAAAATTAAAATATGTTAATAAAAATAAATAAATAAAGTTAAGTATGAAATTTGCAAACTATAATACAGGATGATTTTTTTTTTTTGTTATCGTTGGATGAATTTAAGATTCTAGATCAGTACTTGGGATTAATAATGGTCATGTATATAATTCCTTATTATAATAAATATTCAAACTACCTATTGCATACCTACTGAAATATAATATAACTTGAAATATTATATTGTTGTTATAAATATTCTTTTTTATTATAGCATATAAGGAAAAAACTTATTTAAGAGTGGGTTTAAAAGAGGTCCAGAGAAGAATCCGAAGAGGTGAAACTGGCTTAGTAATTTTTGCTGGTGATATTTCACCAATTGATATCATGAGTCATATGCCGGGTGTATGCGAGACCAAAAACTTGCCATATTGTTATGTTCCTTCACGTGAAGATTTGGGTTCAGCCATGGGTGTTAAACGATCTGCAGTCATGGTGCTTATTAGAAAACATGAAAATTATGCAAATTTGTATGATGAATGTCATAGTGAAATCAAAGCATTACCGTATGATTTTTAGGTTCAAATTAATATTTTACTTTTTTTTTTTTTAATATTTGTATAATTAATTAAAATAAAATTTATTTTTTAATTATTAAAATAAAACACTTAATAATACCCATAATATTTTAACAATCTAACTTATGTATTAATATATATATATATATACAACATATATTATATATGTTGTATAATTTATAAAATATTCAACTGCTTAATGGAAAGAATATAAAAGTATTATAAATGTGCATATAACAATTACTCCGGCGATTATTAAGGAATCTCGTTTTTTACGCATATTTATTTTTTGAACAAGGGTATTGAGAGCAGGAAATCTACTTGACAAATCATGTAACCTTGACTGTAAACGTTTAAAATGATGTCGTTGTGATACTAAGTGTTCCCTGGTTTCCATTGCAATGGCTATTTGATCAGATACTAAACGGTCTGAATTACGTACATGCTCGTGTTCTTTAACATATAAATCCATTCGCCGGTTTTTTGTTCCGGAATTCTTATAGCCACTAAAAATAATAAAAGTTAATTACATGTTAAACATGTGCTAAAAGTATTTACTCTATGTCCTGTCGAACACTATGCAGCAAATATTCTCTTTCTCTTCGAGCCCTAACATTGGATTGTATTTTTCGAAACTCTTTAGTATAGTCTTGTAAAATATCTCTATGGCGCTGAACAGTATGCATGTTTTGTGAAATCGTAGATTGTTCTCCATTGGAACTCCATTCTCCCATTTTATCATTGACTGTATTTAACTAAAAACTCAATGACAAATAATTGTGAACATTCGTATGTAGGAAAATTTACCTTGGACAAAAGCTCTTCGATTTCTGAAGTGGCAGTTTCAAATCTATCGTCCGATAACAATAATTGTGATTCATCATCACCATACATCATTGGATTACTTGTACTTATTTTACTCAATGAAACCAACATTGAGTCAATTTCAGTTTCCAGTCTCCTGGCCTGTTTCCTTAAATCTAAAAATATAATAGCAGATTATAAATGTATTCAAAATATAAAAGATACAGTTTGGTGGTGGCAAGGAGATATAAATTACAGTAGGTAAAAATTTATCAGTTAATATCTATGTTGCTTATTTTGATTGACATTTTAAAGTGTAAAGTTTAAAACTTGTATTATATTATTTTATTTAAAATAGGAATTTGAAAATATTGCATATATACTATCAGCCTATTCTTAAAATGATCTGACAAATTATTTTTGGGAAATCTATGTTTTTTGATTCATGATTGGCAGTTTGATTGAATATACCTAATATTCCATCTGGGTCTAAGCTAAATGCCATCCGATTAATTAAGGAACAGACAAAATGTTACTTTTTTTATACTAATTAAGACAAGACTTATTAACAATTGTGTTCAAATATTTTATATTTTATTAATATAAAGTAGGTATATATTTTTTGTTTATGTTTTCAAGCATTTATAAAACCAATAGGTATATGATAAGTTTATGACACAAAAAAACTTGATAAAGCAACAATCATTTTTAATTTATATAAGCTGTTTGTATTTAAGTGTTGAGTGCTACATGTCTAAAAAATGTATACACATATATTTGTATTTGTAACAAGACACAATTCATACCACATCACCTCGATTGGTCTGTGGACAGTCTAAAGCGAAAATATGTACATATTAAACTGGTACCTTCCCAAGACGCCATGACTTTACACTTTTGACGGTTAGTGACGGTCTTCAACTTTCATCAAATATCTGATCTGGTCAATCAAAGCTTGAAAGCTACACTAAGAAAAAAACTGGAAAAATGACGTTCGAAAATAATATATGTAATGTGTTCAGTTTCTCAGACGAAGGCGAGAATTTGATAAATGATAAGACGTTCAGAGCACGGTTATAGATAGAATGGTTACGCAATGATAAGGCATCTGGTGAATGTTCTTTAAAAACTTTTTTCACGGCACCGCAATCTAGTAAATCACTGTAATATAACGTTCTAATAAACCACAGGTAGGTATATAAAACATATTTTTTAATATATCTGTGTAATAAACTATATTATGATCCGGTTGGGCCGACAGAATAATTCGGTCAGATCTGTGAATTAAGAAACATATGATACCACGGACTAATAAATCCCAGGTATATCTAAGATAAGGATTATCAAAGGTATATAGTAATTCGTGTAGGATACGCAACGAGCAGTTATCAGTTGTTACACGAAACTTCTCCGTACTTAAACTAACAGCTAGCGCTCGAATGTGAATGGCAATTATACCTAACCTTATTATTTACACTATATTCTGGCTCAACTAAACGCTGGAAAAAAAAAAAGGATACCAGTGGCAATCTTTGATTAGGGTCAGTAAATTTATATCACAATTAATAATGATTATTATAGGTAATAGTATATCAATTCACGATTTACATCATAATGAATGCACGCGTAATAATAATAATATTATTAGTCAGTTTTAATACGGGTACATTAAATACCTCGCAAGTAATACTTGTTTTCACTATTGGCTCCTTTGGAAAATTATGGACTTAATTTTATTAAATAACATCAGAATCAATAAATGCATTTATTAAGTACAAATGTAATACGTTATTTGCCAAATTCAATCACTTAAAGTACAATATTTTTTTTTTACACGGCCATCATTTATTGGCTAGTAAGTTCTATTATAGAAATTGTGTATTAACTATAAAAACTACGGGGAAAAAAAAAAAAAAAAAAGTATAAGTAAAGATTGTCGGTAGGTACTATCTAAAGTATGACTTGAATTCTTAAATTCTTAAACGGCGATTGCGCTCGTCCGTCCGCAAACTATTCACGTGGCGGAAAACGCGTTCAGCGGATAGACGGCACCGAACCTTGCACAGCACGCCCACTGTACGATTTTGTTTGATAGTTTTTACTGTGCAGACGATTCCCGGCCGTTATCGACATCCGTCAAATGAAAACCGTGTTGTTTTTACCATAGACAACTTAACAACACTGTAATGTACTCATATTGGCCGTTTATGAACGCAGTAATTGCGATGACCGTAGCGAAAACAGGCTCGTTTCGCTTCCGTTTAAACGGCAGAGATAGGTAGTAAATTACTGTTGAAAATTACTAATAACGGTAAGTGGCAATAATTTCAAATTTGTATCAAAATTTTAGCGAAACCGAATGGTCAAGTAAAAACCGTTTTGTAATCGTTATATTATACATTATAATATTATATTAATTTTGAGGCATCGTAATAAATAATTATGATAAAAAAAAAAGAATAAAGAAAACAAGAGAGCTGTAGGTAGTACCGGGCGTAAGTGCGTCACTGTTGTAAGTAAGTGGGGAGTTTAGAAGGTAGGATAACTAAATTCATTCACTTTATTACTGAAAGCAGAGATTGTCAACGAAAAACGATTCGGAGCGAAGTTTTGGCAATACAGTAGAATCCGCGTATTAGGGAACACGGATAATTGTTACAATCGCGTTATTAAAATAAAATGTATAGGGACCGTATATTAAAACAATCGGCCAATAGGACGCTTTTCTCCTCGGTCCCAAAGTGTCCGCAATAAGCGGATTCTGCTTTACGCGTTTCATAAGACATTAATATTTACGATTTTCGTCAAATATTTGATGTTAAAATAGTTAGAAAAAAAATTGACTTTTTTTTTTTTTTTTAATGACCGCTAAATACGACTTGTAATACAGCCCTCCCATCAAATTTTCAATAATTTCTGTTTAGTCCGACAGTTTTATCCACAAAATACCTAATTTAAAAATTAAAATCTGTACACGCCATTATAGCTCAAACACGGATCTAATGATTTAGAAATTTTACCGCGTCTAGCAAACGGTAATATGATTTCTCTGTCCGTTATCATAGAAATGGTGCACTGTCAATAATCGTATCAACGAACAAACAAAAAAAAAAAATTAACGCCCGTTACAGCTACGGTCACACGTCCAATGACGTACGGTTTTGACCAGTTCTTTCGCCGACCTTCACGCCTATATATTATTTATTTCAAACATGTCTAATAACGGACTTATAGCCGTCGGTAAATGTTTGGATTGGCCGACCATTTTCAATTTCGAATCGCCGTGCGCCGTGGTCACGTTGTCGACACCAGCGCGCGCCGTCCGGGATTTCGTGCAGCTGATGTGATCTGTTCGATTTTCCGGGGGGGGAATTTCACGATATTTGGGAAAAACCGGTATGAAAATTACCCGTAGGTGAAACAGCAAGTATTGACAGCGCGCCGCCGCGGCGTTACCGATTTCATTGTTTTTAATATTCACCGACCGTTTTTTGCCAACACCGGAACACCGGTCAGAAAACAAGAGATCGATTTTTTGTGTTCCTTTTAATATACAGCCACTGACCATAAAAATCGACTTTAAATTCCGAGTGGAGCGAAGAAGCTTATGGTTTTACAAAGATGTTTATTTTTTATCTGTTAACAATTTTTCTACCGGAAGACTTGCTCGGATTTCTAAGTGTAGCACCTTTTCTGAGAGGGATCGGTGTAGGGAAGTACATTAGGGAGGTCGGTTTTCTTAAGAGTTTTTTCATCAATTTTGAAAAACCGAAAAAAAACTTGAAAATGTACGAAATATATTAATATTTTTTTTTTTTTTGCTGTGCACAGTTCTTCTATCAGAAAAAGTTTTGCCCAAACTTTTAATGGTAGCAATGTTTCTAAAAGGAAATTTGCTAGGGAGGTACTTTAAAGAGGTCATTTTTCGATTTTCTCAGTTTTCCCAACAAATGTGAAAAACGGAGGAAAATTGGTATAACATTAAACAAATATTATTAAAGAAAAGCCTATTTAATTATTTTACTAGAAAATGACATATATTGTTGACAGAGCAACACTATTAACTGAATTCCGCTCACAACTGTTTTCTTTTATAATCAATTATTGTTGTATAATTCCTGTCTGTACCTCACCTTCCTACTTACAATAGTAGTAGCTGCACCCACGTGCGAAATTTAATTATATGGTATACATTAAATTATCCGTAACAGTGGCTACATCCGTCCCCATTATCCTTGGACGTCTTTTTTCTGCCTGCAAACAACTAGTTAAAAGAAATCCTGCTCTGATGTATAGAGTATAGTACCTTCTCTGGAAGGAAATTTTGTCTAGTTGTTGCATAAAAGAGGTCATTTTTTAATTTTTCAAGTTTTCGAAATAATTTGGTAAATCTAAAGATAAAATTATAGGTAAAACGGCAAATATTTATAGCGCGTTATCGATTTTAAAACTGTTTATTACTTCGTGTTTCATATTCTCCTTCATTATTTCTCTTTGGGTCGAATATGTATTATCCTCAATATCTTTCTTTAGAGTTTGGAATACTTCAAACTCATAATATACCAACTTATCTATCACTTATCAGACTTATAAAACGAAAAATATCAAAGATAAAACCTTGTCTGGCAGGTACCTGGGAAAAAATAACTAAAAATGTGAAACCTCCTACTACAGGGGCTTAATTACGTAGGGGGATAAATCCTCCTCCATGAGTCGTATTTATATAGTATATTGTTATTTTATACAAATTTGAAGTTCAAATGCAAAATGTTCAAAACAATTATGAAATTAAAAAATTATAAATAAATGTTGAATTGTATTAGTAGGTAGGTACCAAAATATTCACAGTTAATTATCATACTAGATAAGCAACATTCTATATTGTTTATGTTAAAATAAATGGTAAATTTTACTGTAATTTTATGAACAAATATTTTATACAAAATCAATAATTTACCTACAAAAGTTAATAAAATATTTTATATTAAAAGACTAATAAATTGATCTTATTTATAACCATAGATTAAAATATGTACTTTATTATTTTTATATTTAATATATTATGTTATAATGAATATAAAAGATTTACATAAATTTAAAAATTCATATAAATAAATATTCTAGTAAAATCACAACAAAGATACATAACTCATAATTATTAACATACTGATTTAAAAATTTCACATTCATCATTAAATTGTTTCTTATTATTTTAAACAGACTTTGAAAAAAGAGATTATGTATTCAATGAGTAATTTTTTTTTGTATCAACGTCTATGTACATTTTAACATTAACTATACATTTATATACTTTTAGTATTTGTTACCTGATGGCTTATCATTAAAATAGCCCCGTAACAATTAATTTAAATCAATAAACTATTCTTAGCGACTTATTATATATTGAACCTTATATCTATTATACATTTATTTTTATTAATTTCTTAATATGCATATTACATAATATACAATAAACAAAACTGATTATTTAACATCAAATTTAACTATGTCTTTCTTCAAGTTGTTTTTGGAGATTTTCAATTTTAGTTTTTCGATGATGTAACATCTTTTTCATCAAATAATTATCACTTTCTAATTTAGTGATTTTTTCAGTCATGCTTTTATGACCAGCCAACTAAAAAATGATAAACAAAATATTTAAATATATTAACCTATTACATTCCACAATTGTATAAAAGACAATAACTTACCATAGCACTACCTACCATACTCTGTTCTTCAACTGTTTGAGTATGCTGATCCACTTTTGTTACATGGGTAATTTCTTTTATATGCCTTAATTCTTTACGTAACATATGATTCTGTGTGAATATAAAATACAATAACAAATAAAATATTGTATAAACATACAACCATGGACATTTTACGCCCCGGCGCCACATATTTTAGATATTAATGTTACATAAATTAACATTTTTTAGAAAAATATTCTGTTTGAATCTATGTTTATGGTACACTAAATAAACTAAATAAAGATAAAAAGGTAAATTAAATGCTTTTTCCAGAGACCTTCAAGAACTTAATCTCCTTCCAGAAATTTTTTCACTTTTTGAGATAATCAATAAAAACTATTTCAACTGTCTCCTTAAATAATTCTCGAAAATTACTAAAAATATTTGACTACTCACTCTTTCAAATACATATTTTGTTTTAATTCAATGACTTACTGGAGAAATTTATAAACTATTTTATAATATGTAAATATGAGGTTTTTGTACTAAAAGAACCTCATTTTTTTTTTAGTTTACCAACATAATTAAAAACAAGTAGTTATGATAATTACATTTTTTATAAATAAATCACAAATTAATAATTAAATGCAAAATAGTTGATTTTTTTGATGGTGAAATTTTTGAAATAAATGATTCAAATAAGAAATAATTTTGGCAACAAGGTACTATTGCCCCTCTCCTAAATAAGTACCTATAGATATAATACGGATATTTTACAATAATTTATTCAAATAACTTTTAGTTATTTATAATTTTAAATAAGATTATGAATACACGGTCAAAGTGAATTTGATGAACATATTGAGAAATAATAACTACATAATACGATTTATTGATTTTAATTACCTCATCTCTAGCTCTTTTATAGACATACTCCAATTCACGATTCTTTTTTTTGAGTTCATCGGCATTGGTTTTGGAAAATAGTTCCAAAGTAGAAATTTTAGCATTTTTATCTACAATACATCTGTTTAACTGTTGTATATCTTCTTTTAATGACTTTTCCAAATTTTTAGCAGTTTCTGTAAAATAATTTTACATGCCGATAGGTACACAACACTAACGTGTAAAATTTTAATTGAACAGTTACACTTACCTGATAATTTATTATATTCATTTAGAATTTCTTGATTCTTAGTCTGAGCTTGTTTTAACTCCGTTTTCAACTGATTTATTTCTTTGTCATGTTGTACGATTAACTGACCTTTCTCTTTCCTTAGTTGATAGATGTTTTGTTCATAACCACATATCTCATCATTTAATTTTTTAACATTGCTATTGACATTTTTCAGCTGTTCACATTTATTTTTCAAAACTTCTTTTTCTTCTGTTAATAATTCAATGGTTTGTCTTATCTCATCTTCTGAAGTCAACAACTCTATAATTTTGTTGTCTTTATTTTTTATTTCTATTAACATTGCTTCACATTCATTGTCTAAATTCACATTTGCATGTTTTAATTCTTTAATTTCTTCTTCTAAATGCCCACATTTGACCACTAATAGACTAATATTATCATAAATTACAGGTAATGTACCAGTGCATTTTAATAACTCACTTAATTTGAAAAAGTCATTTTCATTCAGATTTAACTTTATTTGATAATTTTCAATTTGAGCAACTTTTAACTTTAATGATTGTTGATAACTTCCAATTTGTTTTTCAAATTCAATGACTTTCAACTTGTATAATTCAAGCTCTTGAATAAGTTTTGAACATTGCAATTGAGTTTCTTCGAGTTTAGTAGATTTCACTTTTAATTCCGAATGTAAGCTATCAATGTTTGTTTTGTTTATTGCTGTAACTGTTTCAATATCACGTTCTAATTCTGCTACTTTTACATTTATAGCAGAATTGTCATTTTCTTGCTGATGTTTAGTTTGTAATACATTTAAAGACATTTCTTCAATGAGTTGTTGGTGATTTTTAGTAACTTCTTTGAGTAACTTTTCTGTGCGATAAATTTGTTGAATTTTGTCATTTAATTCTAATTGTAGTTCATCAATTTTTTTCCCATGAACTTCTTTCATTTCATCTTTCAAAAGGTTATTCTTCTCAATCAATGCTTCATATTCCAATGTCTTCAATTGGACCTTTTCAAATAAGTTTTTAATATCTTCATCTTTTTTTTCAATAATGGCTTTTAAACATGTACATTCTGATGTAAGTTTTTCTATTTGGTCTTCAAGAGTAGAACGACTATTTGTTTGATCTTTATACATATTCAATGATTCATTATATTTGTGGGTAAGATCTTCGAGTTTATTTTTGAGATTTTGTATAGACTGTTCTGAATTAATTTTAAATATTTCAAACTCATTTGACAATGATTTATAATTTTGTTCATTTTCTTTGCTAAATAGAGTTTTTAATTCTTGCAACTCACACAAATAATTAAAAGATTGATTTTCTGCTTCCAGCAATTTTTCTGTCAGTTCTTTAATCTCAATTTCTTTACAAGGGAAATTATGTTTTTCAGATTTTAGATTTTCAAGCTCTAAACTGAGTTTTTCATTATCACTTTCAACCTGTTCTTGCCATTCCTTTTCTTTTTTAATGTCTTCTTCAAATTGTCTAATTTGTTCCTCATACTGTTGTTTGATCTTATTCTGATTATGAACCAAATCAGCTACAATTTGTTGTTCTTTAGTCATTATAAGATTGACAAATGTGACCAATAAATTTGACAAATTATGGTGAGTAAGAACACCAGTAATTTTTCCAGGTTCAAGAAGGTTGATTTCATTAACCAAGTCCTTTTTGCCATTTCTTAGTTCTGTATCAATATCAAAACTAAAATGAATTTGTTCTTTTATGGCTTGATTATGTTCCTCAAGTTCATTGTATTGTATTTTGATTGTATTTAGTTCATTACTTAAATTATTCACTGTTGATGTCTTTTCTTTAAGATCATTTTCCATTAAAGTCATATCATTGATCAATTTATTATTCTCAACAGATTGTTTATTTATTTGGTCTTGTAGTTTACTAATATTTATTTCCATATCATTCTTAGAATTTTGTAGATCTTTTACTAAATTAATTTTATCTTCTAATAGCTTACGTAAATTATTAATTTCCAAACCAATTCCAATATCAGCAGATTCAAATGAGGGATTACAACTTGCTTTCAATGTCCCATCTAGTGGTAGAATATCATCTTCAACAGACATAACTTTTGTTCTTAAATCTTTTTCACATTGGTTTCCTGATATCATGGCAGAATTAAGTTCAGTCAGTTTTAATTTAATATCATGAACATAGTCAACAAGTGAATCAATTATTTTATTTCTAACATCCAAACCTTCTAAGTCTTTTTTATTGATTTGATCATTACATTTTAATTTAAGTTCAATAAATTCTTTTTCCACACATTCAGCTTTAATACATTCATTTTCTAATTTGGTTTGTAAATTGTATAACTCGCATTCAAGGCTCTGTGTATAATCCCCAGACTTTAATAGTTCATGTTCAGCTTGATTCAAACGAAATTCTAAATTTTCTTTAGCAGAATTGGCTTCTTTTATTTCAAATACAAAAATATCAATAATTGAAGCTAATTCTTTTGATTGTTCTTCGCTAAGTTCCAATGCTTTTGAGGTACTGACAAGTTTTTCTTGAAGTTCATTCAAATTGCATTCGAGTTTAAGTTTTTCTTCAACTAATATTTTTTCACTCTCAATTCTTTTTGTTAATTCTGATTTCATTGAATCAAATTCCTCATTCAGATCCACCAGAACATTGTCTTCAAAATCATTAACTCTCATTTGAAATGAATCATTTTTCATAAATAAAAATTCAACATTTTTCTTATATTCTTCAAGTGCAATACATTTGGATTTGAAATTATCTTTTAGTACTTTTTCTGATTCTTCTTTGGTTAATAATATTGATTCAAGGTTTTTAATTTTTGCAAATGCTTCATCGCATTCACGAGTCCTTAGTATATATTCTTCTTCGAGTTTCTCATAGTCTTGTTGTAGATTAGATTCATACAATTGTTTTTGTAAATCATCCAGTTCTGTGGATTTATAAAGAATTTCTGCTCTCAGTTTGGATTCAGTATTGATTTGAAGGTTCAAAATCAATTCAATGTCAGAAGAAAAATGCATAAATTCATTATATAACTTTTGGTAATTGAATGCTTGTTGTTGTAATGTATCCTCCAAATGTTTTTTTATTTGATCATGATGATCAGTTTTTTCCAATAGTTGTACAGTTAATAAATTTAAATCTGTTTGGATCAAAGCTTTTTCTTGAATTACAGTTTGTAATTGATCTTGTATTTTTTTGTGTTCATTCATATTAAATAAATTGGTTTCATTTATCTCATTAAATTTCAAAAGTAATTCAGAATTTATAATTTCTAAGTTGGTTAGTAAATTTGATTTTGTAACTAATTCAGATTCAATTTTTTTAACTGAAATAATATTTAATTCTTCTTCATTTTTCATACTTTCAACTAAACCCTGCAATTCATTTTCTTTGACACTTGCATTTTCCAATTGCATAATCTTGGCCTGTAATTCATTATGCATTTCATTTTCAATTTGTGTTTTGTCTTCTAATTTCATTTGAAGTTCAACAATAGTTTTGTTAAGTTGGTCAATGACTTCTAGATTCTCACATTTTGTTAAAAGTGCTAAATTAGTGTTTTCTAATTCAACAATCAAATTATTCTTTTCATTTAGAGTAGAATTAATACATTTAAGTTCATAATTAAGCTGTTCTACAATTAACGTTTTAGACTCACACTTACTATTTAAAATGTTATATACTGCTTTAACTTCATTGGTCTTTAAAATAGCATCTTCTATTTCTTTAGTAACAATGTGTAATTCATATTTCAAATCATTTTCTTTTTTAGACTTTTCTTCCAGTTCCATTTGAAGTTTGATGTTATAGTTATTCAGTGTATTTATTTCTTTTAAATAATTGCACATTGTCACTTCTGATTTGTTGACAATGTTTGATTTTTCTTCCAGTTCAAATCTAATTGTATCAAGTTCATCTTTTAAATTTTCAATAATAGTAATATTACTATTATTCTTTATTTGAATATCATCTAACTCTTTATTAACTGTCAATAATTCTTCTCGGGTTTTATTTTCAGAAAAAGATAATTCCTTGAGTTTTTTATTAAGTTCTAATCTATCACTTTCCAAATCAATTATTAATTTAGAGTTTTTATCAAGTTCAGAATTTTTAGAATGAAGTAAAGTGTTTAATTCATCAAATTCAGACAAATTTAATTGCACTTTCATTTTCATCTCTTTTAGTTCATCAAGAGAATTTTGCAGATCATTAGTTACTAATTCAACCTCTGCTTGCTTTTGAATTTCAATTTTTTGTTTAATATTTTCAATATCTGACTGATAACGATTTTCTAATTCTTTGTACTTAGATAACCATTCCATTTTGGTATTTTCTAGTTCAATTAACAAATTAGACTTTTCTTCAACATCTAAAGGATTTATAATATCATTACTTGAATTGGTGGTTTTTACCATTAAATTAACTTCATCTAATTTTGTAAGTGCATCTTTTAACTCTATAGATTTTAAGTCTAATTCTTTTTGAATTTCTTTTTCTACAGTTTTTTGGTTTTCTATGGACAATAATTGTTCACATTGTACTTGAAATTCATTTTTTAAGGCATTGCATACAGTAAGTTCTTCTTGAAGATAGACCATGTTCGATTGATTAGTCTTTACTTGTTCAATAATTTTAACACATTCAAGTGTTAATTCATCGAACATTTGAATGCAAGATTTTAAAATTATATTTTCTTTAAGAGATTCTGTAAGATCTTTTTTGAATTTTTCTATTTCACACATCGATTTAACTTCCATAGTAGAAATTATTGTAAGGATATTATCAAGATTATCAAATACAAGTGATTTTATTTTACAGAGGTTATTATTTGAAAACGATAGTTTTTCATTTAAAATTAAATTTTCATTTGAAAGTTTTTCATTCTGATCAGTGTTTTGTTCAAAATGTTTAGCAGCAAAATTTAATAAACTACTTATTTCAGAATTATCAACATCAATCTCATTACAGGCACTAAACTCTTTGATAATAGATTTAATATTTATTTCAATTAAATTTGACTGTGACTTTAATTCATTATTTTCTTTTACTGCATTATTTATTTGATGATTATAATCATCAATAATTACTTTTAAATTGTTATTTTCTTCTTTTGCATTATTCATTTGATGTTTATAATCATCAATAATTAATTTTAAATTGTTATTTTCATCTGTTATACTCAGATTTCCTTGTTGCAACTGATCTACAGTATTTTGGATACTTTCGAAAAGTCTATATAGCTCTTCAATTTCAATTTTTTTTAAGGTAAAATATCCTTCATCAGCTACAAGTTTAATAGCATATGGAAGAGATTTCACTTCAGCTACTTCATTTTGAAGTGAAGACAACTCATTTATGAGCGAGTTATTATTAGTCAATTCTACATTTAATAGCTGGTCCTTCATTAATAATTGAGTTTTTAACATTTCAATTTCACTGATATAAGAGTTATTTAAAATACACATTTCTTTAATTTTCATTTCAAGTCTTTTAATTTCTTCTTGGTTTTGGGCCATAAAATCATTGCTGAATATGACTTTCTTTAACTGGTCATCTTTGAATTTTAATTCTTCTCGTGTTTCCTAGGAATTATAGTGCAAAGCTCCAGAAATTATTAAAAAAAATAAAACTTAAAAATATTGAATAGAACATAAGTTATTTCAGATGTCAATTATTTTTATCATACTCAACATTGAAATATCTGTAGTGTAGATACAACAAATATTAAAACTACAGATCAAAAAATATATTGCAGTATATATTGTTAGTATATTGCAGGGTTGGAACATATAATATAGGTAAATATATAAGCGATATTATATGTATGTACAAAATGTACAGTATAAAACTATTTGTTATATTTGTTTTATACTGTACACATTTTTTTTTTCTGCTGCAACTGAACAGAAATGATCAGGTAAATAATTTTTGATTAAATTTAATCATCATTTTATATGCATTATATAATTTACTTTAGATAAATGTGATAATAAATTATATTAATTACAAGTTTATCTTTAATCTTTATTAATTACTCTACACCAATATTTATAATAACAAAATAGAAATTTGTTTTGTTTTAGTTTATTCTAAATTTCAGAAAATTGATGCGATTTGGTAATTTGTTTTATTAATTTATAAGTTTAAATACTTATTATAATTTAAAATGTATAGCATATTATCATTATTATAATAAACTTGAAAAAAAAAAGTCTTGGTCGTTAAAATATAAAACGTTTTATATTTGGGGTATTTACATGCATTGTATAAAACGTTAGATACACGTATATTACCAACCCTGGTATATTGTAACATGACTGCTCATACACAACTTAGTTAGCAAAATTGGGTCAATAATTGTGCATTTTTGTCAAATTACTAACCTGAATTGAAGTTAGAAGCTCAGCTTCTCGTTTCTCAAATTTTTGTTTTTGAATTTCCATAGTAATTTCAACATCACGTTTTTCATTTTCAATAAGTTTGACTGAACTTTTAAGTTTTTCAATTATTTTGGCAGATTCATTTTTTTCATTTTGAAGGTCGTCAATTTTTTTTCTCAAATTACTTAAATCTTTAAGTTGTTCATTCTGTAAGTTATATATTCAATAATATAGAAAAAGATTTACAAAAAATTTAAATTCAGTTTATTACAGATACTAATAGATTTCAGAATCACTGGAGCATTTTATTTTTACTATCCTCTACTTCTACTCCTACATCTTCAGGGCATTACAGTAACATTTGCCATCTCTGTCTATTTAAAAGACAACTTGATGAAAATCTGTTTTCATATTTTTAATAACACTGAAGAACTAATAGACCTAAACTAAAAATTATTTCATTCAAGTCAATAACATATATTAGGCATCCACTAGGTGATTTTTTTGATGCATTCATAATTTAAGACTTTATCTGACAAAATAATAATTTTTTTAAGTTTAAAATACAAAAAGATTATCTGGAAAATAAATATAGAAAAGTCACCCAGTGAAAGTATAGTAAATGTTATCTTCTTTAATTTAATGAAATGATTTATATTTCAGGTTTTTTTGATTGTGAGTACTACTGGAAGTACAAAACACATTTGTGCTATATTGCTCATTAGATAGACAGAGATTGCAAATCACACAGTAACACCTTCTAAAATATATGTATTCATTTTAATTTCAAATAACAACCCATATAATTATTAATTATTATATATTTTAATTGGTTAGTTACTTACATTATCATGAAACATTTGTTTTTCAAGAGTTGTAAATTCTCTTAACTCATTGTTTTCTTTCATACTCATTTCAAACATATTTTTGTAGTTATTTACACGTTCTCTTAAAACTTTTTTAGGAGTCTCGCATACATTTAAAGGTATGCTAGCAGGCCTTAAAAATAAAAAAATAAATCCATTTGTATAAATTAAATAGTTTATATATAATTCTCAAGTCTTACGGGGAAAAATCATAACTTGTGTTTTCATTATTTAGAGACTCATTATCTATTTTTTGATCTTCTTCTCTTATTAAATCCCATTCAAATGATTCTAAAGGTGTTTTAAACTCTAAAAATATAAAAAATTTAATAGTGTCATAATATAAGAATATATTAATCTTTATTTAAATTACCAAAATTAGATGGAACACTAGGCCGAGGCAGATTAACATCTTCTTCAATAGTTGCAAGTATATTGCTTGAAGAAAATGTATTTTCAAGTTTTCCACCCCACGTTCGTCTACGGTTATGTCCTTTCTACAATTAAATCATTCATATTGAATGAATAGGGTATCCAAAAAGTTTTATGATTATAATGAATATAAATTTTACTTTATTTAATGATTGGTTTTTTTGGCTTATAGAAGATGTTATCATATTTTTTTGCAAACGCATTATACGTTCCTTTAATTCTTCATTTGTCCTTTTTTCTTCTTGGTATTTATATTTTATTTCATTTACTTCATCAGTTTCATACATATGTTGTTTTATACCTTCCAACTCTTTATTTAATTTAGAAAGTTGAACTCTATAGCGCTTCAAAAGTGTTTCATCTGAGATATTTTCATTTATTTTAGCAATGTTCTTAATTTTTTTTGCACGGGAAGCAAAACTAAAATAAATAAACATAGTATATAATTTAAATTATTTATTTATTGTTAAACTTTAATACTTCAATGTGTTATTTGTTTGGTCATCAACTGCCAAACTAATTGTACAAATAATTGCAGTTAAAGAATTCCCACCAAGAGATGTCTGTAATATTCTTGTTAGTTTACTGTCACGGAAGTTAATATGTTGCGAACTGAAAGAATATTTTATGTAATACAAATTTCAAAGTATAGAATAAAGTAATGTAGGTAAATTGAGATGAAAACTAATTTGATACTTGTTTATAATAGTAAATTGAGTCACAGATTTAAAAATGTAAATGGTAAAACTACGCTCCATTAAATAATAACATAGTTGTAAATAAAAATTGTTTTTCTTATTTTATTGTGATAATATATCTTTTTACTAGTTCATTGTAAATGTAAGTAATACAATTAACTAAATTATATATATTATAATTTTACACATTCTAAGGCTGACAATAGGTGAAATTATGAAAAAACTAAATCATCACCATTAAACAGGTAAATCATAAATATTACATGAAACCAATAGGTCTTTTTAAACTTAGTGTACATTAAAATAATTGACTATTATAAAGATATAATTTTAAATTCTACATTGTCAACTTACCACCAACAACAGTGTCCTACCCATGGAATAAAATATACCCTGTAGCAATTCTTTAAATATGACTCAATTTACTAGATTTTATAAATTCCTAATTAGCAATTATAATTATTTAATTTACCTATCTGGACATTCACTAAGTTGTTGTATGACAAGTCCTAGAGTTGTTAGGGAACTATTAATTTTGCAACCTTCTTTAAATCGTTCCAATGATGATTGTGTTTGGCTACTTCGCTCTGAACCAGCCAAGTCAACTAAATTAATTACAGATTGTTGATAAGCCCCATTACAATCATCATCAATATTACGACTTTCTAAAATCTAAACAAAATTATAATCATGTCAAAATTTAATATTTGATTCAGTACTTTTAAAAATTAATTCTTTTTCATTTGAAATTTGAAGCATAACTTATGTTAATGTATACTATAACATGTGCAAAGCTTGTCAATGATACAATAAGTATTTAATAAATAAAATGTAAAAACATTGACTTAATAGTATATACATGGTATTAGTAACTAGTGGTTTCGGAGTTTGAATTATTAGATTACTACAGGTTGGTACTTATAGATAAATGATTTATGTTAAAAATAAAAAATGGAAACATCAAAAAAAAAAAAAAAAATTAAACATATAGAATTATATTTAAATAAATACAATAATATGTAAGATTGGTATAAATATTTGTTAAAAAAAAACAACCGTTAATAATCCAAGCCAAGTTTAGGTAGCGTCGTTACTATACTTTTTCATATTATTTTTTATTTTATAATGACATGTTCAATAAAACATTATATACTATTTGATAAATTCAAAAATACTTACAATACGAAATATTGTATGAGATCTTGATGATCTTTCGTTCATATTTGTTTCACCAATACTACGGTTTTTATCGCCTATTTTCATAAGATCAATAACCTAAAATTAAATTACATAATTTATTAAGATTTAAAATAAAAAATAAAATATTATTTTTACCATTTGAGCATTTTGACAAACTATAGCTTTTAAAGGTGTAATATGTAGGCCATCTTTCTGAATTTCAATTTTCTTTCGTTGAGTTTTATTATCATTTATTTCAAGCAAATCTATTAATTTTTCATTATAAATTTCTAAATAACAAGCTCTAAAAATAAAGAACATAATTTGTTTATTAATAGGTTTCAATGTATCTAATTTGAATAATTAATATTATATATAAAAATACTACATGCAATGTGTATACCTAAGTAAAAATTCTCTAGAAGTAGAACTATTCATAACATTGAACATGTAATTTATAGCTAATGGAATTATTCCAGGACATGACTTATCACCAGACATAGTGTATGTTTTACCGGAAGCAGTTTGGCCATATGCAAATACTGTGCCATTGAATCCTTGTACTCCTCTATCAATAATTGGTCTGACAATCTCGTCAAACACGTCATAATTTGTTGATGAACCAGAGAATACTTTATCTACATTCAATAAATTATATACACAAATGAAAATAATTATAGACACAAATGAAAATAATTAATAACACATTTAAAACACTAATATGTACTTCGGCGTGCATAAAAGATATTTTTCAGAATACTTTTTAAGGTAGAATTTGAAGATGTTTTTTTAGTTCAAGGTATATTTAAATATGTTTGTTAGTATAACAGTAGTATATTATAAGTACTTATTTTTTATAAAATTACAAAACAATAAGAATATGTTCTACTGGTTCTAAACAGTAATAATTACTCATTATTGTTTAACTGTATTTAATAAAATATGATAAATAAAAGTATTATACCAGGTACAATAACATTCTATAACAAATTTAAACAAATAAAAACAGAAATTTAAAAAAAAATTGTTTTTACAAAATTCAAGGGCCATTTTATGAATATTTATTATGATGAATTAAGTTACTAAAATGTTTTTTAGTTCACAAAAATCATTAGCTGAACAGAACAAAAGTGGTTGCATTTGTAAAATCTTTGTGAGACATCCTATGTTTTAATATACTTTAAAAGAAATAATGGAATATATTCAAAGAAAAAAAATTACTCTGGGAAAACCAGTACCAACTCAGAACATTAGGTAAATACTTGTGTCATGAATCAAGGATGAACTAGGCCATTATATTATTTTTCTACTACACAGCGGTCCGAGGAGCACAGACTGTGGCTAATGGCCTAAAAAATTTGTATAACTCTTATGAAAACTTGTTAGCTATAGCGCTTTCCCCATAAATCAATTTATGACAAAATTTCCCACCAAACTATTATCCACATTTATCCTAAACAATAGGTACTAGGTATTTAACTATATTATTATACATATAATCATTTTATTAACCTATTGTAATTTATCTAATTTTTGCTGATAAATATATAATGCATTTATAGAGGTATTACATAATATGTATGTATAATAAATGAAATAATATTTATTAATTTAATAAAATAAAAAAATAAATTTCTGTTGATATATGAAGTCTAATTTATAATAAATACCATAAATACCTACAGAAAAAGTTCCTAATAATTATAAATTCTATTGATTCTAATACACTTTTAAGGTTATGATAATATCAACGATAATTCCAAGAGGGATTTAGGGGTTGAATCCTCTCTCTAAAAAAGAATCTTAAATACAATTTATTACAAAGATGAAATTTGTTCTCCATTCTTCTTAAAATTGTTCCTATGTTCGCCCAGGATATTATTGAAAACAAATATTATAAAGTAGTTTACTTTTGTTGAAAAGGTTAATTTTTTTTATTTTATTGAAGTAAAATTAATTACTGATAATAATGGCAGGTATCCTCCCAGTCTAGCGCTATCATAAATTATACCTGAATTAAAACACCAATATCTTTATTAATAGACCACAACACAAAAAGGTTTTACCATACAAATTTGTTACACCGTATTTAAAACATTAAAACTAGACAATGTATTTATAAGATCGCGATGATTTATAATTATAATATTTACCAAACAAAAATTGTTCTCCATTTTTCTTCTCGGTGATTGGATCGATATGAATTATACTGTTAGATTCAACATTCCAATAAATTCTGCCGTCAGACTGTTCTTTATTGTTTAACGGTCGGATTTTAATAGCTACTTTAATATTACAACTATCCATTTTTAAATAATACAGAATACTATCTATGATGGTTTTAAATGTTTTTATACTAAACTCAGTAAAATAAAAAAACTAAACATCGTTTATCATAACATAAATCATACACACGAAAAACTAGTTAAAGTCCGTTGAATTTTTCCAGTACTAAAAACTATATAATAAAGTAGTGAGTATACAAATGTTGACAGTGGGTAGTGGGCCACTGAAGAACTAAAAAGTGCTTTTTGTCCGTTGAAATGTTGAACGCCGGGCGCTCGGCTGTCCGGGTTCGGTTTAGACCGTTGGTTTAAAAACTTTAAATTTTTACAGTGTTGCCAAATACCAATCCAATATCTGTTAGATCATATCCCGGTTATCTACATATTCACAGATGTTTTTATCATGATATTTTATTATATTTATATTATCCACCTTGCTAATATAATAGACAGACTTCTATACTAGTAGTCTATATAGTGTGATATAATATATCACGCTATATTATAATCACGGATAATATTAATTCGATAATAAAGAAATGGATAGGCCATCCTTGCCTTATAAATGTTCCAAGATTGTTTCTAATTTTACTACTTCTATGAGTGATTTGTGTGGTTTGATCCAATAATCGGAACTGATCAACATATTTCAAGTTTTACAAATATGTATTGAATAAGATATTAAGGATAAAAAGATATTAGATAATATACCATATAAATAAAATAAAGTATAATATTCTTTTTGCCGATGTTAATATGATAATGTTGTACCAACTACCAAGGTGGATGCATCCGTCTTGTATTATACAAATCATATTAAGAACAAATGTCAAATAATGTTTGATGACATAAAAAATAATTATTTTCATATTTAATACAATATTGTTTTCTAATTTTGTATAATAAAAATTGTGCGAAGTGGTACAACTAACGTAAAATTTTGCTGCATCACTTTCTTATGTTTGACCAGAGTGAAATTCGGTAACATGACAGACGGATCCTGCGTCATCGAGACCCAGGTAAACATTCTGATAAGAATTTATACCAGGTCAGAGACATTCGGATCTCCGGACAATATGGTCCCGAGTCGTTTAGATCCACGACATTTTTTTATCTTGACCATATGGACCATGGAGACATACGGGTCCATTTATTGTTGATTGTAATTGGTAGTGCTATGCTAAAAATGGACATAATGATTAATACTTAACCACTTTATCAGTGGCTCATCCCCCATGCAAATTAGATAATTTTGAACTTATAAAGAAACGTTATGCCATAGATTCAAAAACATAAATATAACAAATACCTATTGATGAAATTGGTAAGGTGTTAAAAAAATATTGTTTGAGAATATTTAAAAAACTTATTCATACAATGATTTAATTATTATTACCTAGGTACTGGATTTTCGAAAATTCTATTTGCCCATAACCATATTACGATATTCTTCTAACTTCATGACGATTTAATATACAATACTCTATACAATGCAGAACCTAAATTATTGTGTCCTCCGAATTACAAATGTGTGTACCACGATTTAAAATAGACTACCTTAAAACGTGGTGTGTACTAAGGTTTATAACGTGCATATTAATTTTAATTGTAGAAATAACAGTATAGCTGATAGGTACCTACTTAACAAACAATCAACTAATGATCTCACTTTAATCGATAAATGTTATTAATTTCAAATTGTTTTTTATTAGTAAAAATACTTTTAATTATATTTAATTTGAGATGATAATTTTTAGTCAACACTTTTTATAAATAATATAAATGTGTAAGGTAAGTACCTAGTATATAGTAAAAAGAGCTACGCCACTACAGAATTTGTTTTATATATGGAAATCTATCGTTTCTATCACTGTGTTGTAAAATGCGTCCCTTGAAAACGAATGTAATTTAGGACCTGATGCAATGCATAGCATAATCTAATTCAGTTAAATTTCATCTGTGGTTTCATCACGATTTAAGACAATACTATCTGATACAATTAAAATTGATAATAGGCGAACAACGTACGCCATTTTGTGTGTATCACAATGTTGCCGACATACCTATTTATTTTTGTTATGGTATTACTTGAGGTAGATTATCAACATTGGTATTACTTTTATCTCGGATTTATCTTTTTGTTATTAATCATCTCTTGATTAAAGTGAAACTAAAATAATTTCAAATATATTTATTTATCACAGCCCAGATTTTACAGCTGTGAGCTGTCTATTATTTTTTGGCCGTTGTGTACGGTCACAATTTCACAAGAAGTAAACATACACACACAAAGAGATAGTGAAATTTATTTATCTATTTATGTAGAATCAAAATATTGTTGTTTATTATTTGTTAGAACGAGTGTGTGAGTTAGCAAGTAGTCTGTTATGCAATGTCTGTGTCTCTTTGCGTCTTGAGATTCGAACTAACAGAAGACGATACACAAGCGCAACAGCAAACGTTAACCAATTGGGGTAGGTATACCTACATTTACATAAATACTTATTACCTTCATCGGATTGAATCATTTGCATGGAATTCTAACAAACTTAAATCTAGAGTATATAATACAATTGTGGTAATTAACGAGCCATAGATAGTAGAGTGATTTGTTTTATTTATAATTTGTTGATCGGAAATTATATTTATCTACAGTTTGACCTTATGTATAGCATAAGTTTAAGGATCTCCAGAGGGATATTTTGAGAAGCGAAGAAGAAATATGAAACAAATGCAGATTACCTTCAGTGATTTTATTTTAGTATTTTTTATTTTTCAAAAATGTTTATTAAGATTTTGTATTCTAAAATATTTGAAATAAAAATGTCGCTCTTTTTATTTTGGAATTTACTATAGCGATTTCAAGACAGTTTTCACCGTACATAATATGCTTAACAAACAATTATGGATATGGAGGCAGTAATATATAATCTGTTGGGCAAATAATCTGCTCTTTTAACCTGATACTTCTACAAGAAGAATAATGTCCCGAATAATATAATAAGTGTAAACCTAAACCTCACTACATGAGACCGGACTTGGATCACCTTGCAAGTTTATGTCAAAAATTTTAATTTAAAATAAAACCTGATTTATAATGCGAAACCACGTAGGGTAAAATCGCTATTTTTATGAATGTACTAATTTTAATATCATAAAATATAATATAATGATAACTATCAAATTGAAAAAAGAGTGACAATTTGTTCAATCATTTTTTAGTTCAGTACATTAGAACACATTTTGGATAAAAAAAAAATAAATTAAAAACTAGCACTAGAGCTAACCTGCATTTATGTTGTTTCTCTTCATAATACTTCTTATTATAAACATAGATATATTAAATTTACATTTATTATCAATCAAATAGCCGATTGCCAGTTTTTAACCCATCTCTTACTAAAATTCTTATCCATACCTAGTAATGGGTATTACGAATCTTAAACACAGAAGTCATATATTATATATTATATTATGCTGTATAAAGCTAGATTTAACTTAAAAATGTATTAACACAATTTTACTATCATATGAATGAAATGAATATTTATTATGAATGAAATTTATGCTTTTAGATAAAAGGAAAATCATGTCTTGTCGAGGACGTCGTAAATCTAGAGAGTTAACAGTAGAAACATATAGTCGTGTTGATGCTACAACACCCATCGAACCAGTGATCGATGAAAATTTAAAAAAAGTAGAATTTCTTAAGAAGTCAAATACTAAAACAATAAGTTCTAAGGGATTAAAGAAAAAAAATAAAAATAAAAGAAATCATGGTGAAAATGTGTTAAATCCTGCAGAACAAATTAACTTTATTTCAGGAAATCCATTTGTTGAAGTAACTAAAGGAGTTCTACATATTTATAAAGAAAAGTGAGAATTTAAATAAATTTAGTAATTTAATTTCTAATGTTTTTAACATATTATATTTAAGCGTGGCTATACATTGTAGTCTATGACTATTTAATTCTATAGCATTTTTATAGTTTTTATATCTCTAATAAAAATTATTTACCTATACACTTTTATAGCAAATTGACACCGGTAGAGAATGCAAGTAGTCATAGTCAAATGATATGTATTTTGTCTGTACCTTCAAATATGAATTGCCATGACTTACTTACTTTTATTGCTGCTTGCCAAGAGAATATTCATCACATACGTATAATACGAGATGCTGCATCTCTTAATCAGTACATGACTCTTATTTCATTCAGAACCCAAGTAAGCCTAATCTTTATGTACTAGATAATAGTGAAAATAAACAGCATGGATTTAAAAAATAATAATTAGGAAGCAACTATGGATTTCTTTCATTCATTCAATGGTATGCCATTCAATTCATTGGAACCAGATTGTTGTTGCAATTTGGTTTTTGTATCTAAAGTTGAAGTAATGAAAGAATATGAACCAGGATCCAGTGCGCCTCCTTCTCAGCATACTGAACTTCCGGTGTGCGCTGTTTGTTTAGAACGTATGGATGAATCAGTTGATGGTATTTTAACTATACTTTGTAATCATTCATTTCATGGGAATTGCTTGACCAAATGGGGTGATACTAGGTAATGCAAAAAATATATTAAACATTTGTTATTACAAGATTAAGTAAATTTGATTTTCATTTAAGTTGTCCAGTATGCCGATATGTTCAAACGCCTGAACCAATTCAAGACAACCAATGCCAAGAGTGTCATTCTTCCGAATCGTTATGGATATGTTTGATTTGTGGTTATGTTGGATGTGGTCGTTATGTTCAAGGTCATGCCTATAAGTAATTATTTGGAATTTATATATTATTAATTAATAACATTCAAATTTGTTATTAATACAACTCTTATTTTAGTCATTATTTAGAAACATCACACTGTTATTCGATGAACTTGGGAAACAATCGTGTTTGGGATTATGTTGGTGATAATTTTGTTCATCGTTTGGTTCAAAACAAAGGAGATGGAAAATTAGTTGAAGGAAGTTCTCCGGGAAAACTTGATGTAAACTTAACCTTTTTTTCATAAAAAACATTTTACTTTACACATTCGTTTTAATTTACTGTCAAATATTTTAATTTAGTAAATATTGTTAAAGGATACAGATCAAAAGATAGAATCAGTTCAACTTGAATTTACATACCTGTTGACTACTCAATTAGAATCACAAAGGAAGTATTTTGAAAATCAAATGAAGCATTTTGAAGAAAATACATTTATTGAAGTAAATTATTACACATTTTTGAAAAGTATGGTGGTATTAAACTTTTTTAATAGCACAAATGATTGCATTAAAAAATTAAATTTTCAGCCCAGATTATACACTATACTACCTCCTCTTTCTGGCCATACTACTCTAAGAGTTTTGGCCGTCACTTCAATATCTCGCCACTTTTCTCTATTTTATACAATTTCTTGCCAATCTTCTATGCTCATTGCATTTAGGACTTCTGTCACACCATTAATCCACCTTCTTCTTGGACGTCCCCTTGGTTGGTTTCCTACAGGTTTTTATTCAAGGGCAACCCGTAACTGGTCGTTTTCTTCTCAGGATATGGCCTAGCCATTGGATGATTTGACCTTTGATGAAGCTAGTTACTGGAGCCAAATTCATTATTTCTTGCAGTTCCCTATAGTATTTTCTTCGCCAACGTTCCACATTCATGTCAAACATCAGGCTGCATATTTTTCGCCATATCTTGTTTTCAAATGGTTTTAGCCTCCTCTTTGTAGTCATTGTTGTAATCCGTATGTCAATGTGAGTCTTATGATTGACACATATAATCTTGTTTTGGACAGTGTTTTGCAGTTAAGACATTTTGGTAATGCATAACATTTTTTCTACTTTGTTTATATGCATTTATTTCTTTAGACCAATCGTTTTTTATACTCAAAGTTTCTCCTAGGTATTTGAATTCCTCCACTTTTTCAAAAGTTAGACCTTCCCTTTGCTGCAGGTCTACATCTCTATCTATTAGTTCCATTAAATTTGTCTTGTTTGGTGGCAGACCACCAGTTGGGAACCACCATAATAAACAAATATATCTTTTGTGCTTATGTTAATGAGGAAATATTGTGTGATGTTCACTTTTTATAAATAAAATATTTAAAATGTTTTTTTTTAAATATTTTATAATTTATTTAGACAAATAAAACTGAAGCTAAATTCAAAAAAGCACTTAAGGAAAATGAAAAATTACAGAAAATCATTAGTGATACTTCTAAAGATACTATATTACAACAAAAAATTGATGAAAACCAAAAACTCTCAGAACGTTTAAATACAATCACTAAAGAAAAATCAATTCTGGAAAAGAAGGTATTTTTTTTAAGTATTAACTAGTTTTCCTGTATTTTGTATTTATCACCAAGGTAACCCATTAATCAATAAAAAAAAAAAAATTAGATTCTACCAAAAATACCAACAACTCTGTATAATCCTTTAAAATAAATATGTAGGAAAAATAGTCTACATATTATTCTTTATGTAGAACTATATCTATGCATAGTTTCTGTTCTACCGTTTAGTAGTTTTGGTATGAGGGAATTAGAATTTTTTGCATTTAAAATATTGAGTAGGAATAATTGAACATTTAACAATTTATTTTATTATATGTCAGGGTTATGTTAAGGGGGGGCAATCAATATAAAACTTGGCATAAAGTTAACAATATCGCTATTATTACTATTGTAACTTATTTTAAACTCTGTGAGTAATTATGAATAGGTGTTTTTTGGTAATAGAAAAACATAAGTACAACCTATTAATGTTAAATATTCACCTAGAAAAAAATTCAAGATTAAGGAAAAATCTTATTTGATGGAGATAAAATGTTAAAATTATAAAAATAAAAACAATACGTTCGGGAGGAATCATCCTCGGGTAATATCTTAGGGTAGGGCATTTAAAAATCAATGTCCCTGAGTGCAAAATGGCTTTATATGGCTCTATATCATTTTCAATCATTAATATTTATTTTTATATCAATTTTAGGTTCATAATTTAAAAAATAAATTAGATGAAGAATGTCAAATTAACTTGGCATTACAGAAAAATCAAAAAGAATGGCATTTAAAATTTTCAAACTTAGAAAAAGATTTCACCAATTATAAAATAACTAAAGATCAAGTAAATATGTTAAAATTATTAAGTAAGATCTATTTTCTAATTAAATCATAGACATATAATACTATATCAAACTTAAGTTATTATTAGTTATAAATATTATTTATTAAACTTATTACTATACATTGTACTATTCTGTATCTATGATTTAAAGAATAGAAACTATACTATTGATTACTATATACTATTGATTTTATAATTGTTATGACGGCAACCATTTACCATTGTAATGTTGTTTTTATTTAATAAAACATTTTATAGGAAATTGGTGAATTGAAAGAACAAGTTCGTGATCTTATGTTTTTCTTGGAAGCTCAAAATACAATTGACAAAAGTGTGAACCGGGATGAAATTGTAAATGGATCTGTGATTGTGGAACAGCAAAATCCATCTGGTCAAAAAAAGACCCCTAAAAATAAAAAGCATAGATAATATGTACATTTTTTTAAATGTGTAGAGTTTTTTTTATTATTATTAATTATTTTGAGGGAGAGTTCAACTTGTATTTATAATAAACTTTGTGTAAATTTACATTTTATTTTTTCTTATTATAATATATATAGCACACTAAAAATATTTTTATTATATTACTTAAACTTATAGGTGCAATACAACTTAATTACCTTAATTCTTGATGATGATATTCAAAATTGTGATATACCTACTTATAATAATAATCATAATAAGTGTTTACCATATTTTTAACTACACTACAAATTAATATTAAGATTTAAAACACAGATTCAAATAATTAATCATTAAATATAATATGGACATGTGTATTTAACTATATAATGTATGTAATTACATAAGTATATTCATATTTTATTAATTATTATACTATCTGTAGTTCTATACTATATTATTAATTTGAAAATTGTATAAACAAAAAAAAAAAATACCTATTAATAATAATTGCACATATTATGTATGAAATAAATAATAAATATTATCGAATTGATCTTTTTGTAAAATTTTCTCTCAACATAAAGACTTGCACTATATTGGGTCTGTTATATTAATGAATTTTGTACATAATATTAAAACATAAGAATTATAACATAATATAAGAATAATGTTATGATAATTAAATCATAACATAAGAGTTATTGAACTTATCAAAATATAAAAATTCAAATATGTGATTATTACCATATCAATACCCCGTAACCACCACTGTTAATTTCTTATGTTTGCTATATTTTGTTGGAAAATATATGTTTGGAACCATATTTTTTGGAAAGTAATTTATCACAAACTTATTCTGTTGGAATTGAATTTAAGTACAGATCCCTCCAAATAATTCAGAAGTGTGAAATTGTGTATATTATGAATGCCATTAGTATCAAGGATGTGCTTTCCGCGAGTTTCACCCTTAAATTTTATTTTTTTTCCACGTGTCAGCAAACAATATCACCCAAACTTTGATAAGTTCTAAAATAATGAAAACTAACTGTCAATATGACCGAAACTATTTACATGTAAAAAGTTAGAACATATTCAGGCCTGGATTGAACTGGCCAGCTACCGAGAAAATCTCAGTGGGTCACTCAAAATCATACTTGTTTTTAATTGAATTAATATCAATTTGATCTATTTTGTAAAACGTTGAGTCGATATTTCCCCAGCTGGCACTAAATATATTATATTCACTGAATTTTAAATGTCACGCGCGATGGTTTGAAGATCAAAAGTCCAGATGTAAATAACTATAAATGTATATAATGTGGATACAATCTTTTAGGTACTTACTGATAAATGTTTATATTATTAAGTATATTATATTATATGTAACTTATTATGTTTATTTCGGAAAAAAAAAAGTAAATAAATACAGAAAAAAAATGCCGGGTATACCTTTACCACTTAAACCTATTATTACAAGATGGGGAACATGGTTAAATGCGGCACTTTTCTATGCAAATAATTATGAAAAGTTATTTCAAAATGTAATAGAAAGTTTAACAGATGATGTTACAAGTGTCGAAAATCGGAAACAGCTTGTACAAAATAATGCAGTCATATGTGGTTTAGCATTCATAAAATTACAATAATAATTTATTTGCAAATATTTATGAGTTGAAAATTTAACGCGATATTTTGACATGAATTCGGTGGCTTAGCAAAGGGAGAAAGGTTTAGAATTTTTGATGTTATTACTCCCCATTGCAGCTTTTTTTGAGGTATAGATATGGTTAAAAATGTAGACTTCTAAAATACCCCCTAACTCCCTTCCCCTAGTTGTTAAATCCTGGATACATCTATGCCACTGATATGGATATTTATAGATTATTCAATGAATGAAAGAAATGAAAGATATTTTGCAATCACTTATTATTTTGAAAAGTTTTTACTTTTTTTCACATACATTTTTACAATTAAAAACCGACATTTTTCATAAGAAATATATTTTTTATATTCAATAGGTAACTACCTGTTTTTAAAAATTATATTAAATAAACATTTTTTGAACTTTCATGATTAATTAATATATTTAAAATTTTAAAATATTGTTCTTTTTTTCTGTGTTCGTTTTTTTAGGACTTTTTTACTGATTACCATTGTATTGGGTAATAAGAATAACAAAATACACGCCATACATAATTTATAGGTATATATTAATAATAATAGTAATGACATTATAGTAAAATTACAGTTATGAATCTACAGTAAAACAGTACTACAGTATCTACAGTAAATTATAGGTATTGGTACCCTGCTATAGATACTTTTTAGAGCCGGACCGATAACGCATTTTTCCAATATTCCGGTGTATGTTGCCGATATGAAACCAATAGGCGATAACTAATCCAATATTTTATTTTCTTGGGTCCATGAACCGATACAAAAAAAAAATGTATAGGTAAAAGGTACCTATATTTTTTCAAAAACTGATAACTGATATAAATCGTAGTTTGTCGGGAGTTTGTTTGGAATATTTACAGCATTATTGCTATAACCACAATCATTACATACATATCGATGTGCGACTTGCATTGTACATTGTATCGGTTTTGCTATAGGTTCCAAAAAAAAAAACTTATACCCGATATTATTATGTACCGATATCGGTATCGGCTCAACTCTAATATTTTAATTTGTAGGCATGTAGGTAGGCAGGTATAGGTAAGTAATGTTATTATAGTAATTTGTAACTCAGACTATTCTCATTATTATTTTAGAAGCGGCTGCTTCTGAATTTTATAGGGTAGGAGGGTAGTTTTTTGTGAAATTTAAATGATTAGAACGCACACGCTGCTAAACGTATGTGTGTGTGGCTATATTATAACGGCTATGGGTATTGTACAAATCGCTGGATTGAGGTGATTGCAAACAAATGACACGCTTTCTGTATTAGGTATTTGAAGTTCGTCACTGATCGTCTCATATTATTGCAAAGGTACACATAGCCACATAGGTAATACCGTACCTACATATTATTAGAAGTTATAATTTGCGTAAAATGTATAAAATGGTACCTAATAAAATAACAGCAACGTAATCGATGGCAATACACGAATATAATATTATTGGTAGCTAGTAATAAATGGGATATGGGGATAACTAAGTAGATGTGTAAGTATGATAGGTCACAGTTTCTACACATTATAAATGCATAACATTGTGAAGCGTCGGTAATTATTAATATCTTATATTATATATTAATAATTAATAATTGATATCGATTTCGTTGCGGGTATCGTTGGGTTACGGCATGAACCGCAACAGGAGGATCAAATAGATGAAAATAAATACGATAAAACACATTCTGTCGATCACTCTGGCGAACATTTGCCTCGCTTTCAAGTCGGCCATTTGACCGTTGGTCTCCTCGGGTTCGCAAAGCATGTGACAATCGGCCACCGAGTCCTGTAAAGACGACAAAAGCGCGTGCATTTGATTAAATATAATTTTGCATCATAATATGATTATTTATTACAACAATGACAACTAGGGAGAGGTAGTTGCAATTGATATAGCAATAAAATTAATATAAACTTAGTCTGAAGTAATATTATACATCTAACTAAATATAATTCAAGGTTGTTTCTTTGTTTGAATTTATGACCAGTTTTGATTTAAAAAAATTTGCTTGGTAGATATAACCTTTAAATAGGTAGTTTTATCTAGGCACGTATATAAAGAGAGAAGGGTCCACAGGGTCTGGGCTCTACCGCTCCCCCAAATTTTATTTGTATAAAATCGTTATCTTTTATAATTTAAATCGAAATAACATGAGCACTTTGTTATTAAATATGTATTATTAAAAAATATACTATAAGACATTGTGGAACACAAAAATAAACCACTGCAGCACAAAGGAATTTCGAAAATTATTTTATCTCTCCAAGTCCGTGAATGTCAGCAATGTCGTGTAACGTATCAACTATCAAACATTATGACGTAGATACGAGCATTCAATATAAAAATAACTGATGATTTGTACTATACAAATTATACCTACAAGTTATCGGAATTTTCTTAAAACATTGTTTTGTACCTAATAAAAGTAGAAATGAGCATTTAACGGGACTTGCACTTTTGTAAGTTCATTGAGAAATATCTGTGAATCTTTACATACGAAGTATAAGACACAATGGCTAAAAAAAAAAAACAGACAAATTACAATTTCGACATAATTTGAAGTTACTTAGGTCTCATTATTTCATAAGAAAAAATAAAAACAATTATTAACCTACTTTATATTATTATTATTTGACAGGTATTTAAAAATAAAAGGTTATGTGTACCAATAATGCATGAATGTAGTAAATTTTTTTAATACTATATAGGTGTACAAGGTTATAATTTTTAGTGAAGAGAATTACTTTTTTTTAGAATACCAACAAAAAAAAAAAAAAATTCTGTATATGGCACTGTTTATGCCATATTGTTATTGGTATACTATTTGATACCCGATGGTAATTTGTTCAGGATGCAATTTCACACGCTACTTAAAATTTCCAAAATATTTCTGCTTCTCTTTTTTTTTTTTTTAAATACGTATTTTTCAAAATTGAATGAAAATGTTTGAATTGTTTCAAAAACCTAGCTTCTATAAAATTGCAGAGTTTTCCTATTTTATGCCACTGAGTATGATGGGTATTCTTGTTATAATATGTGGTCTACCATTTTTTATATTTAATTAAAATATCAACAAATACATAAATGTATATCTGTAAGCAACGAAAAACAATTTGAAGTCAAGTTTGGTTATATATATATATATATATATATATATGTGTTTTGAAAAGCCGTAATGATTACGATTTTTTTTAAAATTTGATATTAAAATTCTTATAAAAAAGAATTTTACATTATTATACACTCAATTTTTTTTTACCACTAAATTTGATTTATAATAAATTTCCTGTCGAGTCGAATTTTCAAGCATTTTTGTTGAGTCTAACAATTTATCCTCAGAGTACCTACCAAATAAAAATACGTAAAAAAAACTCGCTTAATTTAAATATCTATAAATAAATCAAAAATTTCACAACTTCTAGAAAAATGCAAATATAAGTTTTTTGTACATCCAAGAACCATTCAATAATATACAAGTGTAAAAATCTAATTAACTAATGATTCTAATTGATTGGAATGACTCGGTATAGATGCAAGTAAGTAAGTAAGTATCGTTAAGTAACCTATAGACCACATATGACAAGAATACAGTATCATTTTAATATTATAATTGTTAACTATTCATATTATATTTATTGGAAATTATTATTGTTGCGTACGTTCATAATATCGATTCCCAAGTACACTAGGTAATTGGAGTGAAGGAACTGCGTTATTCCGTATGGCAATGGTCTGCTCATCGCTGACATGCCTTTTACAGCCAAGGATATCACAATCGTTATGGCGATCAGTCCCAAACTGTAAGTGTAGTAAACGACTAAGAAAAATAAATTATTAAAAAAATTAGGTAAATTTTATGTAACGATAATCAATACGTATAGATAGCATAAGTATACCTACTTAATTCTAAATTCTAAATATTCGATGACACATATAATATTTAATAATAAAATAATAAAGTAAAAACAAAATTATTAAAATGGTTCATACTCGTAAATAAAGTAAATGAATATAGTAAATAAATATATAAATAAAAAATGTATATGTAAAAATAAAAATTAATAAATGAATCGATGTGTCGCCTGTAGTATTATGATAAGTGTAATGTATACGACCGGTTTCGAATTATTACCTTAGTTTTTATTTGTATTATATAATGTCAAAAATACTGGCTGAAAATTGAAAAAAATATATTTTTTTCCGAAAATTTAACGTAACATCTATAATTATTGAAATACATTTTTTTTTATACATTGGCCTTTGCGTCATGTCATATATGTATATAACAGTGTCTACATCACTGCTCGAACTTGAGATAACGTCACTACTATTTTTTTATTTTTATTTTTTCAGCATCAATTTACTAATTATTTTTATTGGGACGGAAGGGCAATTAGTACGTCTGTTTTTGTAAGTAATAATAATAATATATATGAAAAAAAAAAAAAATTTGGTCTTATAATTCGAAAATCATATAATATAAAATAATAATTATTATTGTACAGTGTCCCAAAAATATATACCCATTTTTTACATATCCTGAAATAATAAAGATAAACAATTTTTTTTTTTTTTGGATTACTTCCAGAGATAATGACTACAAATATTAAATATTTTGTGTACATTTTATATTTGATTTAAATTTGTATGTTTTTGCAAAAATATTAAAAAATTTATTTTTTTATTATTTTCAAAAATGTGTTGATAACCATTTTATAGAGTTTATTCTTCTAGACATTTTGACATTTTAATTGTTTATTTTCATTAAATTCAAAATGATTTTTAATAATTTTTTAAAGTTCAGAGAAAAAAGTTTACAATAAGTTACCCATAATATAATAATAATTAGCAAATACGATTACAGTCTGCTGCATAATTATAGGTAATCAGAATAATAATTATAATATAACATAGGTTATTATTAATAGTATGGTTGACATTGTCTTTACACTTTTTTTTCTCAGAGTTTTAAAGAATTATAAAAAACTAAAAGTTTAATGAAAATGCAAATTGTAAACGTCAACATTTTAAGAAGAACAAACTCTTTACAAATTTAAAATTCAATTTTTTTTAAAATAATAAAATAAAAAGTAATTTTTTTAATTTTTTTACCTAAAAATAAAAATTTAATTTAAATATAAATTTGTAGTCCTCATCTCTGTGAGTAATATAAAAAAATAAAAATTATATTTGATTATCTTGTACTATCAAAGTGACAACCGCCATTTATGGCTTGAATTCCTAGTTAAAAAGGAACCATTTTTAGAAGATAAAAATAAGTTAGGTTAAGGTTAGGTTTAGTTCAGTCATTGCATGCTATGCTAATTTTTTAGTCTTATAGCCCTTATTTTATTTTTCTAATTCGAGCACACATACATACCAATCAGTGGCACGGTGGAAGTCACAGTTGGCACTTTGGAGTACATGATCAAGATAGTGAGAGCAACGAACAGCGCATTAAACATGTTTACAAACAGTTTACAATAATTGTCAGTGTGTGGTAGCCAAAATGTCAATAAATTAAACAATGCACTGCCTGAGAAAATATAACAATACATAAGTACCTGGCACAGAGTTTATACAAAGTAGTCAAAATTACTTTAAACATTCAGAAAACCCATACCTAACTCTACTCATCGATACAAATATGTAATATAAATACAATTGAATTGATTCAATGGGGTAATGGGATGTATGCATTTATTCATATTTTTAATTTGAGTTTTTTTGATAAAATGTATGTAAATTACGTTTAAATAATAGGTATTTGGTAAACAAATTAAAAATTATAGATATGAGTACCTATTATAAAGGTATAATAAAGGTATAATACTTTTTAGTTGTTTAATAATCATACAATTTGTGACACACGAGTAGGTAGGTATGTATGTATAAATATTTATATTTAATGATCACCTTTAAGCCATATTATAATTATTTAGTTGCAACATGATTGAGCATAGTTTATCTTTCTCGCAATACGGTGAGCATATTTTCGATCGAACAATAAATCGAAATGTAACATAATTGTACACAAAAATAAACATAACGTTGCCATACTTATTTTAAATGTTTAGCTTAGGCGAGTTGGTTCTACCGTGTGTGAGTAATTTTTTTAAATTTCTAGATTTTCTACAAAGCGAGGAAACTATTGATTTTAGTGTTTTATCATTGATTTTTAATAAAGGTACTAACACCTATGTATTATAAAATGTTTTACGATGGGTCTAAGGAAAAAAAAAGATTTATTTCCTATTTGTAAAAAGCTTCAAACTTCCAGAAATCTTGCTCTGATAATCAACTTTAAGGGTTGTTTTTTGTAGAAAATGTTTTCTGTTTCTGTTATTTTGATTTTATTTTTTGCAATTCGGTTAGTTATAAATAAAATAGATAGTGTCATTTTTGATTTAAGTGATACTTGTTTTAAACTAAATATATTCTATAGTCCATAATAATGATAATAATAATAATAATAATAATAATAGTACTAATAACACTTATTCAAAGCAGTTGTTCTTATTCTAATTTCTTCATGGTCGTTTCTTGTGTTATTTATTTCAACGTCCAGATATTTGGACTTATGTAAATGCGGACCCTTTTGTATTTATAATTTCCCACTTCTACGTAACAATCCTCCGAATTTCGTGATTATATTGTATAGAGATCACCATATACATGTTTGGTCTTAAATTGCGTTTAAAATTTGGTAATGTATGAATAGGTAACCACCCTTATTTCCAAAGTGTAGCAACTGCTAGTAATAGGGTTGGGCGCCACTGCGTTCAGGGCTTAAACTAAGTTATTTACACTATAATATATCCTATACCTATTTTTAAGTTTTCACCTATACAGCAGTGGACTATAAGCTCTTTTATTGTATTTCATTTTCATAGCCGTAAGCATAATTTGTGTTATTTTTCTTAATAACCAATCATTCACTGCGAGTTCACGTGGCTCACAATTAAGTTTATCAGCAAACATATTAAATAGGTTTTAATGATGGGTACTAAATAGGTATGTATTTTGATCGTTTAGATCAAATTTTATTATTTTATAAAATTTTTTAATTTAAAAATGTAATTAGAAATACAGTAATATTATCATTGACCAATACAATTTACCCGTATCGTTATTATATATTATAATATAATGTATAATCAAAATATTTTATGCTAAATATATTGAATATTCTGTTATTTTCTTTATTATTATATTAATTTAATGAAAATTAAAACGTACATAGCATATTTAATTTAATAATCTGATAATGATTAATATATGTTAAACAATATTGAGTAGAAACTTGTTTGTATCTAGTGTTAGGTGGGCACTATTATAGGTATCTACACCAATTAATATGTGAAATTATTAAATAAAGTCGTACGCACCTACCTAATGTTATATCTATTAAAAAAGACGAGCACATTTAGCACGATGGGGGGCCTTTGTTGTAGATGAGAAGGGGAAGTTAGGATATATAGAGGAATTTAATTTGAGTTTATAAGCAACGGTAAACCATTGCTAACGAAAAACGATTCGGAGCGAAGTTTCTTTTATATATTTACGTATATTTTCCTGTTTTCCTGAGTTTTTCTTTGGTTTTTCCCAATTATTATGAAAACTACCTATTTAGAAAATCAAAAATGACCTTTTTAAAGTACCAAGTAGGTAAAATTTTCATTTAGAGAAGGTGCTATACTTGATACACCGGAGCGAGATTTTTGGTGGAAAAATTGCTTACAGAAAAAAACTAAATTAAATTAAACATCATTGGAAAATCAAGACGTTCCTCATTACGCCCCAAATTTAAAAAAATAAAAACATCTACTATTGTTAATTAATATATTTATAATAGTAAGAAACTTGGGATATTTTATTTGATGTTTCAAGTAGATATTATAAAATAATACCCATCTTACCTTGTAAGTATAATACACCTTATAACAACAATTTTTGCCATTAATTTTGTTTATTAAAAAAAAAAATAATAATAATAATACTTAAAAGGACAAATACAATGTTTATGATCTAAGGTTAGACAGATTATAATTGGTCTTTGTTTTTGATAATTATAGGTTAACGGCAGGATTATATCATTTTAATTTTGCATAACTATAGAAGCACGGCTGAGATACAGGCCAGGTCTATAAAAACAGGCAATGGGCCAGTTAAGTCCATCTGAATTATTTGCTTACGGAACGTGAAGCAAAGCTAATCCTGCTTTGACTATGATAAAGATAAATTAAAATCAGTTAATATAATTACTTCCAAAAAATCAACAAAAAAAATCATCCTGGAACAGTTTTAAAAATAATAACCTTATACCTACCCATTTACTGATAAGCACAAACCATAAGATATTTTTCTCTGTGCTAATTTTTGTTCAATCATCCAATAGAAATTGCAGATTTTAAATACTGCTATATGCAAGCTGATCATCGTTTTATTATTATACTGAATATTTTCTTCGTCGTGTGTTTTTCGAAAAATATTTATTATATTGATTAAATATATTGATGGTTATCTGAATAAGAATCATGTATCAAGTCATCGACAGTTATTTTATAATATTTATTTTTAGATAATAATAAGTTGTAGGCAATAGCGGTCATTTAATGTGGATTTGGATACATATTTTCATATGGTCTATCATAACTAACACAATTTCTGTAACCATTACTGTATCCAGAATTCTTTCACTGGGGAGGGGTTTCTAAAAATGATTTTATTTTAAAATCATAATTAAAATGATTTATATTTTTTTCAGGGTTGCTTGTGGATACGGGCTGTTATAACCTTTCAAAGTCGCCGTTTCTATAATATTTTTATCAAGTGCCAATAATACCAATACCGATATTCTTATTATGTATATATATATATTATATATATAACAATAAAATACTTGCATAGTGCTGGAATATAAATGACTGACTGATACGGATGGACCTTTCGTTTGATGGTGATGCTGTATTCTATGTCGATATATTGTTCGTCGGGACAACATGGATAGAATCTAACATTTCTCTCTTTGTATACATTGAGTATGTCCCATTCCGAATGTGAGCTCGCCACTTCTACCTGTGGGATTAAACGAATCAAATCACAACTATTATGAAAATGCGCTCTTGACAGAGTAGGTATAGGGTAAATATAATATATTAATATTGTATATTGTAAATAGAGAAACTGACTTCGTCGTTGTCAGTGGTTAGGTTCAACACGTTGCCTAGGTACATCCATGACCCAAGTCGCAAGACTCCGGTTTGTGTATCGTGAGGCCAATGTGTCGTGTCCGTCTGACAATGGATGTTGTACTGTACAGGTTCCACCCAGATCACCGAACCGGTGTTGTTCACCACACTGTTGACACGAGTCCGATCGTCTTCCATATTAGCATCAACGCTGAAATAATAATAATAATACATTTAATTATAAACTAAATCTCGAAGTGATTTTTGATTTACACATACTTGTTGAACGCCATGACGTCCGGGTGCCAAATTTCACGATGGTCAACTATTATGGAATTCACTTGTTCATACTGCTCTGGATCCCAAATCAATCGATCGTCATTCCAATTCTAAACAACACGAAAACTTTTATTTCTAGTTCTATAATAAGTCAATAACCATTTAACAATTTCGTATTAGTAATTGCTAATTGAGTACTAATTAATAAATATTAATTTTTGCTCATTTATATTATAATATCTTATAGTCCGATAGATATTCGTTCAAATTTTGTTAGTCCACATTACTCGCTTTTATTGAGTTAAAACCTTACATTATCATTTCCTAGACAGGGATATAATATATTATTTTTTTCTTAATCGTCATCATTATAATAATATTATTTTTAGTTCACGTATAGTTTAGTTCTCCTTCTCCGAAAAATAATTCTGAATACGTACAATTGATGTATGTTCTTAAAAACGCGATTTGTCTCTATCATCTTTCTATGGAATAACATAATACATTTTTAAACTATGATAATTGATAATATTTTAACCTAAACCTATAGTATATAAATATAGTTTTTAACAGATTGTCGTTAGCTAAGTTATGATGTGTTCAATACGTTTTTAAATTGAATTAAAAGTAGTTGACTTCGTTAAACAAATAATTTATATCTATAATTTTTTATTATTTTGACAGATATTAAACCCCGTGTTAAATCATAATGAATTAACAAAAAGATTAAAGAAAAAAATAACAGTTTGTCTTGTTTAACTAAGTAGTTTAATCATTCATTAAATGTGTATTGTATAGACTGTAGGTACTAGTACTCTGTAGGATTAATATAATATTTTAGGTTTAGATAAGTATAACATAAAACAATTTTTAATTAAATATAGTGTACTTACTGCTATGAACCAAGTACTAAGGATCATTTGAGATTTTTCATAATCCTATATAACATATGCAAATGTATTATTATACATATTATTATGCATACATTATTATATAGTGCTTAATTTAAATGTTAATGACTTTTAACATGTAACAAATATAATATATAGGTAGGCAATATTTACCAACTCCGCATTTTTTATCATCATTCTCATGTTCACTTTTAAGAAGCTACCACGGGTAGCAGGAATTACAACTTTGTCATAGTCTTTAAAAATATGTTTTCTTAAGTTGTATTCTACTGATGCATTGTAGAGTACCCTTGCTAAAAATGATAAAACATAATGCAATTTTAATATATTCCCTTATTGATAACTGATCGATTCCATGAGAATAATAACAATAAATTATTTCGTAATAATACCTATACATTTTTTCAATAAAGTAAAATAAAATTTAAAAAAAATATTAGAAGAAATTAATTTATCATTCAAATTGAATATGTTAAACATTATATGGATATGGGTATAAGGCGATGTAATTATTTAACTTAAAAATAAATTGATGCCTATTTAATATATGATATTAATAAATTTTAAACAAACATTGAATCATGCATGAATAGGTATATTAAAACTGAGTAATTATTTTATAGTCACTAAAGTTAAATTTAAATAGTTATTCGTTGTTAACGAGAAAGCTATATAATATGAGTTTATTTGAACATGATGGAAAATCAATTTGAATATTAGCTATAACCTCACTAGGATGGAGTCGTTATCTATGGCCATCGTAAGATCTTTTTTTCTATTAATACTTGATTTAATCTATCTATGGTTGTTGAGCAAGTTCAAAATTTAACCATAAATACATGATTCATGGTCACGTGATGCCAATACATAGGTATTTTAAATTTCAGTCTTCGGAATATTAAAGAGTGAAAAATTAGTAATAATATTTTTAAATTGGATTTTCCCGTTCTATGGCAATCTTAGGCTATCTATGTTGTTGTAATTATTGATATTACCAGTAAATTATTAGTTAAAGTTATTAGTAAATTAATTAATGTAGATGAATACAGCAATAACTATGTGAAATATCAAGTTACAAAATTACACTATTTACGAATAAAATAAAAATTAATTGTATTAACTGGGACATTGGCCATAGGTGGTGACTCAATCCTGTATGAAATAATTGTTTTAGGTAAAAATAAATTGAAAAATTAAGGTCCACTTAAGGAACTTGAGTTTTATAACTTTTATTTTTTAGAATGTATTTATACCTACTTTTTAAAACTATGTGACCACAAAATATAACTTACAGGAATTATTTTTTTGATTAGTACCTACCTTTTTGGGTGTTTTACAATATTTTATAAAATCATTAGTTATTTACCTGCATTAAGCGTACATAGTTGTGTAGCTACAAATAGGAGTAATGCTAATCCAATTCGATGATTTCTTAACATATCAAAAATATGTCTATAATAAAATAATCAAAATAGTTTGTACAAATAAAACTTCAATAATTACAAGTGGTGACACGTTGTGCGCGTGCGGTATACTGGACAATTCATTTATTCACATCCGTGGTTATTCGGTCCACTTGAATACAGGATATAACCTTATATGATTCAATTAAGTGTAATCAGTCTAACAGAAAAAAAAAAGTGGATACTAAAGGCGATCTAAAGAAAAATGTCCTTGAAGATCTTCTAAACTGTAGGTGCTTGACATTGAAAACGTAATACTAAAATAAAGCTTTTATTCATTAAAATATGTTTATTTTTAATAGTTTTCTTCAGATCTCTAAATTTAAGTTTAGAACACCTTGTATCTCCGTTGTGTTTATCCGTGTAATTTCTAATACAGACCATACAGTTACGTATAGCTACGGTTGTTGATTTGGTTGACAAAGATACATATATAATAACTATATTATATATAGATATGTATATATTATTCGTATTATAACATTATTATCATTATTAATTTAAATATGCGAGAATTAAATATAAATTAATGTTAGCGAATGTTCAAAAAAATAGGTACCAAAATATGAGTACTTAAAGAATAGTTTATATATTATACCCTGTCTATGTATTACCTATTTACAAAATAAGATATTTAAATTTAATTTATTTAAGTTTCTAAGCATAATAGCTACGAATTCTTTCAAAATTGTATACCCACGGTCTACATAATTCATTGGTTAAAATATGTTTAGAAACCGGGAACTTTGCACGCTCGTAGAGTGGATTTTCCTAAATTATTTTAATTATTATTATGCGTGTTATATTATATATTTATATATACTTGGTAGGTATATGACACGGCACTGTCGTAGATAAATATAGAGGGGTTTGGAAGTTTTGTCCTCTCAATACTCAGGCCTCCTCCCCCTTCAAATCAAGTATTTATTAAACAAATACTAAATATGCATAATCGATATTACGAAATATGAGTTGAACAACAAATTAGTAGTTACATAAATATGGTTTACGTCAAAACTGTGAAACCACAATAGCGAATGCCAAAATAGCGACGGAACAATAGTTAAGCATAAAATAGCTAAAAGTCATATTAACGAATGTTCAAAACAACTAAAGTATATTATTTTAAAATTATTATTATTATGAGTATTTATTTATAATTAGTATTTGTTGTGGTGCGATAGATTTTCCAAAGACTAATAATTCTGTCGAAGGTAGTTATAATGTATACATAAATATATTTAAAATACATTAATTATGTTTAATAGATTTGTATATATTATGTAGGTTGGAATCGTGGTTTCAATAATTTAATTTGATCGTGTCACCCAACACTTTGGGAACTTATAGACGGGTTCAAACAAGAACAGACTAATACAGAAATGAAAGTAGAGCAAAATACATAAGTGGACTAAACCTAACAGAAAAAAAAAATATCAAGATACTGCATTAAGAATTTTAAAAATTCAAAAACAATATACGGAGAGAAATATTGTAAATTATTTGAAAGGCATAAACTATAATTTATCACTACAAATATCTATGATAAAATAATATACGTTTTTTTATAATTTTATAAATCCGGATGACTTATGTATCATTAAACACGTGCAGTAATAATAATTTAAAAATAATATACTTTAGCTGTTCTGAACGTTCGCTATTATGCGTTTTAGCTATTCTATGCTTAGCTATTTTTCCGTCGCTATTTTGACGTTCGCTTTTTTTTGGTTTGGCGGTTATGACGGCGACTCCGTAAATATAACTTAAAAATACATTCGAAGTCGTGTTTTTTCAAACAATTTTTTAATACAAACTATTTTGACTATTATCTCGGTGAATAGGTCATACTACTACCCCTAACAGTTATAGCTATTTATGTACTTCATGCACTTACCTAGTTATCTAGATATAGGAGTCATAAATTATAGAACTATGAAAACACGGCAAGAAAAAATTAAAAATAAATTCGTCGAACCAGATAATACATTTTATCGTTATTTGTAATAAATTATTACGAATCGTAGAAATCGAATCAAAGGCAATTGATAAAAATGATTATGAATCTATTATTCCGAATAATTATTAAACTGGTGCATTTAATTATATCGGTTATTATTGTCATGATCATTAGAATTTATTTTGCGTTTGAATGCTAATCGATAGTAGGGGAAAATGGTAAAAAAATTAATAGAACGAGAGAAGTTAAAATAGATGAATGGTGAAAGGGTATACTCGGAAATAATAAGATCCCTCAAATTTCAAACATTTTCAACATTATTTAAAAACGCAGCATATATATATATATGTTGTGAACGTGATAAATTTCCTCGAAAATCATTTAAAATAAATTTTAATTTAGACATTTTTTTTTCCACACTAGCCTAAAACAATTGGTACGAGGACGTTTTCATTTTTTTACTCTCTGGAAACATCATCAAATCGATAGATATAACTGTTGGGATAAAAAAAAAATAACCGCTTAGGTGGCTATCAAACTAACAACACACACACACACGCGAATTTGCTATTGCACACTTAAATTTTTCCATTTGTGTATACTATACGGTGTGTGTGAGCTATAACACATTTAATCGACCTTGGAATCTATACCTATATTGATTTTAAAACGTGAGTGTATCACTTATAACCGTATCGGTCAGCTTGACAATACATCATATTACGTAGAGGTATATAATTTTTAAAATAAAGGAACTGTATAAAAAACTATGGACTTAGGTACATAATATAGCTGGTGAACTCTATGGTTTTTGGATAACGGCTCAAGTGCGGTTAAAACATCATTGAAAGTAGTAATACTTGTAGATAAAGTAGGTATAGAACAGAGAACTGATTAATCATTAAATATAATACAAACGCATATTGAGTATTTGAGTTCTATATATTATATTTACCGAGATATGATTAAATTACTTATATACACAAAAGATATTCTTCAAAAGAATATTTTTAAGTACCAATAAGAAATCACAAAGCTAAAATAGGTAATTTGAGGGAATCAAAGTAGGAAAATTTGAAAGCTTATTTAAATTAAGAACCTATATGAGTAAGGCTTACCGGAAAATTCCAGGTATCCCAATACGGGTCTAATCATGTAAAATATTTGGAACAGTTTTTAATACGGATTATAGACAAAAAAAAAATAGTACGCTATTATATACATATTTTTTTTTAATTTGTTTCAGTAAGTAGTTATATTAATATTTATTGATAATGTGTTACTATAAATATACAAATATAAATGCGTTATAAAATTATATACAGTTTAAAATCTCAAGGGGGCATTGTCCCCTTTTGCCTCCCTCCTGCGGTCGCTATTGAATCAAACTTATAGATTCAGGCGTATTTAGAAATTTATTTTTTATTTTTGAATAAGAAAATAATTATTAATGGTGATTGTAAAAATTGTAAGTTGTATAGATTTTGTTTTACTTGTTAGATTTTTATTGTACATATAGTTTTGTACAGATAAAAAGTTGGAACTTATTATTTATATTTAATAAAATGATATATTTGCTTTTGTTGTTACCAGAACCAAAACTAAAACAGTAGGTATTTTAGATATAAGTAGGGTAGTACTTACTAAACTTACTACCTACTAGTTAAAAAATATAAAAATTTTAAAAACTTGTAAAGAAGACGGTGAAACCAGTGATGGCTCTAAAGGTGGGCCCGGATGGGTCATGTCCCTCTAAAATCTTATTGGCCCATGTTCAATTATATTAATTTAACTCAATAGTTTGAATTCGATTTTTCAAGTATTGTGGTATCTTGTCTGTTACACGTTTGTTGCGTAGGTATTCTCATATAGTTTTATATAATTTCAATAATATTAAATTTATAAAATATTATTTTGAAGCAGTGACTACGCTTATATCATAAATATGTTTAAAAAAATCTGTAAACGACGGGCAAGTGGTGTCAAAGGTCTTAAGAAATTAAATTCAGTATTAAATTAACATTTTATATTATAAAGGAAAAGGTACTCGTATATAAGAGAAGATCCAATAATGAGGGGGTCCAGGCCGGCTCCCTGTTGTTCTATTAACACGTAATTATCCTTACCATATGTTGGTCTCTAATTGGAAAAAATTCCTGCTGCCGCCACTGCCGCGGAAAGTAAATAAACGTTGAAAGTGCAATTTAGAACTGCACTCAGAAATGATTACCCTAATCGAATAATTGCCACATTCGCATTAAAAATTAATAATACACTATTATTTATTATCCAGCGCTGAGTGGTATAATCTTTATTCTTTGTAACCTGTACCTAATAATAATCGTACTATATTATACTACGATTACTAGTGTACGCGTGGCCATGTACTTATATTAACTTATCTAATTTTTTATTATTATTTTGTTACTACTACAACGTCATAAAAATGATAATGTCTTACTGTTAGGTTAAATATATTTAGGTACCTAGATAGGTGTTTATTGTTAAATGAGTTGTGTAGAAGTTTCGCTGTTTTGATATTTTGATTAGATATATTCCTATCATAAAGGTACCAGACATCGAATAATTCAGTAGGAATATTTATAATGAATTGTTAGATATAAGCCATTATCTACTAAAAAAAAAAAACAATTAATTTATTTTGTATACATTTTATCATGTGGTCGCTATTATCTAACCGCTATTATAAATAATAAAAAAATGATCAACACTCAGTAGTGTCAGAACCGTTTCTTAAACAACATATAATATTCTGATAGCATTGAAAGTATTACACCTATGTATATGTGTATTATTAAATATTATTTTTTATTTTTTCTCCGTATAAAATAATGCTTTAAATTAAACCAACCCAGGTATCTGTATTATAAATACATGTGTGTATTTGTTTTTAAATTTCCATTCCTATAGTTTTATTTAATTTCCTAATTGGAATAATTATGGTTAACTGTTTTTTTAAATATTTTTTATTTGCAATTATATTTATTAACTTTGTAAACATAAACGCCGAAACTTCAGGTATGTACTGATCAAATATATTTATTGTTAATCATTCTTTTCCACATAATATTATATTATTCAGATATTCACATCAAACTATTATTAATGCCTAATATTCTATTTATTGAAAATATTAATATGATCTTATAGGTAGCCGGTAGGTACATACGAATTATAATTTAAATATAAATTATCATATCAATGTCAAAAAGCAAAATAATATAAATTAATCAACATAAAATTAAGTATAAATTGTAACTCTTTAATAGCGGAAAGGATGTATGAAAATGAAAAATGTACGATAAGTTAGCAGGAAGTAATAATGTAATATTTATTTTAGATCGTGTATAGGTATTGTTTATAGTATAGTATAGTGTAGTATACACTTTATTTATATCTATCTTTATATATGTAATTCTACTGTACGTGTGTATGTAACTGAACTCCTCCTAAACGGCTGGACTGATTTTGAAAAAAATTTTTTTTGTATGTTTGAATGGTTCCGTGGATGGTTTAGATTCACAATTGGACCCGATAGGTGGCATTGCAAGGGTAGCTGACACAGAGTAATTGGTATTTTTAGTACAGCGATTTTTTTTTTTTTTTTTGTTCATTTATGGGTTACCTTGGTGATACGGATGAAATTAAAAAACAAAAAAATGAATAATCGGTAAGATATTCCGTGTAAGTTGTTCCAAAATTGAAATGTTCATTCTGATAGAAAATAAATAAATAAAGATTCATCAGAGGGCGCCAAGTGAGTGATACAATCGAGTTATTATTTTTTTAAATATAAATTTGAATATATCGGCAAATACGCACTTTTATACTATATAGGTATGTATAAATAAATTGATATTTTTTCACCGACGCCATAACTTGAAAATGGACGGACCGATATGCCTGATTTTTTTCACATGAAGGTATAAAACAAACACCGTGTCGTCTGCGAACGACAATTGGCTATAATACGGTATACGCGCTTTCCCGCTGTCGAGCGTCTCCACTCCTTGATAAGTTAGATTAGGCTTAGCTTCCTTTGAAATCCATCAACACTCCCCATTTAAAAAAAATGGAGGTTTCGTTATTTTTCGTATGAGAATCATGAAAAAAATATCATAATAGAATACTTATTACGCCGAAGGTGGACTACCCGCTTTCCATTTTTTTTTTTATTCATTACTCACACGGTCAAAAACTAAACAAGAAAAGGGGTAAAAAAACAATAGAAAATTGGCAACGCTGGGCGGGACAGCTAGAGAATTATATGTGTAAGATATATACACCAAATAATTTAGCTAGAAAAAAATAATAAAAAATGGCACGGGCAACACTGAGCAGGACAGCTTCACAATCATTCTAAAGTTTTTATCGACAAGATATGGAAATACACTTCTGCTTTTCATGAAGAAATGTTATAACAGAAAACTATTAGACTACCTATTTTTTACCTATTTGTTTTTATTTGTTATTATTTATTACTGACACGGTCAAAACCAAAAACGAATATGGGTAAGAAATGGCGCGGGCAACGCTGGGCAGGACATCTAGTATATATATAAAATATCATGTCCTGACTGACTGATTCATCGTGGTCTAGCTCAAACTATTGAACGAATCGAGCTAAAATTTGGCATACAGATAGCTATTATGACGTAGGCATCCACTAAGAAAAGATTTTTGAAAATTCAACCCCTAAGTGGGTAAAATAGGGGTTTTTAGGTATTTTTGGTACGAATATCTAATTGTTTATTTATTTACTTTTGTTTATACATGTGTTACTTTGGTGACAATATGTAGGGCCGGATGTAACATTTTGAAATTGGTGCCCTTTTTAGGTTTCGAGTGGAGTGAGGAATGTATTGGTTTTACAATGATGTTTATTATTATTCTTATTATTTTTTTATCTGTGAACAATGTTTCTACCAGAAATTTTGCTCCGATTTACAATGATAGCATTTTTTCTGAAAATAAAACTGTCTGGGACGGTACTTTAAAGAGGTCATTTTTTGATTTTACCAGTATCAATCGTTATTTTTTATGTTTGTAATATTAGGTTAACTCGATCAATTATTGTATTAAAAATTTGTCCCACGCGGTTAATATACATATAAATGAACATTTTTTTATTGCTTTTAACAAGTTTTTATCATCAAATTTAATAGTAGATGTTTCTCGATTTGATAAACCAAACACTTTAATCATATCAGACAATTTAAAGTGTAATGCTCTGACTGGTTTATTGTTTGAAGACTACTTTATAATACTGTAACCCTTTAAAGATATATGAAGGATGGCCATTAAAATATCCCATATATGGATAGAATTAGAAAAAAATTTAAATAAATTTTTTGTGATTCCAAAAAACGTTTCTATGAATGAATAAAAACTGTTAATATATCCACTTATTATTTGGTAATTTGGCACCCCCCGAGGATGACTTCGGTTTCGACCCGGAGGGGTGGCCCCCTAGATCCAACCCTGATGTCATGGGTGACAATTTAGTTGTCACGGGCAAGAAAACTAATATTATAATTATTATTATATTGTTATCTAGCAATAGCGAAGCATTGCCGGGTCAGCTAGTACTATATTATATTCTAAATCTCTTTCTAAACAATTATTTAAAATAAAATTTGAATAAATAACATGTTACATATTTTCTTTCATTAAAATAATTTAAACCATTTCAAATATTACATTATTTCAATATTTGTTAGGGAAGGTCATGATAATTATCGGCCCAATAAGCATAAAACTTTTGAGTCCATACCAAAAAAAAAGACACTCACTTCGATCACTAAGTCTCCCAACTATAATTTAATACTTGTTTACAATGTATATCTAGCAAACTATGTCCGCTTTTGTTATCATATTAATTATTCGAGTATAGGTAAATAATCTTAATTCAGATTTACATATTACAAAAGTGGGTTTCTACTATATAAGTGCACGTGCACGCGTATACAAATTCTTTGCTGTGATTGATTAGTATAAATGCTAAAGCGTTTGATATACTATAGCGTTTATACGTTCTTACCACACGTTTAGCCATGCTGCCGTATTTTTTGATCCAGTTTAACAATTAACGTGTACACGCTCGTATCACAGAATGCATTAACAATGTTAAGAAGGAGAGGATGATTTATATCATATCAAAAATCTACAAAATTGAATAATCCATAATATATTTATTATATTGACTGATATATTTTCTATTCATTTTTCATTAATTCCGACAATTTCACATCAAACATGAATCTTCCAAAGATACTTGTAATAGTACTAAAGTGTAAATACATTAATTAAACTTTTAATATGGATATATCTACGGTATTAGGGAAATATCCGTTTAAAACAATTTCGACCAATATTGAAAGTTCACGTTTATTATGCAGGTACAAGTATACAGTGAAAACCCACCTTAATCTTCAACGAACTTTACGCTGAAAAAAATATATTGAGTTGCTCACAAAAACACATATCAGGGTAATAAATTGCATACCTATTTTCAAATAAATATAATAATTTGATAATTCTTCCTTATTTCTCCAGTCTTAACTTTAAATAGTTATAATTCATCAACGATAAATCTGACATTATTTTTATGTATATTAAAGTTTCTAGAAAAATATTTCATTCGAATCTGTGTTCAAAAAGGGTTAAAAATTAAATAATGGAATTAAAATAAAACTTAAAAGATTCCAAATGATTAAAAAAAATTCATTCTGTATAATATGCAGGGTTGGGCGCCAGTAAACTGGCGTTGATTTGGTGCTTCCGACGGGGATTATGTAGGAGAGTTGGATCCGAAAAAAAGATTACATTATTAATATCTTAACAACACAACTCTAAATTAAGAGTATGTGGTACCCATATGAGCGGTTTCAATCCAAATAAGACATAGTCAACAACATGCTTAAGCAGACTAAGTAGAATTGGATTCATTTTTTGGTTTTAGAGCAAAGCATCTGTTATAAAACTAAAAGAGGATAATATTCGGTAGAGCACAACTTTACGTTTTGAAAAAAAAAATATTAAAATTATCGTTATTTCTGAACAACATATAGGTACCAAGCGTTATATTAGGAATGATAGTAGAACCGTGCAGTATGCCAGTATAGTAACTACCTGTACATTTAATTTTACATTTGTTATAATAATTGATCAAAGAAATTCATCGTTATAATAATTTAATATTAATAAAACGTTACACAGCGAGTTGTCAATTGATTTAATAATGACTAATAAATAATCAAGATGAAAATTTTTATTTCACGATGGTTTTTTTTCATTTACATGTTCGATTATTTTCCATATAAGATTTTACTACAAAATACTACCAATAAAACAAATTATTTTACCTATTTATGATGGACAGTATATGCTTTGCGCGTACGCTACGTTACTGCTGAAACACGAGCTGATACGCACGTTATGAGCTAAAGCTTATTTAAAAAAAAAAATTATTTGTGGAACCCTTTCCGTCATTTACTATTGGCCGGTTAGTGCTCAAGGCTACATCTTGTTCACACCCTATTGATTAATCATGCCCTGAATATATACCATATAGACTAAATTCTTTGGGAACGTGTTAGTTATCATGATTAAAATAATTATTTGATAAAAATATTTGTTTATGTAAGAATTATATCATACGATGAATTTCCTCCAATCGAAATCAGTCAATATCTATTATCTAATGCATGATTTGGCCTTTGCCTATTTAACGGTTCATTTGATATTCAAAAGAAAACAACATGCCTATAAAAAAGATTGTATATTATGCTATTGTGTTATATAGCATTAAAAAAATAATCAAAAATTATATATTTTCATGTTATTTACTAAATATCACACACACTTCTTCCCTGGAACCGGAGTAAATGGGAATCTGGTATACATATAATATATATATATATATATATACACACATGTATATATTATATCAGGGACCATCAAACTTTTTCAGTAGATATCTACTAAGAATATATTTTTCCTTTGACGATCAACTTCCATAAAAAAAAAAGTATAATTAATTACCCAATAGACGTAAGTATGATAATATACGTAGGTACGTGTAAAAATAAAACAACTAAAACGGATAGTTGAGTAATATTTTTCATTGTGTCTACTTTTTTAAGTTTCTAATGCAATATTATAAATTAATACACTAGCAATCCATGTGGCAACATAACGACTGTTGAACCGTATTGATAAACCGACACTAAATGATGTAATAGGGTAAAAACTATCGGCAATTGCGATTTGTCTGATAATAATTGTATAAAACCGACAACAAAGTCGTCCGCGATCTACTGGCCGACAGTTTGGCCGCTCCTGTATTGTATATACATGATCTAACAATTATCTACGTAAATTTTAAGATTTATTTCCTTTATTTATTTTATCTTTGATAATTAAAAACTAAAAGTTGATGCTTTTCGCGTTTACATTAGAAAATGGTTGGACATGCCTCGAAATGTTCTGAGATATACATTCACATTACATACATTCATATTGTAATAATTTTAGAGGATATGATTTAAAGGAAGAGAACTGCAAGACGATCTCTTAACTCCTATGTTGAACAAATTCAAAATGATTGAAGAATTAGAACTTTCAAGGAACTAAATGAAAAAGAAAGCAATTGATTATAATTAAAAATTGAAGTTGGACTATAGTTGTAGACTAATATACAGCTACGGGTTAATAAAAAAAGAAAGGCTGTACTACTTATGGATGTTTTACTGTTTAAGGAAGGTCAAAGGGAGGATTTATAGAGTCATTTAACTTATATCTACATACAATGATAATGCTAATGGAAAATAATTCTAAGCAGAGTATTATTAGTCGTATTTTAGATTCTGAATGGAGCGAAGAAGCTTATAGTATTACAAAGATGCTTATTTTTTTTTTTGTTTATCTGTGAGCAACTTTTCTACCAGATGACTTGTTCAGATTTTTAAGTGTATCATCTTTTTTGAAAGGAATAAATAATTTAACTTAGCTTGATGGTTACTCATAGTATGTATTTAGTATGTATATTATTATTTTATAATAGTATTATGGTAGTATTAATAAATTATAAAATGGGAATGTAAATATTCATGTTGACGTTGTATCTTTATTTGTAGTCATAAATATTAGTAGCCGCCAAGCTTAGTTAAATTGATTGTATTAAATTATTGCACTTCATCAAATACAAACAATTATAAACAATGTCTATACTAATGAATTTAAGAAATTACTTAGCCTCTTTTTGATTTTACAAATTTTCTAATTTGAGTTTTTTTTTTTTTTTTAGCAAGATTTTTACACTTAGTTGACGGAGGGTTTTTGTTGGAATATATACGTCCATAAATAATAAACTATAAATATGAAGTTTAAGGTATAATAATCTTTGGTGTTATAAATTTGAATTTATATCAACCTCTACGTTGGTCAGGTATACCTCTTTGTGTTTAGTAATTTTGCTATTAGGAAGAAAGTGAGGGAAAGTGAGAAGAGTGAGTGAGAGTATAATGGAATTAGTGAAATAAATGGAATACTATTTACAAGTCAATACCAATAAAAGATGCTCCATCACGTCTTCATTATCCCTCCTGAAAAATAATCGACGTAAATTTCACCATCAAATATTGGTGAACAAGGTGAATAAAATAAGAGTATGACAAAATTTGATCATGGCGTGTATTTTAAATTTTCCAAAAAAAAATTTAGGAAAAATATTGATAGTTTCTGAAATAATGAGTATTCTACGGAAGATTAATCACTTTTTGGGCGAAAGTGTTATGGATGAAACCTCAGAAATACCTTGGAAAAACGTCATATTTCGGTATTTGTCAAAGTTTTTTCCGGTTTCAAGTAAGGAACGTTAATGCTTGGCGAAACCTAGTTGCCACCAACTGGGTGAAACTGCAAGTTTATGAATTTGAATATTTCTAATATTTATTGAATAATTGTTATCATGTGTATACATATATAATTATTAATTTTATATTCTGGTTGATATCGAGCGTGAATAACGAATTAACGAACATACTTAAGGTCAACATTTATATTTAAGTGTTTGTATATTAGAGCATTTAAAACACTTTAATATAAACAAACAGTAGGTGGTAATTATTATGAGTGGGATGTTGAGGTCTTTTTTTCAATTTTTAGATTAGTTCAATGACTTTGATGAACCTCTACTCTTTCCTATCCATCATGTAATTATGCTCAGGGAAAAATAATGCAGTAACTAATTTCTCCTTGGCCCTTGCTTTTTGCACCGCAGTCGTTGAACCGTTACTTAACCCATCCTTAAGTTGCCATTATCAAACCTTTTCATTACTCTTGAGTAGTGGTGTTTTGGATAGTCTACCATTTGGGGATTTAACATAAATCCTGTAAAAAAAATACAAATACGCACATATACGATTGTATACTTTAATTTTTTTCCAAAATGTATGTATAACTTATACATGACATGAGATTTATAAATTAAGCAATCGGTATTCTGTATAATTTTTTATTATATAACATTTATAAATTATCTATAAGTATTAAGTTATAACTGTGTAAAAAATGGGTTAAATAAGATGTCCACGTATTGGTTCACATTTGTTATATTACATGTGAGGAAAGTTTCATGTTGTTGTTCATTAAAGATTTTTTTTATATATACCTATATAGAAAGGTTTCAAAAAGAAAAACCAAATATTTTTTTAAAGATTTAATAATGTTTGAATACATTTTGTCATTTTATAATTAATTTTTTATATTCGATAATTGATTTCATTTTAAATGATGTAAGTTTTTTGGTTGAACGTTGGCGTGAGTTTATAATTTTACAAGTTTAAATTTGATAGTAAAAAAATTAGTTAAAACAATTATTAAGTTAAATCTCACATGTGAAATAGTTTTTAATACTTAGGTATACAGGCTGTCCCATGAAGATATACCCCTTGAATATTTCTGGAGATAATAGAGATAATCAAAGTCTGTTTTTTTATTATATTACTCAAACGGATAACGACTGCAAATTTATTTTATATTTAATTTAAATTTTATTTTTTTTTAGTGAACAAATTTAAAAAATGATTTTGTTTTATTATTTTTGGAAATTTTTATGAGTGCCATTCTGTAGAGTTTTTTTTTTTCTGAAAAATTTAATGTATCATACATTTATATCCTCGAATATTTTCTAAGTAATAACCGTTTTAAATTTTACTAATCGTTGGGAAACCGATGTTATCGCATAACGCGTAAATATTTGTAGTCCTTATCCCTTTGAGTAATATAAAAAAACAGAATTTGATTATCCCTATTATCTCCAGAGATATTCAAGGGGATATAAAGGGGGTCTTCGTGGGACAACCTGTATAAATAAAAATGTACAAAACTGAGTAACAAAAAAATAATATTTTTTTTAAAATTAGTGAACTCTTGAATATACTATGTATTGCAGAGTATTGTAAAAATGTTTTTCTAGCTTTCAGAAAAAGTTTTTGAACGGTTGAATCTTTTTAGTTTTGTGCTTAAAAAATCGCAATATTCGTATTTTAAATTCATAGATAAGCGTATACCAGATTCCTTAAAATTTTTTTTTACGAAAACAACACTTAGGTCTATTGAAGAAATCGCCAATGATCTTTAGTAGCGGTAGGGTGAGTGATTATTGTTGTTAAGTTAGGTTAAATAATTGATAATTAGCAGTTATGCTACCACTTCGCCTCCCACGATAAACAGGAGTTACTGTGGTCCTATTCTGACCGCCAAACCACTGGGGTTGAGAAGGTATGTAGAATATGTTTATAAGATAATTTATTATTTTAGTTTATGTTTTGTATGCAACGGTAAATCATTATAAACGAAAAACTATTCTGAACGGAGTTCAGTTATACATTTTTTGATAAATTTAAATTGAACATTTTATTAATGTTTGTAATTAAAAATAAAGTATGTTTATTTAGAAAAAGAACTAAATAAAGCCTGGAGTATTATAAAGGTTATCTTTTATTGAATGTTAAACCAAACCACTTATTTTTATTTATATTATTGTTCGTATTTTTAATGAATTTTAATATAAATTTGAACTTAACACGCTTATGCAAATGAATGTCGACATTAAGCACAACTCTTTTTTTTTTCTTTTAAGTATAAGTTTGATGAACCTTATATCAAATATTCGGGAATTTTTACAAAGCTTATACAATTTAATTCACATAAATCTAAATAAATATGTAACATGGTGATTTTTCGTCAAGATTTAAACTTCAAATTTTTGTAAAAAAAAAAAATAACGACTACAGATTTTTATATTTTCATATTACTATAAGTAAAACTTGAGGTACAATTTATGACTAATGAAGAATCTCAAATCGTTGAGTGTTTATGGCTAGAAAAATTGTGTTCACATAAAACAAAAAAAACTCAAAAATATTTTGAAAATTGTATCTATTGAATCTAAAAATTAAGAAATATTTAATATTATAAGAATTTAATGATCATTTTAAGTCTTTTTTTTTAACTAAAAAAAAATTAACTAACAGAAACCACGTTATTTATTTATTTATAAACGCCCGTTGGGCATAGAGTAGGTACAAAATTAATACATATATATATATAATGGTTAAAATTGTTTTAGTAAACACTGTAAAAGATATATAACAAGGAGTAGACAAAATAAGTCAGGTAAGACAATATTAGCAATATGAACTATAAAATAAATATTTAAAACAATAATACAACTTAGTTCCTCTAGAATACAACTATTTTTTAAACATTTTTTCATCTCCAAAAGAGAATTAAAGAAAAATCAAAATTATTAGGTTTAACACCTAGAGTTAATATTCGATTAACCGGTGCAATAATAGGCAATAATTACGTTTGCAAGTAGGCACATAACAGGGTCGAGGATCTTAACGTTATGTTTGGAACATTTAAAAGCGTTTTAAAAACCCAAACATACAAACAGCTTTATTATGAATTTCATTAATATGATCGTTAATTTTAAGATCATTGAAAAAAATAATACATTAGTTTTTAACATTAGATGTGATACCGAGTTTTTTTGTTATTTATATGATAATTTAATATAAAATTCTGCCTATTTCTAGTGAATTTGATTTGAATATATTTATCCGTATTTAGGTCTAAACCGTTGTTAGCATATCATAAGTAGAACTGATTGAGGTCATATTGTAGCTTATTATAATCTATTATTGTGGACATATTCTTGTCTTTCCGATTTTCATCCATTTATAAGAAAAGGACAAGAAAAATAATAAAATTACTTCATCAACTAAACAGAAATATTTGCTACCAGAATCTACCTCTAAATTTGACGGTTTGGGAAATTCTTTTGATCAAAAACTTGTTTACAAACAGACAAAAGAAAACAAGGACACATAACAAAACTAATTAATTCCTTAAATCACTCAAAATTTTAAGTTATCAAAAAACAACTAGGTACTGAATTAATCAAAGAAAGTGTTACATAAAAACAAGAACACCACAAAGTAACAACTAATTTTAGGTAGTTGTTATTAATATAATAATTCATTTAAAGGCCATTTGATATCAAGTTCAATTTCATAATAATTGTTACTAGATATATTATTCTGTTTATTTTAGATAACCGTACATTTTATTAAAATTACTGATAGCTTCCATAGTAATTAGCACTATTAAAGACAGTACTACTATCTTTAATCGTAGTAATTAGTATATATTATACACATTATTTTAATTAAAAGAATTTAATACCCTTTAGGATATTTTTACACAACATTTAACTATGTACCTACTTATTATAAACTATAATATTCCAACTATTTCAAGAAATATCTATAATACAATAAGTAATATTGGTACATTTTAATATTTGTTTTTATAACCGTAAATATTAACAGTAGATACTACTTATTTGCCTTTAAAGTTTACTAGTATTTTATTTAAAAAAAATAAGTCCTAACTTATTGAAACATTTAATTTAAACTAATATACAGCAGGATGGTTTGAAAAGAGATAGATTGGGTTGGAGTCGAAGATAAAAGACATTTATGTGTAAAAATAGGTAAAGGTACTCAATATCTATACAGATACCTATAGTTATAAAAACATTTTAATAATGATCGAATAAAATGTTAATTCTAAATAGTTAATGCCTATCTACTTAATACTTAACAATTACATCTAGTTGCCTCATAGACCATAGTACCAACATTACATTAATTATCAATGTAAAATTAATATTTACCTACTCAATTACAGATAGATACCCAAGTACCCATCTAAATTCATGTTTGTTTTATATATTGTACTTGTACATTAAGTAATATTAAGTGTACAGAGTGCAAATATAGTCCATGAATTATCTTTGGATTTTTGAGAATTATATTTCCGTAATGTTCGTATAATAACATCCCAATCCCAGTTAAGTTAGATAGGTCCTATCCATGTACTTGTAATTAAGATGATGGTATTATCTAAGACCTAGTGGCGGTTTTTCCTGGGTGGCAAGGGAAGCGGTGTCGACAATGATATAGTACGCTATAACTAAATAAATTATTGTTGATTGCACTTTGTATAATACAATATAATGTAAAATGATGTTCCACTATCAAAATTATAAAATCGATAATATTGGAATTTTTATTGCCTCAAATTTGTCTGTTTTTCTTATCCTTTATCACTCTGTATATTATTATTATTCATGTTTAAGAAAATTAACTTAATGGAGGGGAATGTGTCCCCCTCATACCCCCCTTTTCGTCGGTTGATTGCCCCTAATTGCAACATGGATGTAATAATAACAAGAAATGGTGCTAAAAGTCCAACCAAAGTGCATATTATATTATATTAATTATTAGATTCTGACACTCAAATAAAATACATATATTGATAAACAATTAGTTGAATAAACCTGTAATTTGTTAAAGATGATAATTGGACAAAAAGTCGGAATAACACATGGACGGATAAGTTGAGAAGAAAATTGTTACAATTTTACGATAGACATTCAAGACCGGTTATCAACGATAATTTGACTAATGTCACGATCAATACTGTTTTAAAATATGTCGATTTAGTAAGTAATAAGTTCTCATATTTTATCATTGTTAACTAGATAAATTAGTAAGTATTAGCATTGATTATATATAGAAATGTTACGAACTGAAAATGGCAAATAATCGAATCGAACCAAATACCAAAATATCTAATTGTTTGGTTAGAAAATAATTCGATATCTATTCAGCGCGGTCACCAATACGATTTTCTGTGGTGGGACAGAGTGGCCTTATTTTACGAAAAAGAAAAATTCACAAAACCATCAAACCGCAGGATAACCTTTTCACTTTTTAATGTTTGAACTTGATTTCGATAAAATATTTTGAAAGTTCGATTCGGTTCGACTAAAAAAATCAGGGTTCGTAACAACACTAATTATAAATAGTAAACTAACCTAAACTATTATTTATAATCACTGGTATTAGCTATTAGGTTTATCTTAATAAAAACCTTCCACTTTTATTTTGTGAATACTAATAATAGTATAATTTGTAAATATTTTGTTCACAGGACTATCAAAATTCAATAATGACTATAAATGCGTGGGTTTCAATGGTAAGATACATATATAATTTATTATAAGTATTTAAAAGTAAAATCATATCAATATATTAGGATTTTTCAGGGGGTGGGGGGCAGATGACTAGAGGTGGTGACCTTATACACGAACTAGACTAAATGTTTATTGAAGAATCCATCTAAAAATTACTAATACTAATTCTGGGTTTAATTAACAAAATATATTAAGTTAAATGCACAGCATTTTGTTAACATTTTATTCCGTACACCTACTTTCATAGACTTGGCAAGACGAAAAGCTTCTATGGAACGTATCAGATTATGGAGGGATTAATGTTGTAAATATGGCTTATGATGAAATATGGATGCCCGATATTGTGGCTTACAACAGGTAGGTAGGCGTTGTTTGTTAAAAAATATTGCAAAATTGGATCGATAATGTGTATAATACCTACCTTAGAGTTTAGGTTGAAGATAGTGTAATTATTTTTGGTTATAGAAATATTGTCAATAAAAATAAGTGTTAAAAACAAATAGCCAATACCTTTAAAAGGATATTAGGATAATTTTGAAAGGATATTACAATAAATTGTACTCATACTTAATGTAGGTAAATATTTTTTGTTCAAAGTGTTTTGGTTTTAAGAAATTACAAATACCTATTAAATAGATATTATGTAAACTATTAAAGTACCTACTTATGTTATCTCAAAACTATTATTTTTATAGTAAAACTTTTTACATTTTTGAATAGAATTATTTTTTTATTCCAGGAATGTATATTACCTAATTCTAATTATAAATATAATATTATATGTCTACCTTAAAATTTAAAACGTGATTTTAAAACCTATTATTTATACAAGTATTTAAGTATTTAGTAAATTCGATAGATATCATACAAATGAATAGGCAAAATCAAGTTTAAAATAGACGATTTTAGTTTGTAACAGAATACAGAAATGATTCAGAAAATCAGTATTTTATTTAGTTGGTTGTTTAATGGTAAACTAATGCCCGAGATTTACTTTCGAAAATTATTTCGGATTTATGGTTGGTTATTAAAAAAATATTATGTGATTATTAAGTGAATATAACCTATTACTTGGAATAAACAACATTTTCCAATTTTGCAATTTATTTCATTTTGCTTTACAATTTTAACGATACAACTATAGTTTTTATAATAAATGTGATCAATGGTAAATTGAAATAATCTTTTACTATCCACAGTGCTGACAATAACTACGACGAAACATATGGAAAGATTAACTGTGTGGTCCGTTCAGATGGTATGGTTCATTGGATACCACCAGCGAAGTATCGGGTATTTTGTGATGTGGATTTAACAAATTGGCCATTTGGAGAGCACACATGTTCATTAAGACTCGGTTCTTGGACGTATGATGGCAATTCTGTTAGCATGCAAATAAACCAGAACATAAACGTATGGTTATTTAAATTATAATATAGTTACCGAAATCCAAAACAATAATAAATTAATATACCAATACATAAATAGGTAATTGATAGGTAATAAGTTCTGTTCATTGATTATGTGTGGAATTTTAAAGTATAACCGTATAGGGTTACCTGTAGGTATTTACATTTTTTAAACGCACCTACAAAAATATAAATATTATCAAAAATGAAATTGTATTTATGAAATCATTGAATACATATTAGTTATAGATAGTTAAAAATTTAAGTTGTTATGCAAGTTTAATATAAACTGAAATTGAGGAGTAGGTAGATAATAATCCAAAATGGATCATTGGCGATGGAAATATTTTCTCTTTTTTAAATGATTATTTTCGTTAATAAAATTTAAACACGTTGCGTTAAATTATAAATCCTTAACCTCGAAGTGGATATATGTCGACATGGATATATTATACAATTATATTAAATAGGTAACTAGGTGTATTTTATTTAGATACCTATGCCTATAGGCTATATTTCTGCCAAAGAGTAAAAATAAAATGTGCAAAAGTATATTCCTAATTTGATTAGAATTTTGAATGTTACAATTTCATGAATGTTGTATTAAAAAAACGAAAGATTTCCGGTGGAGGGGAGGTGCCTCTAGTGCATTCTGGCTGTAGCACTGTTATTTATTTTAATAAAAGTAATTAATAATTTATTATTATTATATCTTTTAAATTGTAATGAATATCTAGGTAATTAAATTAATTTGTTTATATTTTTTTTTTGTGGAAGGATGATTAGTGTAGTAGCAAACTTCATAGTACCTAGGTACATCAAATAAAACATAGACGAACATACTTTGTACGATGTCTGGGCCATTGTTGTAGGTGAGAAGGTAGAAAGATAGAGGGAAAATTGAATGTATATCTGTACGCAAAGATATAATCATCGCTAACGAAAAACGATTCTGAGTAGGGTCCGGTTATACATGCTCTGAAAGGCCATAATATTTACGATTTTAAAATAAAAAACATTTATTTTTATCTTTAAGTATAAAACCAAAATGGGTTTTTTTTATTAATAGACTGCAGATATGATCAATTTGGACGAAGGTTGCAAATGGAAAATCACAAAGGTGACTCAAAGACGTAGAGTTGAGAGATATTCTTGCAATTCCAACGACATATACGAAGATATTCACTTCAGCATCACAATAAAAAGAAAAATGCCAGCATATCATACTATAGTCGTCATTCCAGCTCTAGGTGGGTACCTAATTATTATTGTAATTGAAAATGTTTTTTATTTTGTTTTGTTTAATGTATTAGTATAGAACAATTTTATTATGAAAGCAATTATTTTTAGTAAAAACTTATATGGTTTCTAAATGGAACGGTACACCCAAAAACATGTATCATAGACCATTACAATAAGTTAATATTTTAAATTCCTAACTTAGTTTAATATTAATTTTATTAAATATAATAACTAAAGAAAACTAACAGATTATGTTAAATCGATATTCTGTATAATTATATGACCGTTTGTTATTTTTTAGTTGTGGTACTACTGACGCTTTCTGTTTTTTGGCTGCCACCAGAATCGTCAGAGAAATTTATGTTGAGTGGTGTTACATTAGTCATGATATGTTTACTATTAATGATAATTTCCAGCAATGTTCCTATTATGAATGACCGTATTCCATTAATAGGTAAGTTTTTTTTACTAAAAAGATAAATAAGTTCTGTCTTGTATGGAAACAAAACTGTACCCAAACTTCATGAGTATACATACCTACCTAATAATGTTATAATATTATATTATGTCAATTTTTTTTTTAAATTTATTATTTACACTTTATGTGATTTGCAGTAATGTTCTATTCAAACTCGTTGGGTATGGTCACACTATCGATGATATTATCCGTGGTGTTACACAATTTAGCTAAATATAAGCAACCTAATGAAAAAGTACCTAAATATATTACTCAACTATTGAACACGAAATTTGGAACTGTAATGAGATTTACATCATTGAAGGTATCTAATTTATATTAATAAATATTATTATTATTTTGCATGATATTGAAATTATTTAGTAAACTCTATGTATAAAATGATATCGTGCTTGTCTTGGTTTTTATTTTGTGTTTTGATGGGTTATTTCCCTATCGAAATTGAATAACATTTCACATTTAAATTTACTGTTTAAAAATACCTTTTTATATTAAAAAAGAGCTGATACTGATAATTATTTATGTATAATACCTACATACATCTTCAAATATTAATTAACATTCTTAAATTTGTAAGATATTTATTGTTGTTTCTGAGATTTATAATTAAGATTCTTTATATTTTGACAATTCTTAATAGTTAGGTAGCTGGTGACCCCAAGGGAGTCACAACTCTTAGGTTGAAAAGCAATATTATATCAAATTAAAACATTGAATATTTATTTTAATCAATTTGACTAATTTTATTTAATTTGTTGTAATCATAGAAAGAAAATGATGATATCAAGGACGAATTTATTGAAGATAAATCAGACAATTCTAGAATAAAAGAAAATCAATGGTATATTCTAGCTCAGATATTGGATAGATCTATGTTTATTGTTTACTTATTTTTGTTCATCCTTATGATGGTATATTTTCTCAAGTGAATCATATTAATTGGTTTGATTTGTCTGATTGTAAAAATCATACATTCAAAAAACAATTATTTATATGTTTATAACCTATCTATTAGTTTCTGTTCAGGAACAACCTTTTTTTTTTTTCGTATTGATTTCTCAATTTGTTATATTTCTTATGTTTTTATACATTTATAACCATATTATTAAATTAATCTATAATATTGATACATTTTTTGAGTCATTAAAAATTAAAATACTTCCATTTTTATTTTTGAATATGGTGCTATCTATAAAAAAATTCTAATTTTAATGTATACTCACAAAAAAATATATAAAATAAAATAAAATGTTTATAATTTTAATAGAAATTATTTGTTTGGAGTTATTGTATGTTATAAAGTGCATGCTATATGAATAAATGTAATGCCAAGATTTGAATAGTGTAAACTTAGGTATTTTTCAATTTATTATTAATATTTACGTAAGATAAAATGTAAACAAAATTATAAATAGGTACATGCTAAATAACATAACATACAACAAAAACATAAATTCAAAAACATGAACAAGATTTAAAACAAACAATTGAACAAGTTTTCATAATAATAATAATATAAGTATACGTTATTATAAAATGAATAGATAGGGTTAGTAAATTTGATTTGCATTTGCAAGAAAAATTCTAAGTAACTACAAAATACATTTAAAATCCTTAAGATAAGTAATATGATTAATAATTGGTATTTAATATTTGATTAATATCCTACAGTCAAAAATAAATTATTTTATGACCACTATAGAACATCTAAAGCAGATAATAATTAATAATATTATTTAAATATTAATTCTATTAATACTATTACTTATTGTAGTTAATATACAACACCTATTAAACTATGAGGGATATGTAATTAAATTTTAGAGTTAAATTGTATAATTTGAAAAAAAAATTGATATTATAGTTTATATGTTGGTTATACCTATTATACTGGGTTTCCATATTGTTAAGATTTTATGCTAATTCTGGTTGTTTATGGTATTTGCACTCTGTTCGCTTTTTTGATGGGCTAAAATAATAATAAAAAATAAATCACAATTATGTAGTAATATATAATACAAAGAGTTGTAAGTAAGTTGTTATATCATTAAAAAGTTCATAATTTCAGTGAAAAATTAAATTATTTTAAACTCACCGCATAAAATAGAGGAAAATGGTAATCGTAGCAATCATTCCTATTCCAAATCCAAAGCATAAGGCATATTCAATAATGCGGTGATCATCTTTAAGTTGTACCCAAGTGGTCAATTTATCACATTGTAATTTGTCGTCAGGCATGCAGATGTCCTTAGTGCAAATGTAACTACCCTGAAGAGTGCTGCACATTGATTTTGGTTTTTCCATTTCATTACAAGAAGCTATATGATACATAATATCTAGTTAGGTGAATTAATTCAATTTAGTTCAACACTAGAAATTTGAATACTTTAAAATTATGTTATACATTCAATCAGTGTGTACACAAAAACAGGAAACAATTTATGCAAATTTTTTTCAACGCGATTTTTTGAATAAAAAAAATTAAATAACTAAGCTATCAATTTATTTAACTTATATATTCTGCGCATAAGTAACAAAACTTTTTTTAAAATTAAAATCCTTATTTTTAAAATCCTATTTAGATTTGCCGACTTTTTACAAGCCACAATGATACACCAACTTGTGTACTAAATTTAAAACTGACCTTATGAGATTTATTTGTAAATTGTATGTCAGAAAAATTAATGGCCCAGTAATCAACTTCCGAAAACCGATTTCAAAAGTATACATAACTCATAAGGTAAAAAATATAAAGTGTTCTCTGTTTCTGTGGACACAGTGTATTTCGATAAGTAGTTACTGTTTGTATTCTTCTTTTCCTTTGCCTTCATCCCAACTTATGGGGTCAGCCACTCTCATTCTAAACTTCAACCTGATCCAATACTATTTGTTTATTTATTTTAGTTTTTTTTATAACTTAAATAATCTCACTACAGTCTATTATATAAAAATGTTTCGATATTTTATATCTTCCATATATTTTATGTTTTATTTATGCAAGGCTGAAATAAGTAGCTATTTGTATGTAGGCAAGATCATATTTTACCACGCCTATATTATAATCTACTAGAATTTTAGAGGCTTAATATTTTTAACGAGTAAAATTAAGTCATTAAAGCTTTTGAGTTTCTTATAATTTATTTTAAAATTTGAAAGTACCTCATATTTATGTTAATATTACCTAGATTATTAGTTTACAAATCTATTTAAAGAGATCTAATCTGAAATTACATTTAATTATAATATTTTGGTTTTGTCTATGATCAACTTCAAATCAAAGGTATCTTTATGAATTATTAACACAATATGTAGCCATTTTATTAGATTGTATATAATATAGATACCTATCTATTGCATTAGTATTTTTATAATATTGTTCCTAACGTGTGTCATTAATAATTTTTTGTAAATTAAATTGTATATTTCCATTAACAAATTATTATCATTACTATTCATGTAATCAGATACTGAATTTATTCTTTCAGGACTTAGTTCCTAGGAAGCCATACCCAAAAATAATTTAACTTTCGTAGATGATGAATTTCGAAAACCACTTTCTTGTATTTAATACCTACATTATATAAGGAGTCTCTGTGTAAAATCTAACGGCTTATGTTCAATTAAGGTGATGATGAATTAACTAGTCAAGATATGCCATACACCCTTAATAGTTATTAATGTATGCTACATACTTATTTTTTCATATATAAATATATGTACCTATATCTATATTGGATAAATTCAAATAATAGCAATATGTATAAATTGGAAAATAATGTTTTCCTTACATTCTGAAACAACAAGTCCATCAGATCTGCGGCAAATAACATCAGCATTTGCAGTCAATGCCCATTCGTAGGTCAGACAAGGTTGTATGCGGCAATCTCGAGTCTCCCAAAGAGGATCGGTGCATGCAGTAGTGCCAGCTGGTGATTGTGAAATTACTGTACGGGATCTGGTTTCATAACCTATAGTTTCTTTTAAACAATCGCCATGGCAGTGTGACCACGGGCTCCATTCAGATAGGGTGCAGCCAGGACCACAGGATACATAACAATTCTGCCAAGACAATGGTTTTTGCTGACCCAATGAACCACAAAAAGAAGATTCAACCATTTCACCATCATTAGTCCTCATGCATGTTACATTTCTGGTAGTTACACCGTGTCCACAGGCAGCTCCCTTTAAATAATAAAAATACACACATTTTTTACTAATTTTTCTATAATACAATGCTGATAATATGGTATATAGCATATGCAGAACTCAGGTGCATTCGGACAGGGGGAAGTAATGTCTAGTGGAAGCTATTTGGAAACACACATAAGATGAATAAACAAAAAAAATCTATGTAGTACTATTACAAAATATTTAAAATTCCCCAGAGTAGATTTATATTTTCAAGTATTTAAAGAATATTTGAAAACTTACATGAAGTTGACATGCAGACCATGGTCCAAGCGACCAACTATAACACGGAACTGCTGGACAAGGCTTCCATTGTTCAATAGTCATAGGACATTGTCTACCAGTTGGACTTGGATTCATAGCTGTATAAGCTCTCCGTGAAACTCCTTTAAATACAAGTTATAATATTAATGTGTTTTATTTCATCTATAGTAATAGAGGATGCGGGAACTGTTAAATATTGAACCAACCTGTGTCATTGCAAGAACAACTTGCATTCCATAATGACCATCCTTCGAGCACACAATCAACGGGGCAATCGATGTAGCACCATTTTTCCAATGGATTAGGTTTGGTTAAGTCAGCGCAAAACCTATGAAAAAATGTATATTTGAATTAAAATATAATATGGTATGGTATGTTACAAATAAAATAAAATGCAAATATTACTGATCTTCAACTGTTCTACCATCGCTTCTTTCACAATAAACTGATCCAACAGACATACCCTCACCACATGGGCTTCCTCCCAAAGGTAAACATGATACTTTTGATATTGTTTTCCAGGCATATTTAAAGCAAGTGTAATTTAAACGACAAGGTTGTGTTTGTATGGCTATAGGACAGTTAGCGCCTGTAGGACTTTGACTTCTAAGCAATAACCTAGTACGTTGTTGTTCTTGCGATGATAGACAATCCTTTTAAAAAATAAATAATTTTAAGTTTTACATTTTATGTTAATGTGTACAATTATATGAGTGTAAATAATATATTATTTTTTAAGGTCCAAATTAAATTAATTTAAGTACAAATTGGGTCAAACTGCTACCAGAAGATTGATTGACATTTGAAAACCACAATGGCTCAGTCAATGGAGGTGAGAGTTAATCGGCGTCTGGCAGTTTTATATCTTCTGGTACGACAGTCCATTCCTATGGGGACTTCACCATTGGCTCAAGGTTGTATGTATAGGTTAGGCTAAAGTTAGCACTTTGTAAGGGGATTACGTTGGTTAATCTGCTCATCCCACATCTTAGTTTTAACTAATTACTTTAAGTTCAATGTGAGCCTGCCTCGCAAAGGGGAAAACAGGATTTTAATATATGTATAAATAAACAATGGAAGCAGTGGGGAACATGGGGAAATTTTAAAAGAGCCTCTACTGATGTCTATTTTTTGTTTACTTATCGACCCTATACATGGACTAACATACAAAAGCAATCCAAGTGCCCTATTGGAGGAGCCCCTGGAAAATTCCTGGCTTCCCAGTAGACCTATCTACCCACGGTGGAGAAGTATTGTGAAAACAAATCCCTTACTGCTGTTGGTGTAAAAAAAAAAAGAATAGAAATTATTTAAATTATATTACCAACTATTATTATTTTTAGTACCTACATAGTTTTTTTTAATCTAGTTATTATAATATTATGTAGTATACAATAATATTCTAATAAAAGTATGAATATTTGTCCAATCATTAATATTGTTAGTAATAAACTAATAACTATGACTGAAGTGTTGTAATACATGTTTTAAATAATAAATAAAAACTTCTTATATATATTTACTTTTGGGCAAATGGACCAATTTGACCAACCACTTAAAACACAATCTCCAGGACATGCAACTGTACATAAATTTACTCCATCTGGCCGTACTGTCCAATCACAGTATTCTTCTGACATCTCTATACCAGTATTTATGTGAACACATCTATTACAACAAATTAGTGAAAACAATTGGACTTTTTAATACAAAAAACCTTTTGGTATTGCACATTACATACATTTTTATCTTAAAAAATATATAATGCTATATAATTAGTATTTTAGATAATAAATCCATTAATTAATTTACCGAACTGTTCTAAACATTTCCCCTTCACCACAGTCTTTTGATGCAACAGTCTGTGGTAATTTACACTGGCTCCATGGGCCTGTCACCCATTGAAAACTATTACAAGGAGTATTGCAAACTTTGGTTTGAACGGTTTCACCACATGGTCTTCCACCATTTGTTGCATTCCGTTCAATCTATTGGATAATGAGTTTTATTATAAAAAACGAGATAAATGTCAATAATTTACTGTTCTATAGCGGTGATGTATTCCTGGTCCACACAATCTATTACACACACCCCATTCATTCCAATCAGACATTTGGCAATCAATGGAACATGGTACTAAACAAGGTTCTTCTTCGATGCCTGTACCACCACCACATAATCTGTACAAAATTGACTCATAAATATAACTTTTTATTTATAACAATCAAATTTCTTACGATGGATCAACAAGATGATTATCCATGTTATAACATCCTAATGATCTATATCGGGTACCAGCTCCACATCCCTCAGTTTCATTTGTTAAACAAAATGACCACTCAGAATTAGGTTCCAGAAAATATTCAGAGCATGGGCATTGTGTTTCTTCAACTTGACGTACACCTTTACAAGCAGGATGTGATATAGAACCACCAATGAGATCTCGAGTTCTTGTACGTAGACCCGAACATGGTTGAGGACATGATGACCAATGAGACCATTCAGTCATTTGGCATGGTGTTTGACAGTCAACATGACAACGTTCAACACTACTTGGAGTTATGTTTTGATACTGAAGGCAATGTTTCAGTTCAACATGAACAGGAGAATCGTCTTTGGTACACCAGAAATCTATAATAAACCAAATTGAAAAGTTGAAGTCCACAAATTCAAACACATAAGAAAAATAATTTCATTAATTACCTCTTGTTCTTAGACCATGACCGCAAGTGACATCTTCAGCTAACTGACAATGGGACCAAACACCCAAAACCCAGAAATATTTAGGACATACTCTATTAGGAACTTGACATATTTCCTCTTCGAATACTGGGCCGCAAGATTCACCACCGAGAATTACTCGGTTTCGTTGCCGTTTGAATTTGGTTAAATCTGTGTGTTCTATAATATTAATAAATTTTAAAATCTATGAACTAATTAATACAAAATAATATTGAATAATCTTCACTAGAATAAATAATTTAACAATTGCATAAATATATACATGATCAATTGATGATTTTTTATTACCTATGATTGTGAATTATTATTATTTTTTAATTATCCACTAGTAGATTGTACAAAGAAATAACATGTAGATTTTTAAAGGCAATTTTAATTTTAAACATTGTGAAATTTTATTAACTTACTAGATTTTAGGTCAGTTGTCGAAGTACCTAAGTATTTTGATTTTTACACTAATAATAATTTCTGATGATTGATCATTGCAACAAATTTGATTTTTTTCATTTAAGTATCATTTAGTTACTCAACAGTAACTATTCGATTGTGGTAAAAACGGCTAATATCTGAATTAGAATTTTCTAGATGCGCTAAAATATTATGTTGATTTTCAAGCTATATAAATGAATTTAACATTATCGAATTTTTATTTGGTTTTATACCCGTAAAACTGTTTTGGTCAATCAGAAATGCTTAATAATATTGCATGAGGTTAATTGAAAAAAAATTTTAATGTAACAGTTTTTTTTTTAAGTTTAAATTTGGATGAGTCTTAAAAATTATAGCATGTACAATTGAGCTTAGTAAAAAATATTTACAAATCGGATATTTCATATAAAATCAGTAAATCGGTAGAATTATTATGAAATCATTAAATGTATTAAGCAGTATGGTATAACATTTACATTTACAATTTAAATTTTCAGTTGAAAATTAAATATCCATGTGTGCAATAATTGAATATACATTAGTAATGGTTTATAAAATATATATATGTGAAGTCATTGAATATTGAATGTTAGGTCTTATGATTAATTAATTTATATGTTATATATATATAAATATTTAAATTAATTTGTGTTAAGTATTTACCATTTACACATGAGTCTTGAGGACATTCCGACCAATCACTCCAATCTGATAGAACACAAACTTTGCTATCACAATCTTTAAAACAATCTCTTGTTGTCACTGGTTTCTGTAACTCCATACAACTAAAAAAAGGTAAAATTCAATAGTTAGACACTAGTTTAACTAATTCATTTTTGTGTTAATATATTTTTTACTTTTCATCTTCAATATGTTGGTCATTTCCTCTCATGCACCAAACTTCTCTTGTCTGTACTCCACGACCACACGTTCCATTGCAGTCTGTCCATGGTAAAACTAACCAACTATATCCATAGCATCCATGAGTGTTACAATTTTCGTACTGAACCATATCATCTTTGGACGGACATGCATGGCCAGTCGGTCCTGGAGGTCCAATAACAGTACGGTTCCGGTACCGAACACCAATATCATAATTAATCGAACATCCCATTGAACATTCACTCCATTCTGACCACCCAGATACTACACAATCTTCTGGGCATGGTACAGAGCATGGTTCGGATTCTTTTGGTTTAGATTTAGAACATAACGAGTTATGTACTACTTCCTAACATAATAATGTATAACAATTATATATCTAACATTTAAAGATTATGAAATATAGTATATGTATGAGTTCCCGAATCAAAATGATCAAACAGCATTTTCCTGAACAATATTAACCTATTTCCCAAACAGTTTTCAAATTATCAAAAATTAATTAAAATTATACAAATTAGGTATTAAGTGTGTAATTTATTAATGTCTGTCCATATGTGCTCTATCTCTCGCATGGTTGCAAATTTTGCAATGTTTTCACTAAACTGATTAGTTAAGCTTGTTTTTCAGTTCAGTTCAATAGGTGAACAACTAAAATTATTTTACTCATTGAGAGCTTAGATTACTTTAATTTCTGATTTCTATTAGTTTATTGTTTTATTTTAAATACAATATTATGATTTATGAAGCAAGTCCAATTATGGAGTACAAATCATTGAAGGTTGCGTAATTCATGGTGTAGACCTCATGCGCCTTTGAAAATCTAACCACTTTATTTTTGGCTGAATACTATTTAGGAAATATTATAATATGTACCAGCCGAGAAATAAATCATTTGGAAAAAAAGTTTTTTGGAAATTTGATTTGGAAAAATTCCGGGAATCACATAGGTATATTTTGGTATTTCAATGTTTACCTTATCATGTGTTGTACAATAAACCTGTCTACTCCTTTGTCCAGTACCACATTTTTCACTAGGATCATCAAGCATACAACTTCCCCATTGGTCATAATCCCAAATATAACATAGTGGGTTTCGGCATGGTTGGACTTCATTGAGACTGGGGCATTGAACTCCATATTCACTAGGTGGTATTATTACTGGTCGAGTTCTTTTTCTAAATCCAGTCTCTTCTACTCTCAATACAAAATTTCAAAAATTAAATAATATCAATTTTAAAAGACATCTATACTTTACCATCTGAGGATTCATTTATAATTTCAGCAGGACATTTTGATGGCATACAGGGGCTCCATACACTCCATGGTCCAACTTGACAATCTCTTGGGCAGGGTATTTCACATCTGTAAATAGAAATGTATTTTATGAACGTGTTAAAGACTATGTAGACAAGTTGATATTTTAATAACCTTTGAATTGTTGGTGGTGTGTCTAGAATTCTGCAAATTGATGGATCCATAAATTGGTTAGACTTAATTTCAATACATGTGATATTTCTAAATTGAAGTCCTCCACCACATTGAACTGATGCATTAGAAAGAGGTTGAGAGCATTTAGTCCAACTTGATATTAACCACTTGTATCTAAAATCCATGTTAAAGTATATAATAACGAATATTATTCTTGACTAATAAATAAATTAACATTATATACTCCACTAATAGACTATTACCTAGTTTATGGAAAATAAATTAATTTTGAAGTACCTAACTAATAAATAGTATTAATTTAATTTCACAAAAACATAAGACTCTCACATACTATGGTTATTGTAATAATAAATTAATTACAATTGTGTAGATATATTACCGTGTTCTTTTTTTAGAAATGTTTATAACCCTCGTTTAGTCGCTAAACCTATAGAAGTTTCCTTCTAAAAAGTAAATTATTTTGTTAAGGATATACTGTATCATACCAATTCGATACAAGTCAATTTGCTGAAATGCCAATTTCCTAACACCCGATTCTAGTTAACTACTTGCATATGCTGTCTTTGTTTTTTCCACACGATTAATATTTATATGTGTACACGGGTATTTATTAAAATTTGTTGTCAGTTTTAAGATTAAATATTCATTAAATATTTAGCTTATATAAACTTACTTATCAGCACATAATGGTAAATTTTCTTTTGTAGTCCTTGTTTCAACCAGATGAGGACATGGTGAACCTTGTCCTTCATGTAGCCGAAGAATTTGACGCTTCCTAATTGCTTCTTCAGCACGGATCTTTAATCAGATAAATTTATTAACACTAACGTATTTAAATAGGAATTTTATATTAATATACTTTTCCACCAGCGCTAACGCAACCACCTTGCGTAACCTCCCAATCTGTCCAATCGCTAACAACACAATCTTGGGCTATGATACATGCTCTGGTGTTAGTGGGCAACTGTTTGTCTTCACAAAAACTAAGAGAAACAAGAACACCAGATTCGTCATAACAGCTCATAGATCGCTTTTGTGTGCCCACTTGGGGCCAGTGTTTATAAAAGGTATCGGTATGCGAGCCAGAATTTAATATGCCACCATTGTCACCCATAGTGTGTTCTGTGAACGGCATACACTGTTGCCATTGGTTGACTTTTAATTGATATCCTTTTGAAATATTGTTAGAACATGATTGATCGTTCGGTTTACAAGAACGTGATTCTGTAAGCTAAAATAAAACAATCAAGTAATAATAGCAATTAAAAACGTGTCTAATTAATAATATGTACTTACAGTATAAATAATATACACAACAAAATATATAAGTTTTGTGAAAGCTGGAAAGATAATAGTATTATACCCGCTGTCGTATTTTATACAAAATTCTTATCAGTATACGGTAAAATAAATATAAAATCATAACTGCCTAATTTAATTTTAAAACTAAATCTATTACGCGAAATATAATTAAAACATGTAAATCTAATGTTTTGGTATGTTACTGTGTATGTATACACAGCTGCGTCACGGATGTTTTTTACTACCTATCGAAGTGAACATTAAAATTATTCTCCCGCCCTCTAAACATCTGCACGAAGATAGACCTATCTATAATTAAGTACAAAATACGTACCTACCCACCAGTCTATAAAATTACAGGAACGTCAGGAACAATAATTATATTGCTTCCACAAAAAAAAAAAAATACCCCTATTCTCGTAACGTTACTAATAATACTCGTAAATATATTCTACTAAGATTTAGAAAAAAAAAAAAATATTAATTTACCGGTGGGCATTTAGCTCCGTCGTTTTTTTGTTCGATTACTATACTTCTTATCCTACGCTGTGTTCCTCCACAACAAGCAGTCCAGTTCGAGTACTCAGTAACTACGCAATCTTGATTAGGTTCAAGTGAACACGATTCCACGGGTGGAGTTCCAGGGTTCAAATTTTGGCAACTTGTATCTTCAATTTCAATTGGTTCCTATTTATAAAACAAATATATATGTACACTGAAAAATGTTCATATGTTTGATTTGTGTACAGTGTTATACACCCAGAATGTTGGTTTTGGGAGCAGGAATTTGTATGTGAAACCATTTACATTTACATCATTAAAACAATACCTGAATTATTTGATTGTTTCATCGATATTTTAATTATTTTACTTTTATTGTAATAATAATAGTTTTTAATTTAATTTATTTTACGGGATTAGCCCTTTGACGAAAATAAACATATATAATCAATCTAAACAGTATTTTACAACCAAACAAATAAATAATCTACATATAAAATACATATAAATGTATATGTGAACGAGAAATAATGATTATGTGGATTACAATATAATATATCAGGTATTCAAGTGTCTACATTAAGTAAGTTCAGTAAGTTGGGTTAAGTAAGTAAACTAATTGTTTAATTGTAACGATATTTAATTATCTTAAGTCTATTCGTCTATTCTGTTTCTAAATTAATAAAAAGAAGTGTCTGTCCTGTTTATTTGTTTGTCTGTGCGCGATCTACAGCCGAATCTAGCGCACGTTTAGTTACAGAAGCGGATGAATGGGTTCGTGTACACCACTTCGGATTTCCAAAATTCAACCCCTTAGTCTTAAGGGTATCTGACACCCGGGGTAGATCCAGGAGAAGATAACGGGGAGGGACAATTTTGAAAATGCATACAACGCATTCATTTATGATGAACTCAATAATAAATCAAGTTATAAGAGTGTACTGGAAAGTAAATAGAGTAGGGATAATAGCCCTCATCACCCCTTATATTTGCCACTGACTGACAAGTCTTTTGGTATTTTCGGAACGAAAATCTATTTTTTCATATTGATTTATGGGTTACTGGGGTGACATATGGATGCAAAATCAATTACTTACTATTAGTTTTTTTGCTTGTCGCGGATTTAAGTACCCTTTTGAAAACGTGAATCATTAAATTACCGAGCAACATCGGTTAACTGTGATAGGCATGGGAAATACGGAGGGATACATTTTTATTTTTAAAAATTTGCTTTCGTCTAATACATACGGTGCACATTCATAGTAAGGACAGCTGGTATTGTAAAATATTGTATATACAGTAGAATCCGCTTAATTGGAACAAATTGGGCGGTGACCTATTTGTCCCCATTATCCGACTGTCCCGATTAACCGAATAACTAATAAGAAAAATTTTTTTTAAGAATTTCCGGTAATTTAACTAAATACCATTCATCAGCTCCATTTGTATCAGCACTTGATTTTTCTCCGTGAAATCGCTTGAATTTAATATTATTCCGGTCCTTCCAACGACTTATCCAACCTTCTGTAGCATTAAAATTACCATGTCCAATGTTTTCAGCAAAAAATTCAGCTTTCTGCTGTAACATGGGGCCCGAAATACGAACACCACGTTCCGTAACAGCAGAAAACCATTCGTTCATAGCTTTGTCTACTTCGGGATCTTTGCCTTCTCGCTTTCTTTTTCTGTTTACTGGTGCACTTTTGTTGTCGTTTAATTTTTCCCACTGTTCACGAATAGCTTTTTGATTATTTTTCAATCGGCTTAGTACCGATTTAGAGGTGCCTATTATTTTCTCTTCTAACTCACGAAGACCGGAAGAATGAGGTTGAGCTTTAATTTTATCCAGATTAGAAATTTTTTCAATCAACGATACATCTTTACGGGACATAATTGTTACGTATTAACACAAACTGAGATCAACAAAAACACACATACGTAAATACGCAGAGACGAAAGAACGCGAACTAGAGTTTTTCAATTTTGTACGTAGGCCAGTCGACTCTTATCGTGGTAGTAGAAGAAAAACAAATGATTACCTATATAATAGAGCTATAAAGATTGGATAAGTGATTGACATTACCTACATAATGGAGCTGTAAAGATTAGATAATTACAGTTTCGATAAGAAGTAGATAGATAATTTAAGTCGAAATATCTAATTAGACGCTTTTATTTTTGTCCCTTATAACCGATAGTTTGTCCCAGATAAACGAAGTTAAATTGCCTTAAATGAATACATTCGTTCAGGACTAGCCAATTCGTGTCCATTAAGCGGATTATACTGTATACATTTATACATATAGGTATTAGGTATATTTAATAATGGAAATATTATGCTGGCTAGTGTTTTTTGTAAAACCATTCACACTATCGTCATCAGCAAATCATTTATTTTTATCGTTTCTTAGTTATTTCAATTTTATTATTATAATTAGTAATTACATTTAACAAAACAAACAGACTTTAGGTATTAGACTAAAAACTAAAAGCTAAAGCTTACAATTTATGGACAAAAAAAAAAATGGCATGTATCTTATTTATTATTAAATATTCTTCTGTATCAATCCTGTAGCATTATTATTGAGATTCCCATGGTAATAGTTTTATAATATCTGCTGTTTATTATTATTTATAATTTAATTTTAATGCACATTTTACATATTTTAAAAATTAAAGAAATTTTAAATAAATATACAAATGCATATATATAATTATATAATATACTATTTATCCAATTATAAATTCGGGGACGAAGTCTATAATGTCAGTTATAACCAGTATCGGCTAAAGATACATTTTAAAACATCTAGATAAAAGATAAATAATCTCTCCTTGTGAGAATGGGATCAGAATACTCCCACGGTACCTCTCACGGTTTCTATTTGCCGTGAGAGACGACAGATGGGGTTGCGTCAGGTCGACTAGGTACCGGTGTAAAATTCTGTCAAACAATATGAGGCGTTTCAAATAATACCCACCACGGATGTATGCGGGGACCACAGGTAAAAGTAAGTACTATGGTGCGTGATATTTGCATATAACAGTATTGAGGAAATCTGGAATAAGCCAACAATGAAATTTAATTGAGTGTGATATGAGGACAACCGGTACATGTGAGGTGGGAGGTCGGGTCAAGTGGACGTTTAGAACAAAGGTGGCTGACCCCAAATAATTGGAACGAAGGCGAAAAAGAAGAAGTCCAAGTTAAAATATAATCAGCAGCATTAATGTTGCTGATTATTTATGTTTTTTTTTTTTTAAAAAACAAAGAAATCTTTGTTAATTTACCGATCATAAAACTAAGTGCTATAACCTATAACTAGGTATTAAGATAACTAGATTTGGTACATATCTAGATTTCAATAAGGTTGTGTAATTGATATAGTTTATATTGTAAGATTATATGAATATAAACGTAGTATTTTATCTATTATTTATAATAAATATAATAGTATATAAACTAAGATTTAAAAAGATTTATCTAAATCATTCAACTATTTACTCAAATAATTTATTTCTCATTTATGCAGAAAGATAAAAGATGAAAATATACCAACCTAGATGATACACAATACTGATTATAATTACTGTATTTGGATTTATTATTTTCTATATCGGGCAGCTAGTAATGAAAAATCAGAATAATATAGGTATTACTATGTCTTCCTCCTCACCATTATTCCACACTAGTGAGGTTTGGTTACTATTTATACGTGAAAGTGTGAAATCTAAGAGCACGCTGATGACTCATGAACCATGATGATAAGAATAAAATATTATTATCATATTAGTTATTAGCACGATTTAAGATAAGTAAATTTTGGTTATTAGTATACCACAGTTGACACCGTAAATGGTCTAAGTAGACAACTCATATTGTGCTTTTAGGTGGCCGAATTATGTTCCGATTTTTAACGCAATTGACCCGTATTATTTTCTACCAATAGTATTTGGTACTTTCACGTTTATCATACTCCGCAGTCCGTGCATCGTAATTATATTCACGCGGAATAGGCAATGATAATAATAATATATTATCATGATGCCTTTGAAAAAAAAAAAAAAACTATTTGGGAGTAGGTTTACGGCGTACCTATACTTATTTTACTATACGGGACTGCCTGTGCCTACTTAATAAGTAGTACTAATTAAAATTTTAAACTACAAACAATTAACTTAACGTGATGGAATATATTTAAATTCAACTAATTTGTTTGTAAATTTAATGTAAACAAAGGTGTTCACAGACGCACAAAAAAAAAAAAAAAAAAAAAAAGGGCTGATGATGCTGATTGGGCGTGTCACTATTGTAGGTTATAAGTTGGTAAGGTGTGATACATGAAGTTATTTAATTTATATCTGTGCGTAACGATAAATCATTGTTGATGAAATATTATTCTGAGCGAAGTTTGAGTAAACATGTTTTAAATTGGGGTCATTTTTATGATTTTCATCGGAATTTAAACATAAAGGCTTATAAAAAAATATCATTATACATTACGCTTAACTTAATTTTTTTAACAACCAATGAATTTCGTGTTAAATTGTCAAACATTTCTATTAGGTAAAATCATTTCACATACAGAAAACCAAATAAAAACTAAGACAATTCGAAAATACAAAATGCTTATAAACTCAAAATTCTCCAGAATATTTTAAAATTGTTTATAGAATACAACTTCTAGAAAAGTTGAACGTAAGTATTCTGTGAAAATTGCAACAAATAATGGATAGTATCGTAAACTTTTAAATCAAAAATTGACCTTCTCAATACGACTCAATTAGATTAAAGTACCAAAACATATTTAGCTCATCGTTGTTTGATTGGAGCAAGACGTTTGGTAGAAAAATTGTACACAAACACAAATAAATAAAAACGGTAATAAATAAATACACATTAAAGTAAAACTAATTTTCTATAGTTAGAATCTAAAATTAATCAATACAAATAATAAATGTTTCTGTTTTAGATATTTAATGTTACTGAAAATTACATTTCCTACCTCGAAAAAATTAAAAACCAACCGACCAATAAACATTTTTTTACCTTGTGTAATGTAAGTAAATTTTATATTAAAGTAATTATTGTTCACTAGAAAATAAATATTACAACTTGTATGACTAACATATTATTACGTTGGAAATAATATCTTACCTCGAGTTTTATTCCATCGTGTATAACCATAACACAAGATATTTTTCTGCGACGTATTCCCTGTTTGTCGTTCAGCCCTGTATCATCAGATCTAGTGCACGGTTCCCATTCGCCGATTCTCCATTCCACCGCGTCTACGCATCATTTTAAAATTAATTAACATGAACCCCTTTAGCGATTGGTTTGGATGTAAATTAATTTACCAGTGTTCCACAAGAAGTTCTGAGTAATCTCATTATTTGATGGTGGCAAACCACATTTGGACCACCCGATTTGCAAGATCAGAGCGGTAAACAACCCGACACTAGGAACAATCATTGTGCTACCTTGGACGGTGTTAGCTCAGACAACGAGTCGTAGGGTTTAAAGGACGGTGTTGAAGTTCATCTAAAAAGTAATTACAGTAATTGGAAAGAAAGAAAAGTTGAATGTCAACCGAGTTCATCGATGCGCTCCAGCGAGAGCGCAGTGGTCTAATGCGCAGGAAAACATGTCGGTCATATGATCCCCGGGTCACGAATCCGGGCTGCACTTGTGTGTGTGTGTGTGTGTATGCGCGTGTGTGCGTGTGTATGCGCGTGTGTGCGTGTATTTGTGTGTGTGTGTGTGTGTGTGTGCGCGGAGATTTTACGAGAATTACGCCTTTAAAAACTGTTCGATTGATTACGCGCGCGTTCTTCGCGATGTTAACGTCTGCGTGTATATTTAAAAACACAATATCTTACCTGATTTAACAGACGTAGGGACATTTTTTTTTTTTCTTCTGGTCGGAAAATTTCACCAGCGACAAAGTAGTTGCGCAACGACGGTGGAGAGACGTCTGGAAGGCAACCGGGACGCCGAGCCAGGACGAGACCGCGGGCAAATCGATTCACGGGGGGAGCGAACAATTTCCGTTGCCGGGGAAACGCTTTTGCGTCGACTTTTGCGACTGCGTTGGTTCCTTTGTGCTCGCGTATAACACCGTGCAATGCCCCCCTCCCGGTCTGACCCACCAGTCATCAGACCGACTACGTGACGGCCCGGGCGACCACCTCCCGCGGACTACCCGGGAGTTCCTTTCCCCCGACCCGCAGCTAGCGCACCAATCCATTTTCGAGCCTTTGTTCCCAGGTAATTAAAACAACGCAATAACAGGTCATTTAAGCGATTTGTTTTTATAGACACAATTTCGCATAGCGGCAAGCTGTGTGTGTGTGTGTGTGTGTGTGGGGCGGGGGGTGTTTGGCGGATTGCGGAATTAATGGTTGAACTTTTACTGTATTTTACTATCAAATTTCATTCATACAAAAATATTATACTTAAAATTACGGCGACGATGAATGTATAGAAAACTACATCGAATTTGGATATTTATAAATGTGTGTAATATGAAATCTATTCACTTATTTTGAAACCTATATTTTATAATGTAACAATATGTCGGTACATGGGTATTTATTTGCATTTGTAAGGTATGGATTGAAAGTCGTTTCATTTAGTACACTATTCTGCTACGAACATTAGTATAGAGATAAACACTTGTAAAAAAACTACAACGATACAGACAATTCAAAATATAGTACCTAGCTGGACCTATTAAATATAAAATATTTTTCGGGGTAGTATAATATGGATTTTTAAATTTAATAAGTAGTGAACTACCAAGGTACGTAAATAGATAGCGCCACAGCGCGCGATATTTTTCTAATTATTAAATCAATACCAAAATGATGTTGACAAGATTCTAAATATATTTATTTGCATTTATTATTGTATAGGTATATATCATATTATTACCATATCCGCTAATTGTGCAATAATTTCGTCAGTTCAAAGATATTATTGATGTTAAAATGTCTAGTTCAATTAATTTAATGCAATGTGGATATTTTTTAAAATTAGGCACTAGGTAGGTAGGTACCTACCGACCTACCTATACCTAATATGTTTTAGTTAAATACGTTATTATAATTCATTAGTCAATTATTTTGTTTTGTTATTTTTTTATATTGGTACTATATGTATTTTTGAGTCTTTATAGCTATACAAATAATTTAAATAAATAGAAAATAGTGGATATTTAATACATAACTATTTTACCAACCTGCCTATTACTTACTAAAACCATTAAAACATACAAAAATGATTACCTATCTTCCAAAAGTCAAACAGAATATTTTTATTTAAAATATTTTATTCTTCAAATGTGGTCTTATTTCAGTAGGTATCTATAAAAGATGCATTATTGTTATTTCTTTCTTGTTACTTCTTTCATTTAAATCATTAAAACTTATCTTTTTAATAAGATTACCTATTAAACGTTTCTATAATAATTGGGAGAAAAAGTCCAAAATCAATTATCCTATTCAAAATCTTCTCATATAATTGCATGGTTTATACTAAAAAAAAAATGAATATGTATAATTTACAATAAGATCTTAAACATGTCCTCTGTCATAACATCAAGACTAAAAAATGAGTTATAACTCTATAGGTGTGTATGAATATTTTGTTAAACAAAAACTGTTTGACCAATTTAACAAGTGAGTTTAATTTTCATTTTGAAGGTATTCAATTATACCTAATAAATTACCTAATAAATTTAATTTACCTATATAAATTATAGATTGTTAAACATCAACATTTTATTAGTTTACCTACCTATCTATAGATTTGCTTTATCTAGGTCATAATTTATGAACTACCCATAGAAATAGTTATGACTCATAACACATAAAGATATTATAAATACATATACCTAATTCATTCTGAATTTATATTAAATTCAATCAACCATATTTACATCAAATAATACTGCCATAGTGTATTATTAAATTTATATAGAATTTAATTGCATTGAAAAAAAAATGTTATAAACACCATAAATAAAACTACCTAAAAGGTTCGTTGATTAAATTATTTTAAACAAATTACAGCCATTACAAAACTTGTATTTTACACCATTAAATATTATTTATTGATGACAAATTATAAACGTATTTTTATTTAAAATAGGTTGTTTAAACATTTTTTATAGATACCTATACACAGATACAAATTATTTTAAATTTATTGAAACCATTTTTTTTTTTTTGGTAAAAATATATATGTATAAAAGGTTCAATTGTTATTGTAAATTTTATTGCTAAACATTTTGTATGACTACTTTTACATGGGAGTATAGGTTAGGTACCTATAAATTAATCATTTATTAGGCGCTTTCCTACCTAAATTAAAATATTTATTTCAAAAAGTATGTACATAATATGTATATGTATATGTATTACATATACATAGTATATACCTATATAAAATAGTTACCAACCTTATTCAACATTTGGAACACAAATTTAGACAATCTTCTTCTTCGTGTTGGTCAGCAAGTGATATTCATTTTTGAAGCCAGCATTTAAACAATAATTCAATGGAATTGATATCTTGAAGTACCTACTTGGTCATTTTTCACCCGAAAAAAAAATTAATTGAATATTATAAAAACATAAAGTTGATAGTAATACGTGTGGGTACAGTGTATATTATACACTGCAGTATGGTTCAGAATATAATATTGATCAGTTACAAAAACATGTTTGATGTCTCCATCTAGTTTTATAGTTTCTGCAACGTGTTCTTTATTTAGTCTACTTTAACGTTTTCAAGCATAGCAACTAGAGGGTGCTAGAATGATGAACTTTATATAGTATGTTTACTCGCGTTCTCATGCCATTATTATTAATTTTTACTTGTAATTACATTACTAAATTACTAATAATAATCATTATGTAAATACGAAAACGAATACCTACATTGAACTAAATTCTAAATTAGTAATTCGATGGGTTCGAGTGATTTTTTTTTTTATTAAGTTCGTATGGCGGCTAGGTTAGGTTCGTGTGAATAAATGGACATAACATACAAATAAACAATTTTAGATTTTGAGCAAAGGTTATTTTACGAGTTGATATAAAATGTAAGCAAATATTTAATCTTAAATCCAGCGCCAATCTAATTGTTTTACGAATGCTACAATACTGATAATAATTGCATTTAATTAGAAAAGAAATTATTTTTTTTTGAATAAAGTGAAATACAAAATGTACACAGTTTAAATGAATCCGCTATCCACTTATTGCTATTATGAATATAATTTATAAATTAGGTATAAAACATTTAATATGTGTACCATTTGGTCAATATTGAATGTCTAAATCAGGACCACATCAGTTAATAATATGTTTATTTTAAATTTAGTTGTGAGATAATTTTGGTTTTAAACACTATATTTAATATTAAATGTAAAATATCGTTTTATAAAATGGAAATTAATTAATATAGTAGCAGTACACCAAACAGACGTTAGCTTTGTTCGTTTTAACAAAAATGTATTCACATATATTTTACATTATAGTGTAGATTTCAAACTTAGGTACACATTTGATGGTGTGATTGGTAAGTATTAATTATCAAAAGTATATATATATATATATTTTTAAAACCAACATAGCTATTTTGAGACAATAATATTATTACTAGGTAAAACAGTTTTTATTTTATTTCTATAACGTTGAAAGAGAATAGTTATTTTTTTTTATCATTTATAGGTTAGGTTAGTTTGTGTACTTATAGATTATACCTGCTTTTAAAATTAGTCAGTTTATGTTTTATTGTATAATTTAATATTATATGTACAGGTGCTATTTCTCACTATGTATAAGTCAAATGCCGACATTGCATGACGCAATTTATTAGAAAATATTTTAAGAAACAAAAATCAAAATCTCGATCCATACGCTCGGACATTTTAATGTTACAAATTGTACAGTAATGTAATTATGAATGCGAATATGGCTTTTATTTATAGAGCTGTTGAAAAGGTGGTTTTTAGATGCAAACAATTTTGTATTCTACTCAACCCACAGTCTTTTTTCTTATTACGTTGCTGAAGGGTGTATGTATAATATAATATATATATATACTATTACTGTTTATTTTATATAGGTATATTCTTTTTTCATGTCTTACGCGTTCTGCTCGCTTTTACTTCAGTCCATAAATTTTATCCATATTAATTAAACGTCGACCCAAAAATTCTTGGAGAATGTAGTGAAAAGCATTGCCCAACGAATTCTCATATTATATTTCCTCCCGTTCAGTATCCGCTCACCTAAGACCTCGGGTGTGTTGGAAGAGAAAAAGTTCACCACAGTATTACGAATGTCGAAAATTTGTTATAAGGTAGTGGACAAAAAAAAAAAAAAAAAACCAGAAAAAGTTGAATGAAATATTACGAAAACTTTATTTTTCTTTACATTATAAAACGTGTTTTAAAAATGTAGGTAATTTATTACTTGGTGTTGACGAGTTTATTGTAAACAAATAAAACTGTAGAATTTATTCGTACTGATCAATAATGGGTAATTTACTAATTTCATAAGGAATTAGTTATAAACATAAAACTACGCTAAATCGACGTTTATATGGACGTAGCTAGGTTTTCAATGAAGGGTAGGAAAATTGATTTTATATGAATTTATGCTTATATTGAATTTTCTAAGCTATATTATTATTTATATATTTTTAATTATTATTTTTTAACTAGGATATGCTTAAATTGAAATAAAATCTAGTCAAATTACAATATTGTATTATTTTAGATTCTGAAAAGAATGTATTTGTTTAACAGTGATGTTTATTTATTTATTTTAGATTCGGATCTATTGGTTTTACTACGATGTGTGCTTTTTTTTTTAAATTTGTTTTTTCTGTCTGTAAACAACTATTCGAAAATAAATCCTTTTCCGATGTTATAAAGCATAGAATCTTTCATGAACATTTTACTTGTTAGTGCATTAGAGACCATTTTTTCAATTTTCCAAGGGATTTTCGAAATAATAGAGAAAAAACCTGAAAGAAATTTATAGGTAAAACGGAAAATATTTACGGCGCGTCGCAGCGTTACTGATTTTATTGTTTTTAATTTTTGCAACTTATGTTTTCTACCAGAAACATTGCTCTTATCGAAAAATAACAAGAGATCGATTTTATTCCTAATAACATATTGTAGCCAATGACAAAGAAAGTCCTGTGATATGATGTGTGGCAACTGCTACACTTTAAGTATAATTTGGGTGCCATTGTTTATAAATCAAAATGATATTTACATATGTCGAAACTTCAAAAAATTATAGAAAATAAAAAACATACTTGAACAAAAGTTTAACCACCAATATTTTTCTATAAATTTATTTAATAAAAATTACTATTTTGAATTTTTTTTTTAAATTATAGTTAAATTTTAAGTTCCCTCACTTAAAAGAACAATTAATATATTAACTGTAACTCAGAGGCATACTTATTATTTTAAAAAAATATATAGGTTTATTAATAATATTAAATAGATTGAATGTTTTTACATGTGTCAGATCATCGTGAAATGCCATAGTATATATAGTATAGTATAGTATATATAGTAAGTTTAATGGAAATGTAATCGAGAAAAGGTTATCAGATTTATACACACGAGTAATAATAATATAAAATATAAATATTCATCCTTTCCAGTGCTCCTCAAATCGTACATACAAGAGTATTATGTTACAAGTTTAACCAAATTTAATTAGAAATCGGATATCGGAATAAAGTCTGTAATCCTTTTTCTAGCGTATAGATCTGCACCTACCTATATCTTTTCCAGTCTTTCTGAAGCTATTAATTATAACTTTAACCTTAAAGTGAATTTGCCAAATATGTACCAGTACAACTGTGGAATTGATCGATATCTTTATTTTAACTTATTTTTGAATCAAAAATCAAATATACGAGTATACTTGTATAAATTAAAACACATTTGTTCTCAAAATTAATATAAATAAACAGATTAATACTATCTAAAAATATATCTATAAATTAAAATATTCAATAAACTGATTTATAACTAATACAATTTAAATTACCTACCATTTAAATTTTAATTTGGAAAATTAACCTAATGAAATAATTTTGTTTTTAATGGTGTTTCACTAGATAAAATAAGAGATTATTCAAAAAAATTGAAGAAATAAGAATCTAAATCGTATAAATATTATATAATATATATAAATAGTTAATAGTTGTGTTTAAAATGAGAACCTAAATTATTAAATATAAGAATTGAATTAGTGAAATTCACTAAATTTATGAACCAATATTAATATTAAAATTTATTTTTTGCTTATATCACTCGGTGCTATTATTGTCGTATAACCAATCAGAAACACAAGAAACCATGTAAAATACAATGAATAAGTCAATTATTAGTCATTACTAAATATAATTTACATTATTGGAATTGTTCAATTTATTTTTAACTGTTCGTAAGGAATAATGTAAAATAATATTCAATTGTCTGACAAATAATTATAATTTATTGAGTTGTTTTTGTAAATAAAACATGTTCTAAATTAAATATATAATTGAGTCTAGATAAAAAAAAAAAAATTGTGTTTGTTAATGATTTTAATAGCTATACCGTACGGCGTAGTGTACACTATACACTGTAACATTGCTAACGAAAAACGATTCTGAGCGGAGTTCGGTTAATAGTATTGCTTTGTCAACAACATATATATATATGTAACACTATGGTAAAATAATTACATACGCAGTATAAATTTTCGTTAATAATATTTGTTTGATATTGTATCTATTTTGCCGTTTTTCCTACGTTTCTTCCCGGATTTTCCATTTTTAGGAAAGCTCATAGGAAAATTAAAAAATAACCTTCCTAAAGTACCATCCCAGGAAAATTCCCTTTCAGAAAAAGTGCTATACTTGATACTTCGAAGCAAGATTTCTGGTAGAATTTTTGTATACAGCATAAAAAAAGGAAAACAAATCTTTGTAAAACCAATACATATAAGTTTTTTCGTTGTACGCATACGAGTCGTCGGTTAACAGATAAATAAATTTGATTGTGCGTAAACGAGTTGCACCGAAAAAAGTGTTCGTTACCATTATTTGAAGGAGGGACAGAGTATCTGTAAGATTAAGCAAACAAATATGCATAATCATTTATCGAAAGGGAAAATTTAAATTTCCCGCTATTGAGAATGGTTTTTAGGTAATTTTAAACTTAAATTGCAATAATGTGTTCCAATAATTTTAAATTCCTCTTTATATTAGTTTTTAAATTTAAAATTATAAACATTTGCATAATTCAAAATCTGTCCATAGGAATAGGCCACGACAGCAGGTTTTATGTACGTAATTTTTGTGAAATTCATTTCCGGTGTAAAATACTATAGAAAAAGTATATGATACTTGAAACATAAATCCTTATACCAATTTTGTTATTTTTTTGTT